TGCTTATGAAAGATTAATGCTGCTGTTATGAAGAGATGGTATTAAAAAGACGAAGACAGTATGTTAATGAATAATACATGAGAAAGCACTTAGATGAAAACACAACAGTGTAAACAAAATAAGGCATAGGGCCAGATAGTTGATAGAAAAATAATCTTGGTGGTCAATAGACACATGTAAATTATTAAATCTTTTAACTAATTTACTGGTAATAATATACACATTTCCTCGATTTAAAATCGACCAGTGGAATTTGTAAAAAGAAATGGTGGTTTAGGTCCCATTATGGGACAGATGGGGATTTTTCAAAGGTTTTATAGCTCCTGGTTTTATAGCTGCTGATGTATCTGTGACTTAAAGGTGCAATGTCTAACTTTTCCTGTGGAGGGTCAGTCAAATTATTTTATCTATAGAGATGTTATTACTTTGTCTGGAATGTTTCAAAGTATGGTATTACAACTTTCAATCTTCATGGAGATTAAACCAGACCCAGTTATAGGTCAGATCTATGGAGCGGCAACCCCGCTCACAGTCAGAATGCCTGTTTTTCTAGGTATTTGTGAGCTATAAAACTACCTGTAATTGAACACATTTAAGGTAGCTGTTTAATGCCCTGCTGTGGAACAGTCCAGGCAGAGCAATGACATCTCCATAGAAATAAGTAGGTAACCCTCGACCAAAAAGTTACATAGTGCACCTTTAACATCTAGGCTAACAGACCATGTCCATACAGCTGAGGGAGGCTCCTTTGCACCAGTGTTGTTTAAATTTTAACATTTTTTTGTTTTTGTTTTTTTTATCATCTGTCCCACCCCATCCCCTCTGTTCTCTCTGTAGGAAGTGCTAGAGCTGGCTTTCTCTGTCCTCTATGAGTCCGACGAGTATTTAAACTTTATCGCTCCGGACAAGCACGAGGTAAGGGTTTGGGTTAGTACCTAGCTTTAAATTAATGTTTGATGTACTACTACTACTACAAATAATAATAATAATAATAATGTTTAATAGAATAAACTTTAAATATTTCATATATATGTATATATATATATATATATATATATATATATACATATATACATATATATATATATAAGACTTAATTTTTCATATAGTTTATATAAATAATTCGGGCTTAGTAACTACTTTAACTACTTAAAACTCTACTCTAACTCCTTAAGTAAGCCTGAATCTTGAGTTGTATTTTGTCAAGTATTTGTTGATTATGAGTTAAGTCTCTCTTCATGCTTTATCATTTAAGGTAAGGTTTATTATAAAGTGTCTGTATTTTCAGACTTAACTGAAGGTTCTTTGCTTTGTTACAGTATTGTGTATGGACTGACGGTCTGAATGCCCTCCTTGGTAAAGAGATGACCAGTGAGTACACAAAATCAGACATGGAAACCCTGCTGTCTATGGAGATGAAGCTCCGCCTACTGGACCTAGAGAATATCCAGATCCCTGAAGCTCCACCCCCCATTCCCAAAGAACCAAGCAATTATGACTTTGTTTATGACTGCAACTAGACCATCTAAAAACACCACTGGGAACCCCTGCACTCACTGGACCCTTTTTCTCACATACTGGAACAAAACTAAATCGTGCTTATGAAAATGAACTGTAAACGTTTTAAGGGACTTTCATCTTCTTAAAACAAGACACTGGTGCATAATATTGGCCCCACTGCACTTAAAAGCGTGGTCGATTGGAGTCAAAGATGATCAGAAACAAACGTCAGGTTGCCATGGTGAGAAAGATCAACCAGGAAGTATTAGTTTGTCCTTTTCTCCTTCTTCCTCTACCCCCTCCACTCCAGCGTTTCCAAAATGGCTTTCGTCATTTTTGCTCGTTGTAGATAAATATGTAGAATTTGCTTCCTATTTGTCCTTTTTATGTTTGAGTTTTATTATTTTTCCTCAGGGCTTTTTGTGAGGAGGAAGTAGAAAGTAACAAGTAAAAAGTTCTCTCTAGCAGTATTGCCTCCCACATTTTCACTTTTGAGTATTTGTGGCAGCTTGGTCTATCTGCTCTGTGCTGCTTCACACACTTGCTGAAGACTGTTACAAACCATGAACAACTTTCTGCACTCTAATACGAAATAAAAAGCCCTTATTCTGAATCTAAAGTTATTATTCTACATCACTGCTGTTGTTGCATATTACTCCCGCCCACAGATAGACCCACGCTTCCATGTTTTCTCATCAAGTCTGTTTTGTTGTAATGACTGCTGTACACAACATTCCTAAGCAATATTATAATTTTGTTTATCATTTGTTTTAAGTGATCTGAAAACGTGAAATTGCCAAGTCAAGGGAAGTTTCTTATTTTGTGTGTTTTCATATGGCCACAAATTGATGAAAGTCTTATGTATTTTTTTTTTTATTATTATTTAAAACAAATCATGGTTGTATTTCTAGTATGATTTATATATTTTCTGCCCGTTCCTATTTAATACCTTCAGATGTTTTTCTTTAGGATTTTTTCAAAGCTCTTCAAAACTGCTGTTTACATTAAAGGTTTAGGAACTGTACCTTTTGTCTGGTTTTTCCATCTTTTAAGTCACAATGAATTTAGATTTGAATTTAAGGAAACTTGACTATATTATGTCAGTTACAGTGTAGGGCTGACAAGCCCAACAATAGCAAGCTTTTAGTAGCCCAGTTTTAGGAAGAAAAAAATACTTGGCTTAGTCACTTAAAAATCTGATGTTGTAAATGAAAACTGGTTCCTATTTGACCCAACTGAAAAAATAAAGGTTAAATAGAATGTAATAAGAACAACTTAAATGAGCCTAATTGTATTACTCTTCAGTAATTTTTTTTTTTTTACATCCTTGTTCTCTGAGTGTGGCCATCCATACTTAAATATTGATGAGGAGATGCAAAGCTGAGTATTGAAAGAGCTATTTTTAGCTTGATCCCTGGCGGTCCTCATTTCCCTGTGTTTGGGAGAGATGGGAGGAGGAGATACGTGGTGGCCTCATTACAACTTGAGCTAGACTTCATGTGGAGAGTGTGACAGCAGCCCAGGGGCAGCAAGCGATGGGGAGTAGCTCCTCCTTGTACAGCTCACGGTAATCACATCATATGAGCCTCCTTCCTATGTGCCCAGTGTTCCTCCTCTGCAGCTTTAGACAAGGTGCATTCACAGCTGCTCCCTCAGCTCTCATTACAATGCACTCAGAGTGTCATTGTCACTTATGCATATTTTTACGCTTCATTTTTAATATCACCCTCCCTCAGGTATAAGCACAAATGGACTGCAGAAAAAGTTGACTAGTAGTTTTTCATTTTCAATTTGACTACACTGTCACTTTTGATACAAATCACAACACATTTTAGCATCAGCAGCATAAGAAAAGCAACACAGTTGTCCCTTTAGTTCATATTTGGGTACACAATTTTCCGTACATTTTATTTCTCCATTAACATTTTTGTCATGAGGAAATGTGTTTGTGTTTGTAGACCGTGAGATACCAAAGAATTCCAAAGAATGTTACTGACAAATTGCAATGGCCTGGGAATAAAAATTACACTTGGTGTAACAAGAATTGTTCAGTGGCAGCATGCCAGTTCTGCTCATCCTTTATATTGACTTCCAATGGCAGCCTGCTCTGTCTGAGTCTCATTAAGACATTTGTCCTTTGTGCCTCTGGACTAATGTAACACTTATCAATGGGGCTAATCTATAAGTGCTTGTACTTTTTAGTCACAGAGCTTCAAGGAAACACACCATATTGAGGAAACTGACTTTATACGAGTTTAAAAGACAAAAAAAAATATCCACAACTATAAAAATTACTTTAATGAGCTGACTCTTCACTTTTAAAGTTTACCATGTGTCCTTGAAGCAGCCAGACCATCTTAAATTACTCAGTTATGACCCGGAGGAATGAAATGCCTTTTCAAAGTACATCCTCAGGTCCTGTTCCTTTGACTCTGAGTTCTGTTCCAAAAGTTTGATCCAATGTCCAACATGAATGTGAAATGCTTGACCACTGTGAGATATGGAAATATGCATATTCAACTTTCTACTCCTAGTCACGTTATAATATAACACTGACTGGAAGGATGGGTATTAGGAACATTGCATATTGTTATGTTTGGACAGATGTGCATAACTGTCATGTTTAGCACTTTTTGCACGATAGATATGGCAATAAATCCAAGACTTTTTGTCAGTCGGTTAAGATACAATTTCCGATCATGAAGGGTCCATATACAATACAAATTTTCCAGGATAAATCATCACACTCCCAAGTCATTTCACTAATCAAATCAACCACATGTATATGCGTTAGAGATCAATAATATGATAAAGTTCTTAATTTGACATTTTTCACAATACAGTACACTGACTGAGCCAAAGCCAGGACAGTATTAGGGTCTATATTTACCACTGAGGGAGGTGCCTATTCCAGTGTGTAGGACGGCTGCAAAATGCAGTAAAGTAAAAGAGAGGAAAAACACTACAGTAACTGACCCACCTCCTGCCTGGACACTGCACCCCAAATGCAATCAAACTTAACTTTAAAGTAAACGTTTCACCCAAATACTTTTGTTTTCACACTTGCAATGGCTCATTAGTTTTGATTGTTTATTATTAACTTTCTATTAGCAGAAAATCAATAATGTTTCAACAGTCTATCTTCTCTGTACACACATTATGAACCATCTCTTAATGAACAGTGATTTCCAAATGTAATTATACAACAGACTGCAGTATCACTTGTGTCTCCTCTTTTAATAAGCAGAAATGATTGCATGATTGCATTTAATATCACTGAGCTGTAAAAAATGATGATGCTGCATTCTGTATGTCGAAAGAAGATTCATTATCTTGCAAAGTTTCACTTCAAAGCTCATTTCATCACATTTTATCTCAACATTAATAAATTAAAATACTGCGGCTGCACAACTTTAACAAATAATACTCTCATTGGGTTTTACTCTGGCTCCCTCTTGTGGCAAAATTGTACTTGGAACAAATATAAAGGATACATGCTCTCAAAGAGGAAATGTTTAATTACTTAAATTATAAAATTAATTTGTAATTTTACAATATGTACAGTAAAAACAAAGAGTAGCCAAATGCCTGGCTTACACATTCATTATATGTGTGCATTTACATATTGTTATATTGTAAGACTGTAGGATTTGTGCCTTTATTATATTACAGATAATTTAAAACTCACAATTAGTAAAATCTGAATAATCAAGTAAGATTTCTTCAGGCTAAAGTTACACGCTGTCCTGGTTTAAATATCTGCAGTGGCTTTCCATCTCCTGAACCATCAAAGGCTTCATACCTGCATGTAAATAAAACATAGTTATTCACAAAATTTAAATGCTTAAAAGATGAAAATAAAACACTGAAAACATCATGACAGATTTAAACCTGACTACTGACTAGCTTTCAATGATATAAATCAGGCGTGTTCAAAGTTTTTTCAGCAAAACACAGACCAAGGTGACGGCCAATCAACAGCCAAAGCAGTGAATAATTAAAATTTATTTATAACAGGTTAAAATGAACCACCAGACCTTTCATCATGCCTGAAAAAGGACACTCTTAATTTTGTTATTAAGATAGATTTTTTTTTAAATGCATCCATCCATTTTCTTCCACTTATCAGGGGCCAAGTCGTGGGGGCAGCAGTCTAAGCAAGGACTCCCAGACTTCCTTCACCCCGGACACTTCCTCCAGCTCATCCGGGGGGACCCCAAGGCGTTCCTAGGCCATCTGAGAGACATAGTCCCTCCAGAGTGTTTTGGCTCTACTCCGAGCTCCTCCTGTATGACTGAACGTATCACTCTAGCTCTAAGGGAGCACCCTGCCACCCTGCGGAGGAAACTCATTTCGGCTGCTTGTATCTGCGATTTTGTCCTTTCGGTCATTACCCAAAACTCATGGCCATAGATGAGGGTAGGAATGTAGATTGACCAGTAAACTGAGAGCTTACCTTTCGGCTTAGCTACATCTTCACCACAACGGTTCAATACAACTACCACAACACTGCAGATGTTGAATCAATCCACCTGTCTCACACTCGATCCTCCTCTTACTCATGAACGAGACGCCGAGATATTTGAACTCCTCCACTTGAGGCAAAAAAATGCAGTAAAAAGTAACTCACCTAGAAGCCTGTGGGCCAAGAAAAATTTGTCTAAGGGCCGCATTTGGCCATGGGTCATAGTTTGGACATGCCTGATATGAATGATCCCTGACCTATGTTTATATAATGTTACAAGCAAAAGAAGGCACTTACAGTTTGGTGTATTTGCTCCAGTCGGCTTTGCTCACAGATGGTTTAGTTGTAGACAGAGCACATTTGATATGAGCCTGAGAGATGAGCAGGAGGGGTGGGCTCATCAGGGAATGCACCTGTACACTCTCCTACAAATTACCCACATATATTAATGTTTATTGTAAAATGAAGAATTTCCTGTAAAGTGTAATAAGTATGTGGTATTGAAATACATGAGAAGAGCACATCAAATATAACTGACCTTCCTGTAAGTTGTTTTGATTGTATTTACATCTCGAGTGAGTTGCTCTTGTTGCTTTGGGCTCAGCTCCTCACAGCCGCTCTGCAGAGAGGGCATGTACAAAGGAGGGAGATCACTGCCAACATCATGCACACATGTAGTTGTCAGGTCCTGGCTCTCAGACAAGGGACCAGAGAGACATCTAGGGTTCTGCAAAACCAAGACAAAAATAAAGGTTGTAGTGATTTTTAGAGTGGGATAATGTTCTGAAAAGTTCTTACATTAAGTACTAGTTCAGGAGAGTATCCCAGCTCAGACTCAAAGGAACTCCCAAAGTAGATTCTCCAAACGTTGCCCCTGTTCTCCTCATAGGCCTGGAGGTCACTGGTTTCAAGTGAAAGTATAGACTGCTCTAGGGCTAGGCCCATATCCCCCTCCCCAACAGAGTCCTCAGATCCACTGCTGTGATTTGGGAAGATCATTGAAGAAAGACTCATCTCTATCTCTGAACCAAGTGCAGTGTCCTGGGAACACAAATAAGAAAATGTAATGTATATAATTATATGCTGAATAAAAATACATATGACTTTGCCACTAACTCATTTTAGTCATGTAGAAAAATAAGGAAATTAACAAAATGACTTTAAATAATTGAATTGTTCAAACCATTAACCCATTAAAAGCAAGTACATATTGAAATGAAGATAAGAAAAGGGCTTACATTAATGACAATGATAAATGTAAATGGTTTTGTGCGTGTGTGATCATTTTAATGTGCTCGTGTTTTTCGATAGGTTACACTCATTTGATTTCACAGTGGCAGTATCTCACACGTGCACATACTGACATGTCTTATCACGAATCATTCACTGTGGATTTTTGTTTTTGTTATACATCTCAGCTTTGCAGCCACCACATAAAACTTAGTTTTTCTAAAATTACCTGTGGTGGGCTGCCCCTGCTGCTTAAGTGGATGGCCTCTAGTTGGGCGTTGTAGAGCAGGGCTTTCAGGTCAGCTCCAGTGAACTGTTCTGTGTCTGCAGCCAGCTGCTCCAGGTCCACATCCGCCGCCAGGGAGAGGCCAGAGCTCAAGGCCGTAAGGATCTCCAGACGAGCCTCCTGCATTCACAATACATTTAATAATATACATATAATGTACAATACATTTTTAAACTTAAAGAAGTGTTTGAATGGTCTACAAACTAGGTCAGGTGGAGGACAATAGAGACATTTGTCCAGTCGCCCAGGTCTCAACAGGGCTGGGTCAATCAAATCCGGACGACTAGTGGCAGCAAGCACATACACACCTGCAAACACACACCATTGAAGTTAACCAGGTTTTATTTTGTGTCTGGTATTCAGTGAGTCCATTGTGTATTGACCTTGGAGGCCCTCCACCCCATCCAGCTGAGTGAGGAGTTGATTGACCACACGGTCAGTCACCCCAGTGCTGTCATGGCCTCTCCTCGGGGCCAGTGAATCAAACTCGTCAAAGAACAAGATGCATGGCTTAGCAGCTTGAGCTCTGCAATCATATTAATAAAATCAGACAGTTAAATCATTAAATAATTACACCACTAATGGGGCACAGTGTTCACCAACTTCTGAAAGACATCTCGGACACCCTGTTCACTTGCTCCAATGTATTTGCTCAGGAGTTCGGGACCCTGGAAAGATGGCTCAGTGTCAGCTCTGCATAACAAATGAGACATTTCACTTGCTCTTTACCTTGATGCTAATGAAGTTCATTCCACTGTCCTTGGCTACAGCCCTGACCAGCAGGGTTTTCCCTGTACCTGGGGCGCCATACAAAAGAACTCCTGATCGATGGCGGATAGGAAGTTTGGAGAATAGAATGGGATACTAAAACACACCAAAACAAATTCTTACTGTATAAAGCGCATAAGCACTTAGGTTCTGGCAAACAAGAAGTTTAAACCTAAATAACCTTAAATCTTAAATCTTAATAACCTTAGCAGGGAGCATTATGGTATCTATTAACTGTTGCCGCACATCTTTCAGTCCTCCAACCTGATCCAGGCCAACTCTGCTGAGGGAGTGCAGCTCTACCCCCCAGAGTGAGGGAGGTGTGAATCCTTTCAAAGCCTGGGAAAAATCATCTACCGACAGCAGACCATCTACAAATGGAAAAGATAATGAAATTTATATACAGTAATAACAAATAATTTTATTTACCTTGGACGCCATGTTGCTTCTGAACAGTTCTGGCATGAATGGCACGGTCCAGCAACAGTGCTAGATCTTGAGGGGTATACCCTTCTGTCAATTTCGCAACTGCACCGACATCAAGAGTTTGTAAGGTTTCCTCAGACAGGAAATCTTTTCTTAATATGAGACATCGCAAAATATCTGCTCTTTGATCCTAAAACACAAACAATATTTAAAGTATTAACCATTCTGAACCATACTCTTATTGACTGCATGTAATTTTCAAATATTTTAACCATGTACCTGATCTGGAGGCTCAATATGTAAAAACCTTTGGAAGAAGTGAGATCCCTGCAGCTCAGTGAGTGAAGGGTGGAGGGAGTCTTCATTCTTGGCAGTTATTATTAGACTGACAAGACTGGAACGCTGAACCACATCATCGACTACATCTTTAAGACCTGAGGGACAGACAGAACACCATCATGTAAACTTCAACTATCCCTGCCTTCATTATAGTAAACATGTCTTACTCTGTGCAATGTGCTGTTGTAGCAACACCTCAGGGCTATGCTCATGCTCAGCTGAAGATGGCGCTCCTGTTATTTGATCCAAGTCATCAAGAAGTACCACTGAGGGCTGCTTCCACTCAGCCTGCTCAAACACATCCTGCAGCCTCAGCTTTACAGTTTCTGCCCTCTTCCCTGAAAAAGTTCACAGCAAACTTGAATAAAGCTCAAAAGGCGAGCATAAAATGTTTTTGTACCTTGTAATTTTTTGCAGTCCAAAATCTCCACGTGTACATCAAGATCTTCACTGACTTTTCTGCAGAGAGCTCGAGCAAAGGTACTCTTGCCACACCCCTAAATAGTTTTTAAAATGCCAAAATTAAAAATAAATATTTAAATATATTACATATCTAACAACAATTCTTATCAAACATGTAATTATGGCCTATTCAATTGCTAATATCTGTGTTACCTTGGCTCCAGTTATTAGTAGAACACCTCCTTGAAGCCCCTGTGTGGAGGAGCCCAATTCTAGTGAAAGAGGACCTGCCAGAAGACTGTGGGAAATGAACTCATGGGCACTTTTACTAACTTTATCAATCCCTCTGTAATAACAAACCATAAAACACATTCTGTTACAGACTCACAGCACAAGTTCAAAACAATAAACCATAGGTCACAAACCCAAGACTGGTGAGAGATGGAAGCTCTTCATTTGATATTTTGTCTGGAATTTTTTCCGCTGCTTTGGTTAACGTCTCTCTTCTTACCTATAAATGTATTTAAAAGATAATATATTATAATGTTGCACAAGGAAAATCATAACAAAAATGTTACCTGTATGTCTTCATTTTTGAGAAGTGTGGCTGCCAGCAAAAAGAGTTGATCTATGGGATCGTCTGCAGACTCTGGCTTCAGTACAGTCAACACAAATTGAAGCTTGGCTGTAAGTTAAGAACAAAGAGTGAGAGTTTGTGTTTTCTATTACACTTGTATGGCAAGTTAATAGATAATAAGTAATAAGTAACATATTCACCTTCAGATCCATGAAGCAGGATGGTGCTAGAGCGCGCAGTTAGACAAGCTAAGGGCTCATGACTCTGAGTGTGGAGCCACCCAAGGAACACCGTCCGGATCTCATCATCATCTTCAGACTACAGCCAAATATTCAAAAAAGCAAAACAAGCATGATGCCTTAATCCGAAATAATAATAAAATATGAAAAAAAAAATAGGGATGTCCAATCCAGAATCAAGCTTTTGTTGTGGGTAAAATAAGTGTATAGTTGAAATGTAAAATTGTAAAAAAAAATAAAATAAATGCAAAGAAAATACCCTTATTACTCTGAAACATGTGACATGACTGCTATTGCATCTAATTACTCACCATTGGTATCATGGGTTGTAATTGGATCACAGTGGCCACTTTAACAGCAGATTCTATAGGCTTTATTCTCACTGTTGAATGTGGAATAACATAAATTTTAGCAGCCAGCTGCTCTGAGACCTGGAAAGAAAATTTTGAGTTGGGTATTAAAAAATGTATTGCAGTAAATGAGAACAAAAATGTAAATACATTTTTACCCAAACTTTCCCACTGTGGATTGATCCTTTTATAGGGCTTTTGTGAGTAAGCTTCTCCCGGCACACAACCCTCACCACAATGGCCTCATCGTCCTTCAGAATGTCTCCCCCACCTGAGTCTGCAGGGGTTTTCGAGACACTTTTCTTATTATCCAAAGTTGCTTTATCCTTTTGCTTGACTTCTTTAGAAATAAGAACTTTAGTGAGCACTCCATATGTGATTTGTGACTGGCCTCCTGTGTGGCCTGCACTCAGTCCATGGCTGAGAGGAAACACATGCACCACATCAGTTGTCCGGTGATTTATTGTGCAAAGCGAATCTGGAGGTGCACCGCATACTCTGAAGATAGAGTCTCTGATGACAAGGGGCAGAATGGGAACCAAGGGGAGCTCTTTCACTGGCCCCATGAGCAAGTGTCGCACTAGACTTTTTAGACCTAAGCCCCACTGTTGGACCGGTACTACTGCAGATGAGGAGACATCTGACTTTTGGACCCCTTCTTTTTGTTGGTTCTTGCTTACTTTTAACTTAGACCCACTAATGTTGATATCAGGGCGTTGTTTGGGTGACACAATGAGTTCTGTAAACTGCTCCAGCCGACCGAATGGCACTGAAGGCAGTAACGATGCTGGAAGAAAAACAAGAACGGTCGCATTTACTCTACAGTAGTTAATTTATTAATACACAGCAGTAATTTTAATTTGTATATCGAGGCAAAGAGTCACGCCTTCAGAATTTTCACTTCACCTATTTGGATGTAAATGGCTGTGTGAGTATCCACCCATACGGGAAACACAGCGTCCTGGAAAACAACTCTAATCTGATCGAGCAGCTGTGTCTCAAGTGCAGTGCTGTGGAGCTCCTAGATATACATATAACAGAGGGTTTGTGCCATAAATCATATTTCACATATATATTGTACCCATAACTTGACCTACCAAAATCTCCCAGTCATCAAAGGAAAGTGGCTCCACAAATACTTGATGCACAGATGAGACCTGGCGACATGGCTTAATGAAACCCTGTTTGACATAAAAGAGCCATGGGTGAGGATTACAAATAGCAGTGACTATATCATAAAAATATAATCCATGTTTGGTTAATTCTTACTTGCTCCCTATCCTCAAGGCCTAACCTCTCTCCCAGTTGTCGACACAGCTCAACTCTTTGTGTATCATTGGAAGAATTTCTATTATATGTCCAGCTGAGAAAAACTGATGTACCATTTCCCCATGATAACTCCAGGGCCTGGTTCTAGAGCAAATACAAGAAGCATTACTACAAACACATTATAAAATCAATCATTGGTGACAATGACATTTGTATTTCTTATGAGAAGGTAATAGACATAAAACATGAACTAGTACTAACAGTAATTCAGGACAGACCCTACAAACAACTGTAAATTTTAATTATTCGCAATTAGCGATAATGCTTACATGATACATTTGATCTTTGCCAGCTTAGCTACACATAATTTTAAAATGAACAGCTAAGCTAATCTCACCTCGTTCAGTAAGAGATGCGATACTAACTTCGGAGGGAGGTGAAGAAAACAGTTTTTCGTGTTGCTGAAGTAAATAGTGACGGGATGAATGCCCTGGTTAGAAAACATTTTTGTGGCATTGCCCTTTCCTCCTTTGTAAAGCTTTCACCTGCTCAGCTAACAAAATCCTCATTGACAATCGATGTGGTCGCGTGCTTACAGTCCAGACCAAAGCAGTCGATAGGCAGTAGTATTACTTCAAAATAAAACGATTCAATTTTTATGTACCGAACTGAGAATAGCGTTTTGTGCACCATGCTCTTATTTTGAAATGGCACTATGTGCTTCAAAAACAAAAATGGCGGCTCCTGTCGACAACAAACCAGGTTGTTGGAAAGCTCCTGAAGTGCTTAAACATCACGAACAGCGTAAAATATGCATTTCTCGACCAAAATATCGAGAGGGGAGGAGGGCAAAAGCGGTTAAGGTATGTTTTAAATTAGTGCGCAGTCAATATGTTCAGGATACAACTCACCCTCTACTGACAGAAAGTGTGAAAATGTAACATGGCTTTAAAACTAATTAAATAGCTGAACAATTCATTGATTAAAAATGTAGAGTTTTATAGTTAATCAGAAAATCGAGCTGATATCGGACACCAGGTTATTATTTCTTTTAGGTCTACACCATCAATTTGGAGTCTCGTTATGTGATGGTTCAGGGGGTCCCAGCCATAGGAGTGATGAACGAGCTGATCCAGCTGTGTGCTCTGTACGGGACAGTGGAGGAGTACAGGCCTCTGGACGAGTATCCAGCTGAGGAGTTTACTGAGGTCTACCTGATCAAATTTCAGAGGCTTGTCAGTGCCAGGTAGCTCCCCAAGTTCAATTCCTTTTTTGCTTTATGAATTATGAACATTCTTTGAACCTTGTTTTTCAGAGCAGCAAAACGACACATGGATGAGAAGAGCTTTTACGGAGGTGTTCTACATGTATGCTATGTCCCTGAATATGAGTCAGTGGAGGACACCAGACAAAAGCTACAAGAGAGGAAGAATTACATAATGAAGACTCTACACCATATTGGTATGATATTTCTATTCATCCAGTGCCATTTATTGATATTGTATAAAAAATAGACTGCTTATAAATGTAATTACACATGAGTCATGACTATATATTTAGAACTAAATACTAATTCACTCAGAAAAATATTACCTGCTGATATTCATGCCTGACTCTTTTATTTTTTTTTTTTATGTTGAAACAAAGCAAGAGAAAGACAACAAATGGAACCTGTGACACCAGAGACCACTGCACCAAATGCAACAATATCATCCTTAGAAGCAACTACCTTCAAGCCATGTACAATAGTTACGGATAATACAGAAAACCACTCATCACATCAGAGTTCTAATTTTCCTTTGCTTCTCCCGCCCCCTCAAGAATATCACTATCCAAGATACCATCATAGAAGTTTACCTACTGAGGATAAAATGGGAACATTACATAATGCTTTTGTTGATAAAGGACCACAACCAGAAATGAGTATGACCAGCCCTAACATGTCTTCAGACTCATTCAGGGACCGACATGTGCCACCTCAATCCCCTGTCAGATTTCTACCACGGACAACACAGTTAGAGAAAAGAAAACAACAGGCAGAAGAGGATACTGAACAATCCTTAAAAGATGTTACTTTTCAAACTGAAGGATTTATAGGACCAAAGTTACCAGAGCAACCTAAACTGGACATGGAAGATGAATCCTTAAACACAACAGTCAAGAGGATTAGAGACACTTTAAAACAGGTAAATGATACTTTAGCAATAAATTCAGAAATACAATTTAATTGATTAATAAACAACATCATAACTCCATTACAGGTGGAATCAGTTGCTGAAGTCAAGCCAGTGGTTAAAAAGTTGAAACATCGTCGTAGGATTTAATGTTTTGTTGTTTTTTTTTTACTTTGCACAGCGCTTGTGTAAAATCCACATGTAAAATGTCTGTTACCATATGAGCTTCCCAAATAAATTGACTTCACTGTTCCTCCTCTTCTCTAAATATGCGCTCCTCGAATGTATAAATTGCCTGTAAGAGGAAAAAGGATAAATAATAATAATTAAACACAATATTTGTAGGGTAAAACTTTAAACCCAACATCATTAAATACAGTTAAATCTGGAAGGCATGGTCCAAATGCTTCAAGTAATAGGTTCTCCTCTTTTACAGCCGTAATGAAATCCCTTAAAGATAATTTTCCATCGTGGTCATGATCCTTAAGAGAGGAACATATTTGGTACACTTAACAAGCATTAAACACAATATACAGGTTTGTCAAAGATCTTTTTGTAAATTAAATACAGTAACTGACCATTTTCTTAAGTGTGATTTCCACCAGGTCCTTTATGCCCTCATCAGGGTCCTCCTCATTGGGCTGACTGGTGAGACTGTTCTTCAGCAAATGAAACATCTCCTCTCGGGAGATGTAGCCATCATTGTTTAAATCATAGACTGTAAAGCAGTCTGAACATGGAAGAAAAGGGGGAATAAATCAAATAGTATTACTCATACAATTTGTACAAAGTTGAAATATTGCATTCACATTTTATTTTTTCATCTAATGTCCCACGGAGAAAAACAGACAAGCCAGCAATCCACTCTTTCACGCTTAAAAATCCATCATTGTCTTTGTCAAAGGTTCTGAAAACTGCAGAACACAAACTAGCTGTAACATGCCTCGTTATGATTGCTTCTTTCTATCGATAACATAGATAAAGCGTTTTTACCCCCGTCCATGATCATGTCATCTGTAATATTAAATGCATGATGCAGCACACTTCTGAATTGTCCTCTGTCCAGTCCCGGGACAGCCTTCCCATGTGCACTCTGCTCCCCCAGGAGCGCGTAAAACTCGCGTATTAGACACTCAATCTCACTTCTGTCGACTGCAAACCACATTATAAAATGATAAAAACATGAAACTAAACTATTGTAAACTATTAAGTTTATACTCACAGCGCTCTACGTATTTACTCATCTTGTCAGTAATGCTCTCCATCAGTTTTCTGTTGATTGTAGACATTTTTGGACCTCTTGAAGTTACACTGATGCAGCTCCCCGTTCCTTACATGTCTGTTTTGCCGCTGTCTCCTTAGCAACCGCGCAGGATGAAATTCTCGGTGCGCTTTTAGAGTGCGCCATAAAGCTTTCAGAAAATGTCGTGAATTATTGCGCTCAGTTACATGGATGCATATACATTTTTCTTATTGCCCCTGACATGTTTTCCAGTTAAACCATGTTGACCATTTACTGATTTATTAATTTATGCAATGTAAAATTAAGTAATTATACGCCCTCTACTGGACATACATTATAATAATTTACTTCCATTGTTTTATTTTGGTACCTCTAATATGAGAGTTAATATTCTGGTATCTAATGGCCTTTACCCATTACACAGGAATAATAACAGAAAATATCAAAGCACTGATTTATTTTGGCTGCACAAATCATAAGGCCTTATTTTATTAAAATACAGTTTTGTTTTTTTATTTACCTAATCTCATTTTAGTAAACATATTGACATTTACATTTAATTTAATAATAACCACAGTTGATTGCTAAATAAGTAATCACAGAATTAGGACAAACAAAAGCAGACATTTGTATTATATTTATAATATTGCACCCCCCCACACAGTGCCTACATTTTCTGTAAATGTATGTAGGGACATTATGGTTGGAATCATTCTCAGTTTCACTAGGCTCATTAGGGCCGCTTCTGTAGATCAGTCCTGATGGGCAGAGTGGCATCGATCCAGTGGTTTGGGTTATCGATAATTGAGTTCCAAAGAGATATCTCTTCCTCTGTAGAGTCCATCCAGCTCACTGGATCACCATAACTCTGGCCTGTCACATAACAAAATACTCCTGAATTATGTCAAGCGTATCACTTAAGCATGTCACAAACAACAAACAATTCACAGAAGGGACTTTATTATCAATTCATTGTAGTTTAGAGTAACACCAACTGTAGAGGCTTTTTCTGGGTGCCCAGAAATGACCTTACTCCAACAACACGTCCATTCAAAATGTTTAAAATACCTACTGTGAACTCTGTTGCACTGACACAGAGCACTACCCACACATTATTCAAAAAGCTTGTGTCACAATTTTAAATGCCCAATACATCTGAAACTAAAATGAAATAACCATGTAAAGATCTCACCAGTTCCACAGCTCAGACGTACCCCTCCCAGAATAAGCGTCTTCAAACCCTCTCGCTGCCACACTGTGAGCTCGGCACAGGCTTCTTTCAGGTCGCTGGTGTGAAAGCCATCGTACACCATTGTGTGATTGAAGGACGGGCTGATCGTATGCTTCACAATACGGGTCTTCTGGCCACTCTGGCGACTGGCATCAGGGAGGATGTAGCTATTAGAAAAGGATACACAAAAAAATTATAGTGTGGGTGTAATCTCTAGGCTGTTCCTTGTATTTAGAGGTAAATAATAAAGAATATTAGTTTGATGTGGGTCTATAAATAACACAATTTGTCAATGCAGACGAGGCAACATGAATAAAGGGATACTAGTCATAATGATAAGGCTTGTTAAATCTGTGTATTATTTTATTACAAATCTCAGATTTGGTAGCTCACAAACCATCTAACAAAGGAGTTCAGTGGACCTCCTTTATTGGACACAAGCCCTTGAGCCTCTCGCAGCCAAATGTGCAACTCTCCTGTCAGGGGCAAACCGCCACCTTAAAACAAAAGATAAATGCCATCTTAATTAGAAAGTTAATTATAAACAGTAATACAGAATTTTCATGATTGCCACCTTCTCACCCTCAAAACCTTCAGGGACAAATTTTGCAGACAACATGATTGTTCCTCGACTGCTCAAGGCATCTGGACTCAAATTAACCTGGGAAGGAAAAAATGTATCATTAAGTACCAGAAAAAAGTGATGGGGACAAAGGAAAAGGCCAGAAGGAAGCAAGAAATAAAGCGAAGGTGAGCATGAAGGGAATCATCTTAGTTACGTAAAGCCTTATTTAAATTCACAACATGTCTTCCTTTCCTTCAGCTCTCCCAGAAACACTCCTCCCTAGTCTTTGGTCTGCGAAATCTGCTATTACATATAACACAAAAATCACAAGGAAATACTGACTCATATTCAGTTATCAAATAGGAGTGTGCAAACAAACATTGTATGTTTAATCTTTTAACAAATGACCAACCCTTGGCTGTAACTCCTGCCAAAGAGGCTGAGTGCAGGTCCAGTCCCAGCTGCCCAAAGCCAGCTCCACTTCTCCCAAAAACACATTTCTCCCCAAGGGTTCCGCATGCCACACAGACAGGTTTAATGTCCGACTGCGCAGCTCCCCAACACGCAGTTTGTACTAGGAGATAAAGAGTTAGATTACTCCACGTGAATATGACATAAAGGTCCATTGTTCCAATGGCAAGCAAGGTCAAACATAAATGTACGTATATTTTTGTAATGATTGTAATATTAAATTATCTAAAAATATCTATAATAATTTTTAACATCAATTAGGTAATCTTACTATCTGACCATCTTTCCAAATGTAACACCATGTGCAAGAATTTGTGAGGCACTTGAAAGGCTCAATACCACATGCGTCACTGCATGGCTCATTTCTGTTTTTAATTTCAACCATTTTTATAGATAGTGTTTTGTTTTTGTTTGGTTGGTTGTTTTGTTGTTTCATAACAAAGTTTGAGAACAAAATATCCATGTTCAATATTCCTGGATTATATGGACTTCAATCAATACTAAGTAAGTGATTTTAAATAATGTAGATTCTCACTCTTAATGTCTGCTCATAGACTGGATTTTGAGTCTTTTTCTTCACTGATGTTTTCTTCTTGCTCTGACTTGACATGTCCGGCAGTAGATATGCTTTCACGTATCTGGGGAATGAGAAAATTGTGTGAACCTTTGTGTGACTTTGACCAACACAATTTGACACTTACGGGTCCGAGCGGTTCTTTCGTGCCGCAGCAATGTCCTCACAGCGGAAGATTTTGATTTGCAGCTCCTCTTTGCGCGTGTTGTAAACCAATGAGAACTGAATCCGTCCCCTCACCTCCACCACGCCGAAGTCTCCAGAACTGAACAAACTCATCATGCTGCCACTCAGCTAAAAAGCACGTAGAGCAGTGATCAGTGCCGACGTCAGTGTCCCAGGCTGAGTCATCTTTGCCTCGTCAGTATTCGCCAATGGACTTGGTACGTGTGTGTGTGTACCGTGTAGCTGGAGTGCAGACTGCCGGCAGAGCTGCTGGTTTTTAAAGATGTGGGATCCAAATCGTTCAGACTACTGTTGATGGAATCACTGTCCTTGTCATGGTCATTGACATTGTCCTGTTGCAAATGCGTTTAAAAAAAATAGTATGGATTTAAAATTTAAAAGAAACAAATCCAATAATGAGCTATTTTGGTTTAAAAGTCATTTGGATGTCAGTTAGATAGTGCACTGAAAAAAGTGTCTTCATTAATGTTTCATTATAATTACAATTAAAATTAATAAATGCAGAAATAGTACATTTTGTGTGTTAAAAATCAACAGGAGAAATTATACAGTTCCCTTGACAACTAGCTACTGAAACTCTGTACCTATTTCACTCTTTAGTACTCATGACTGATTGTGCATTACCTCAGATTCCTCTGCGTGGCTCCCATTACTTATCCTGTCATACTCTAAAATACAACAAAAAAGACATTATATATAATTGGCACCATTGGCACAATAGATTTAGTCATAAAGGAATGTGTCATAGGAAATTAAGTCTACCTTTGGACATTTGTATGCTTTCCGGTACAACCTGGATTGAGGAAGGAATTTAACATTTTACTCAAATATAAAAATTCCAGACAACATTAGCACTTCTAAAAAGGTGGGTACAATCAAATAAGCCTTACACTTTACTCTTCTTCTTGTTCACTTTTTCATTTTTTTGAATATGCCAAACGGCAAGACATTTTGGAGGCAGAGCAGATATAATTCATATTTTAATTCAGCATTCTTCATAGAATCTTTATAGTATAAATATAAATAATGCTCATTCTGTCAGATCATGAATGACTGAAGTATGTACAACTATGGAATGATGTATCAAAGGTAATATCATATTTACATTGAGTGGGCTCCAGTCTATATTTGTTTGAGACAAGATAAAAGATCAAAATCCTACAGACCTTTTCTTGGAGAGTGTTTATTCTAGGTGAGGGTGTAGGTTTCACAGTTTGCTGACTTCTAAAAACATATACAGTAGACACTTCTAGTTACATTCTGTATCTTGTGAAATTGTTGTTTTGTACATATCCATACTAACCCGACTGCATTTTCTTCTATAATCTTGTTCAGGCCTTTGTCAGGAAGTGTATTGTTGTTTTGTGGTGATGACATCTTCTCCTCTGTTTCCCCATTAAACAGCCCAATCAGTGGCACATCTGTTACTATAGCAACAACCACATTAGCATCACTGGGAAATCCCTGCATCAACAAAACCAGTCTGCAATAACAAGGAGGGATGTGTGTATTGGGGCCAATGGGCATGCCTCACCTTTGTTTTTAAGTTTTCTGAGGCGCATGGATGCATGAACAAGATCACAGCCAGATGTCCAGCTGTAGTGCCGCTTGCTGCGCTCATTGTTAAACCAGGCACCTGATAAAGAGCGCAGACGCACTGGATCAGTCACTCTCTGTTGGAGGTTTCTGCAGAGATTAAATAAAACAAGCATTAGAAATATATATTTACCTATCAATATTTTTGATGAGGTTCATAATTTCATTCAGTAATTTCCTTGGTCTTCAGTGTAATAGAAAGTCTAAATAAAATAACTTAAACTTAAAAAACTCTTAAATAATAAGGTAACAGTCACCTCTGACCTTACACGCTCTTCATCCAGATGCCGCAGCTCCAGGTCTCGCTGTAACACTTGGAGGATGGACTCCTGCTCCTCTTCTGTCAAGTGGCTCAGGTCCAGAGAGCCGCCTGAGTCTTGCTCCATCTCAGACACAGGGGCTCAGCTACAGTCAACAACACCCATAATACAGGCTACATTAGACATATTAGGCTATATTTTTAAAAAATATCAAATTAATTTAATAATGTAAAACTTATATATATATATATATATATATATATATATATCTCCATCCATCCATTTCCGTCTGCTTATCCGGGGTCGGGTCGCGGGGGCAGCAGCCTAAGCAGGGACTCCCAGACACCCCAGACACGTTCTCCAGCTCCTCCAGGGGAACCCCGAGGCGTTCCCAGGCCAGCCGAGAGACATAGTCCCTCCAGCGTGTCCTGGGTCTTCCCCGGGGCCTCCTCCCGGTGGGACATGCCCGGAACACCTCCCGAGGGAGGCGCCCAGGAGGCATCCGGAACAGATGCCCGAGCCACCTCAACTGGCTCCTTTCGACGTGGAGGAGCAGCGGCTCTACTCTGAGCTCCTCCCGTGTGACTGAGCTCCTCACCCTATCTCTAAGGGAGCGCCCAGCCACCCTGCGGAGGAAACTCATTTCGAGCGCTTGTATCCGCGATCTTGTCCTTTCGGTCACTACCCAGAGCTCATGACCATAGGTGAGAGTAGGAACGAAGACTGACCGGTAAATCGAGAGCTTCACCTTTCGGCTCAGCTCCCGCTTCACCACAATGGTCCGATAGCGACCGCATCACTGCCGAAGCTGCACCGATCCGCCTGTCAATCTCACGTTCTGTCCTCCCCTCACTCGTGAACAAGACCCCGAGATACTTGAACTCCTCCACTTGAGGCAGAGACTCTCCACCTACCCGGAGAGGGCAAGCCACCTATTTCCGGTCGAGAACCATGGCCTCGGACTTAGAAGAGCTGATCTTCATCCCAGCCACTTCACACTCGGCTGCAAACCGCCCCAGTGCACATTGCAGGTCCTGGCTTGATGAAGCCAACAGGGCAACATCATCTGCAAACAGCAGACAACATTGTCCCCAAACCGGACCCCCTCCGGCCCCTGACTGTGCCTAGAAATTCTGTCCATAAACACAATGAAAAGAACCGGTGACAAAGGGCAGCCCTGGCGGAGTCCAACATGCACCGGGAACAGGTCTGACTTACTGCCGGCAATGCGAACACATTTCCTGCACAAAGGGCCCCGGACCCCATACTCTCAGAGCACCCCTCACAGGACACCACGAGGGACACGGTCGAATGCCTTCTCCAGATCCACAAAACACATGTGGATTGGTTGGGCAATCTCCCATGAACCCTCGAGTACCCGATGGAGAGTGTAGAGCTGGTCCAGTGTTCCACGGCCAGGACGAAAACCGCACTGCTCCTCCTGGATCCGAGTACCCTGGCATAGACATTACCGGGAAGGCTGAGGAGTGTAATCCTCCTATAGTTGGAACACACCCTTCGGTCCCCCTTCTTATACAGAGGGACCACCACCCCGGTTTGCCAGTCCGGAGGTACTGTCCCCGACCGCCACACGATGTTGAAGAGGCGTGTCAGCCAAGACCCACAACATCCAGAGACTTAAGGTACTCAGGATGTATCTCATCCAACCCCGGAGCCTTGCCACCAAGGAGCTTGCCAACCACCTCAGTGACATATATATATATATATATATATATATATATATATATATATATATATATATATATATATATATATACACATTATATATAATGTGTGTGTGTGTGTGTATATATATATATATATATATATATATATATATATATATATATATATATATATATATATATATTATATTATATATATATATATAATATATATATATTTAAATTTATCAGCACTTGTAAATCATGTAGATGCTGTTGAAGCTTATGTAAACCTCCAATGTGCATTTCACAATCCAACGCCAAATTAATTTGTGTTTGTCGTGTAACTGTAACTCGAGGCAAACGCATGGAATTTACGCATGCGCAAAAAAGTTGCCCAGTTGCTGTTTGGAGTTTAGCCAAGCGTTCAGCGACGAGGGTTTTTAACACGTCTGTAAAATAACATTTACCCAACATATTTTACTTGCATACGTGCTCATTTCCGGCGTATAAACAGTTTGAAATCCATTAATTAATTAAATAAAAGAAGCAATATGGTAAACCGATTTGACATAAGGCAAGACGGGAATTGTTAAGTCAAAACATGCATTTTATTCAGTTGTGTGTGCCACCAAAGGTCTGACGAATGGGCTAGTTTGAGCTTATTGGAACTTTTTCCTATCATAAACACTGCGAGAGAGTTGACACCTGTCGCTATTTTTGTCTTGTAAACCAAATTCTAAATAAATTAACACGAGAATATGTGTAACATTTAACGTGCTAGATGCACAAAAACATTACCTATGTTTTGTAGAATCTCTTATTTCCATCCGGGAAAATGAATAAAAAGCTTAAAGTGGAAGAGCAACGCGTGAGCTTGAGTTTAGTGAGTACTCTGTGGCCACGCCCTCTTCTTCCCTGGGAGACGCACGGGGGCACGCGCACGGGACACCGAACAAACAGAAAGCGCAGTGCGCGCGCTCGTGTTTGCTTGAGTGTGTTAGAGGAGTGTCACACACGGATGTTACACCAGGGCCAGGGTGGAGGTGGGATGTAATAACTTGCAGCCATCCACCACACCTGCTAAACATACACAGAGCACTGTTTACTTGTGCACGCTGATATGCCTGAAGTGAGTTAGAAGAACCAGCAACAGCCAGCGACATGTAACAGTAACTTTATGGTAATAAGAGTGTGCAGGCATCCCTGTGTGTGTGTGTGCGCGCGTGTGTGTGTGTGTGTGTGTGTGTGTGTGTGTGTGTGTGTGTGTGTGTGTGTGTGCGTGCGTGCGTGCGTGCGTGTGTGAAGGGGGAAAGGGTTTCAGAGGGAAAAGAAGACTTGTATTCAATCCTGCTCTTTGTCAACACACTTGGATAACAGCCACCAGCCTGTTGAATTGGGAGCTTTATTTGTGTCAAGGCCTATTGAGGGTCCTGGCTAACACAGAAGCCCCAGTGCATCCAATCAGGCACCCAAATGTTTCCTCTATGTTCCCTTGTGCATCTCAGCTATAAATATAGGACAATACTTCTCACATTTGCACACTAAGTAGGTACAACTGTATAAAGTTTTATCACCACAAAAATACATTTGGAGTAATACTTTACTTAACCAAATCAATAAACCTAGATCAAATGTTGTGGTGGGATAAAGAAAAAAATGGGCCCTGTTCCACAGTTTGAGAAACACTGCAGTGCCTGTATATATCAACAGCAATATTCAAAGTCATCTAGTTAGGTAAAATCAGTTGTTCACTCAACAAATAAACCCAAGGGTTAAAAACAACAACAACAACAACAAAGTCTATAGAAAAACAAAATACTGCATGCCCATTATTTACTCTACACAGCAGACTTTTGAAAATTTTGATTCAAACAGAGCTTACAGACACGAGCAAATTTGTATTGACATACACACAACAGAATTAATATATATATATACAAATGCAAGATGGTGCACCAATGCTATGAAATATATTACACATAATTAAACTCTTACGGTATGCAGCAAATAGTTGCAAATCCATACTCAGTGTAGAAGATTATTGTTATAGATCATTCATTTGAAAATTGTTGTGCCCATTGTTCAACATTTTATAAAAAATATACTACCAATGCCAATGTTATTCTGCCCATCACCTATTTTTAATCTGGAAAATAATATGAATGAACATTTTGTAAACACAATTTTAAGCAACAGTCAGTAAAATCTGAATAAGATCCAAACATAGCACACTCATGCAGAGGCAGACACTTGTTACACAATGTTTTCACACATTTTATCCTTGTCCTTAAAGCAGCCACCCTCCAGGAGTTCACATGGGACCAAACCAAAAATGACACCAGGAAAAAGGGAAGTAATGTCGTCACAACTTGATGAGTCACAGCTCGCCTGATCTCCATTTGTCCTGTTGTATTTGCCCTCTGTCTGTTCCTCATTGTGGCTGCTCACTGTGAGAATTGACACACACACACAGAGACACTGTTAAGATCAGAGTAAAATAAATGAGGATGTTGGGTTTTTCCTTTGCTTTCAGTTTGCAGCATCTGCCACCAGAGGGCATTGCAATCCAGTAGTCTCCCACACAACTCAATGACATGCAGTATATTCATTAAAAGCTGACATTAGTTATAGACTCACATGGTTTCATAGTTACTCTGCTCTTTTGATTTCAGGAAACGCATTGCAAAGAAGCCTCCAGCCTGAACACATAGCACCAGGATGATCCCCCCTATGAAGCTGGACATGTCAAACTTGGCCTGAGAGAACTCTGGAGCAGGTTTGGGGTTGCTGTCACGATCTGCACAGAGGAACAGCATAATTTATGAAGGCAAGCTGAGGTATAGGTGTTAATGGTGTTAGTATGCGTAGGATGTTACTGGCAGCTCTAAGTAGGCCCATGTAAGTGAGTGAGGGGCTTCAGGGAATTAGCTTTTATGGGAATGATGCATGGAAGGTGGGGGCCGAGATTGTGTCATTTACCTGCGTCATTTCCATCTTCAGCCAGTGTCTCCACAACTGAAACAAAAACAAACAAGGTGATTAATGACAAGATTTATTGACCACTGTATGTGGTGATCATATCAGTTACTACCTAAGCACAGTTCTGATACTCTGGTCCAACTACAGTTCCTCCCGTCATCTGCAACGTCTCCTCTATCCTTCATACACACACCAGTGTCATTATCTGTGAGAGAAAAGAAACATTGAATAATGGGTCATGGATTGATTGTATGCAGTACATCACAGAAAAAGAGCTCTAAATGATTAAAGGTGCACTTTTTTACAGCTCCCTGGAATGTTCCCTAGTATGGCAACAAATGTATGTCTCCATGAAGACAGGCCAAGTTACAGGTCAGATTTATGGAGAGGCAACCCTGCTTACCATGAAAATGCATATCTTTGAAAGTATTTTAGCAACAATCTCTTAAACTGAAACTTAAGATGGACAATGCAATACTGTGAAACAGTTTTGGCAGAGCAATAATATATGGAGACAGTAGAAAACTTGCATAGTGTAGCTTTAACTATATCCCAATGAAAGTCATTGGGATATAGTCACCCTGATCAATATTAAATTAGATTACACAATCATCCAGAAATTAACTACCGCAGCTCATCAGATTATCTGTTATTCAGTGGCACGTTTACTAAATGTTGTACACATATGTGGAATACAGGAAAATGGTAAAGCTTTAACTGATTTTGAGCCAGTTTAACAAAAGCTACATCGTGATGTCTAGACTTTCAAAGTTGCCATAAGAAAGGAACTATAGTTAACAGACAACACCTGATGCACATATAGTGGCTGGATCTGGCTACTGGTCATAATCTCATACGTGATTGACTTTCTTACACCCCTAACTGTTTTGTTTAGGTTTGTGTGTTCCTAGCATACTGAATTATTTAGTGTTTAGGGACAAACCAGTGAAGCTTATGTTACAGCAGCTGTGATGATAGAATTACTGTCAGAGGTCACTGCAGTGTGTGAGTGTGTAGGCGTCACCATCTGGGCACAGCCTCCAAACGCAGCCCGTCAAGTTTAATAGAGACGCTCCGACGCACAAGTCACATGACTCGGCCTGAGAACAGTCTGGGGTACAAACAAAATGTCGTTCAGTTTGAAGTGTCCTTCAAATTGAGCAGCAGGTGAATAATTATAGCATTAGATAAGATTACTGAAATCATCAAACTAACATTGATATGTAAATGGGAAATTAACATTGTTCTTACATTAACCAGAAATATACTGGTTGAGTATATAGAACTTTATCTAAATTCAGAAGTACGAATGCTCTATGTAGACATCAAAATTAGTATTTAATGGAAATAAGTTCTAATAGGGATTTAGAATAGTTTCTTATTTTTTTCTTACCTGGCTCGGGAAAGAAATGCTATAAATATGAAAAATGTTTCTTACCTGCTTGTGAATATACAGAGTTCACTGCTACAAAAAGTAATAAACAGGAACAGATGATCTTGAAAGCTACTCGCTGCATTGTAACTACTACAAAACACCTGTAAACACAACCAGGAAAAAGTAGCAGTCCTCTTCGTGGGCTAAAATGGCTAATAAAGTTACGGTTTCTCTCTGGGACAGTCACAGAGAGACTGAAGGGACAAAGGCATCAGTGTAACATGAGAGATACCCAACTGAGTTCCCTGGCAACAAGTGGCCCACCTCAACCCTACCGAACTAGACACCACTTCAAATGAACTGACATCTGACTGGCTAGCTCTGAAACATGTGCTTGTAAATGCTGCAGCAATTCCTGGTATCTAAGGTTTTGACCTAAATGAATTGGATTGAAGACTATTGTTCAAAAGCTTTGGATATTAACAATAAGAGCCCATCACTGTTTTTTTTTTTTTTTTTTTTTTGTTGTTGTTGTTGTTGTTTGTTTGTTTATTTGTTTGTTTTGTTCACTTTCAATCTTAAACTGTGCCATGCCTCTTTATAACTGTATAATTTTATATATAGTTTTGTATTTTGTAATTATTTTCTGTGTTACCTGTGTCAAATTAATATCATGCTATAATCTGGCATATTTACACTGTAATTACAGATGTTCATTAATATGAACTGTTTCTATCAAATAAATAAATAAATAAACTCCACCGAACGTATTAAATATATCTCAAGAGACGTGATCCAAAGGGCTGAACTTCACTTACACTTTTAAATTATGCTGTTGTGATTAAATACATGCAATTACACTTTTATACAGCGAAGAATTGAAGGCATTCCTCATATTGAGACCAATAAAATTTTTCACACTCATTAATTTGTTATTTTACTCATGAAAAGTAATTATTATGTACTTGTCTTTTGTCCGTAAATCTTATATAGACAAATGCTTTTCGGACTTCACAGTAGTGTCAATTATGTCCAGTCAGACGTAGTGAGCTCTAAAAATATGAAGGTGTGAAGGAGATGGAGGTGCTGAAGGCCATCACTTAGAGGCGTCAGAAGTACACTGTAAGTCACTTCAGATGTGTCATTATCAAGTGATGTGAGGCCTTGGGATAAACTTACATAAGATGACAAATATTTAAGCAGTTATATGACTGCAGGCTTTAATTGTTTTTTTCTTTTATTCATTTAAATTATTTTATTCATTTCTATATTTTACCCACTAGTCTCTGATTTGAGTAGATTGGCAGTGTGCTGGCGGGAAACAAAACAATTACAAGGCACACTCAGCTGTTATTATACAAGTGAGATTCTTCCCAAGTGAACCTGACTATGTGTGTGTCATGATGCGTTTTGGGATTCTCGGTATCACCCGTAACACACAATAGCTTAAAGAACACCTCTATACTCCCACATATCTTGCTCATGCAGTCTGGGCATTGCTAAAAGATTTTGTGTTTTGGCATGAAATCATAGAGAAACCTTCATGGGATCTCATACTAGACATGGAGCACGACTTCTTCCTTCACATTGCCATAAAATCAATAAACATGACTGACTGAGAGATAATGTAGCCTGACTGGTTATCTTGGATGAATAAGTTAATGGCCAGATGTCATGTGGAGAAGGTTAGAATACAGCTTAACACTTAAAGATTACATCATTTTGCCTACAATTTTGAAGAAACGTTGTCTTTGAGCGTATTACAGTGGATGAGTAATGAGCAGTGCTGAATGCGATAGGGACGAGTCTTGGCATTCACGAGTTCAGCCCCGACAGCTCTGAGGCTATTCTCACAAAAAGAAGCAGACAGTTGCTTTCCAATCCTCTTCGTGACGTAGGCGGGGTTTAGCAGCAGGAAGCGTTTCCTAATATGGCTGGAAGAGGGCGAGATTCCCCCACATTGTTATGCGCGACCACGTAAAGCCCATCCTGCAGCACCCACGCACGCAGACCAAGAAACCGGGGATGCCGCGAAATCCCTGTTTATATTTGATTACCATCGCTTTTATCTCTAAAGGAGTGTCTTGGAAATGAAACAGACACATTGAATTTGGAAGATATTGCTTAAAAATAAAAGACATTTGAGCCATTCAGAGCAACAGGTGGACTTTTAGGTTGCAGTGCATTTAAATTAACCACATCGCTTGTGCACCAATATTGCCTTTTGCTTACAAGATTGCCTATGTATCAAAAAAGTTCCGTACTTAATTTGGAGAAGAATTGAGTATATGCCTGAGTATTGTTTTGCAGGGCATGAGTCACCATGGCGCTCTTCAGCACCACGGACAGCTCTGTTTCCAGCACTCACCCCTCCGTTTCTCCCCCCGTTCAGAGACCGGCCCAGCTTTTATTGACAAAATGTGTGTTGTCTCGGTGGGGGCTCAGCTAACGGAGCTTCAAGGTGCCCATTATTTACCAGAAATGAGAACAAGAGTGAACCGCAGTGGGAGGGGCTAGATGCGGTGCCGCATTTTTCTGAATGAAATTACTCCCCTTACGCCCCCCTCACACTTACCGTACCCGATGTACTAGACCCTTATTGGTTGAGCGCCCCCATTCACTGACGTCAGATCGAGCTCTCTTGTGGACGTGTCTGAGCCCAACAGCATCCATTCTGGCTTTGGTGCGCGCCCCGGAGAGACCTGCCTGGACCAGAAGAGAAAATGCGAGCAAGGCGCGTGGACATTTACGCACATCACAGATAAAGACTGAAACAGGAGCGTGCCATTTACTAAGGTTTCCCAGATTAGTTTTTTTTATTATTATTATTTTAAGATTGATCACGCCGCATCACATTGGACACGCAGCATCACTAAACCTCGACAATCGCCTTTGGATCTTCTATTTTCCGTGAAGAACTAAGCCAGTCCAGTTTGTTAATAAGGTAAGATCCATCTATAATATAAAACATACTGTAGCTAGGACAGGTGCAGTGCGCGCTTTGGGGTTGACCTGCGTGGTGCAAACCCGTGAGTGTGTTACACAAGAGGGTCCTCCGCGACTGATGCTGGGATATACTCAGCATATATATGTGGGATATACAGTGACCGGCAAATTTTTCAGTTTGCTAGACAATGATAATATAATTTAAAATCATTATTTTAAACAGGGAATATAGGATATAAATATGTATTTTTCTATGAATACAAGTATATTATTTAAGGTAAAATCTTTTTCACTAAACTACCAACATCTTGCTATAACTAGGCCTATGTAAGCTACAAACATGGATATTTGTTCAAGCTTAATAAATTGTCTGGAAAGACGATGAACTACACTACAAGCTGCCTACTGTATCAGATCACCCATTCACTTTGAATGAGTGAGCTGCTAATGGACATGCACTATAAACATGTGATATCAATCAGCTGTGGCAGCTAATGTGATTTTATTTTCCACAACAGATCAACCATGATTCTGAATGCTTCAGATGCTAACTGGGTGGAGTCTTCAGGTGAAGAGCCTTTCTACACGGTGGACGACCTGCCAAGCACCTCTCCTTCTCAGCTCCCACCCCTCACGGTGTGGGGAGTGGCTCTCTGTGTATCTGGAACTGTCATTGCGATGGAGAATGCAATAGTAGTGACCACTATCTTGGCTACACCCTCTCTTCGTGCCCCTGTGTTTCTGCTGCTGGCAAGTCTGGGACTTGCTGATCTACTCGCAGGTGTAGCTCTGATTCTGCACTTCCTTTTCTTATTTTGTGTGGAGCCCAGTGACTGGTCAGAATTGCTCACTTCAGGATTGCTGGTCACATCATTGACTGCCTCACTCTGTAGCCTGATGGGTGTGGCCCTAGACCGATACCTGTCTTTGAGCCACGCCCTCACCTATGGATCGAGCCAATCACGACGCCGCGCTGCCGTCCTCCTGCTGCTGGTCTGGCTGGGGGCTTGTGTAATAGGAGCTGTTCCTGCAATGGGGTGGCACTGTCTGGAAGATCCACAGTCCTGCTCTGTAGCACGACCTTTGACCCGGACTTACCTGTCCCTCTTGTGTGGAGGCTTCCTTTTGGTTGTCATGGTAACTCTGCAGCTGTATGCTGGAATTTGCCAAGTAGCAAGGAGACATGCCCATGCCATAGCAACACAGAGGCATTTCTTGCCTGCCAATCAGCCATATGCAAGCAAACATGGCAATGGGAGAGGCTTCTCTCGCCTCATCCTTGTGCTCAGTGTATTTGTGGGGTGTTGGATGCCTTTTTCTCTGTGGGGGCTTCTGGGTGATGCATCAAGCCCACCACTGTACACATACGCTACCTTGGTGCCAGCTGCAGGCAGCTCCCTGTTGAACCCTCTTCTCTACAGTCTGAGAAACAAGGACATTCGCAGAGTGCTGCTGCAGGCCTGCTGCCCCCACAGATATACACACAGCACACACGTGCATTACCCAGTGGATGTGTAAACTGCCAAATTCCAACAAAAACTCACAATCTATGCCAAATATTTTCTGTTTGACGGCCAGGACAAACACATAGCTGTGCTAAGGTTTGTCCAGAACGAGCAGTCTCTCCTCCGCACACACAAACACACCCACACACACAAGCAGCATCCATTTGCAAAGCAGAATGTACTGAACTGTCCTGGCAGGTGGCCATCCCAGAGAGAGTGCCTGAAGACTTGTGTGTACTTTGTGCCTCATCCTCAGTCAATTGTAGCTCCACTGGATCCACAGAGTGTAACAGTCACTGATACTTTTCTTTGTACCCTCCTCTAAAAGTGGAGCGTCTTTGGTCCTTACAAAACCTATCACAGTGTACTGAAAATGATCCAGATGTTAATTACTTGAAGGCCTGTATAACAGTGTTCTTAAATGTTTGAAATACTATTTTGCACATATTCTTTGAGGCACTTTGAAAATACTGATCATGTTGTTGCACAGCATTTTTGAAATGAATAAATATTTTATACTGATGAATAATAAATATGCTTTTTCTTACTCTGTTATGTCAGCACTCTTCATTCCTCTGAGCACAGACTGCTCCTACCAAAACAGAAGCAATTTTAGCATAGCCTTCACAAACCATTCTTTTAATAAATCTAGAGGAACACAGGTATGACTGATTAGACAAGAGGATTTTCACTCCTGCTGAGACGACAGACTTTAGCACTTATAGTCATCATGCAAAAAAAAATGAATTTCAATATCTTTATTTGGACAAATAGGAATATAGTGCAGAAGAAGATGACATCTGGGGGTGTACACATGTGATTGTGTTTACAAAGAACACATTTAAATAAAGGCACTTGAAAACATCCAAAGCAAGTGAAGGTGTTTAAGAAAAGGTAAAACGCATTACACATAAAAAGACACTTAACAAGATAGGAAAGCAGCATTCAGAGCATTTGAAACAATATGTATCGTACAGAATAACACAAAGATACTGAGGAATGTACAACATGGCTAGACATGGCTAAGTTATTGTGCACTAATTATTAGCCAGTGTTTTCTTTCTTAACACTTATAATGTACGACTTTGAACCATTGTTTCCCTACTACTCAACACCCAATCTATTATTTCCCTGTTGTACTAAAAACTAACTGATCCATTCACATATAAAAGTGTCCACAATCACAAAAGTGAAATAGCATACATAAGTTGTGCCGAAGGATTTACATTATGATTCAATAAAAATTATAAACATCTTTACTTATTAGAAACTCATACTTATATTAAAGGAATCAATAGCCACAACTGCATGCAGCAGTGTTACGTAGCTCTTGAGTTATTGTTATCCCTCTCTAAAATCTGATAAAGCCATGTGCTCCTCGTGTGCAGCACAACTCATACTGATTAAGATTAAGACATACCAAGAGATGCTAAAACTTGTCATGTGTTTTCCAAAAGAGGCAACAAAATATGATCCACAAATCTTTGCAGCTTGGTCAACTTTATATATTGGAATAAATATGTGGGCCTTGAAATGTGTCTGATGGTAGATACTTTTGGTAAATTAGATGTATTCTTTGTCAAACTAATGCTAAAGTTTGTGTGTATAAAATTAAAATTTTTTTTTATCACATCATGGCTGTGAGAGACAGAGTTGATCACTCAGACCAGTCATCATCGTCAAACTCTGAAGAATCGTCTTCACTATCGCTGCACTCCACAGCGATACGACGAGACAAGATGGCTGCTACATCATTCCCAGTGTCAACCCTCTTCTCTTGTTCACGCTGGGCCTCAACTTTACGCAGGTTAAAACCTGTGGCAAAATAACATTTTAAATATATAACAATTACTATATTTTGCCATCTTTAAAAAGCTGTTTTTGTCAGGGCATAGATGGGCTAAACAGGCATGTTCTGTCATTGCATAAAATGGGTTATTTAATTCTAATCTAAAACTGAGTCTGATACCTTGACGGATGGCCTGCAGCAGGTCACTGCGAGCATCGCTGACTGGTTCTGGAGCTGGGGCAGGTTTGAGAGCTGGTGCCAGGCCAGCTCCAGAGTACGGAGGTGGAGGCCCATTGATATTTGAAGGTGGTGGTCCAGGAGGAGGTGGGGGTGGAGGGGGGGGTGGTGGACCACCACCCATGGTGCACAGGGTGGAGGCGGGGGATGGACGCAGCCATAGGAGGAGGAGGTGGGGCTGGTGGGGCAGGATAGGCAGTAGGGGAGGAGGTCATAGGAGGAGAGGGTGGAGGCTCAAATCCAGGAGGAGGTGGAGGCATAGGCATGCCAGAGGGAGGAGGAGGGGGAGGAGGAGCAGGGGGAGGAGACAGATTGGGACGAGCAGCCGGAGGAGAGGCCAAGGGGGGAGCAGGAGGAGGATGGCTTGGACTTTGCACACTTAAGCCCTTTTGAGTTGGTGCTCCAAACTGTCCATCACATCTGTGAATCAAAAAAACAAACAAACAAAAATACAAAAAAAAAAAAAAAAACAGCACACACACATTTAAGTATGGGTCTTAATTTGGCATTTTTTACTTCTGGATTCAAGTAATCCACTTACGCCATGTCTGGAGGTGGAGGAGGCAAATCATCACTTGGTAGAGGCAGAGGGGAGGTGGGATCATATGAGTAGGAGTTCGTACTCAATTCAAGATCATTGTATCCATCTCCAGAGGCAATACTGCCATTAAGACCTTCTGATGAATTCCTATAAAAAAATACAATTTGAATAAGACTCTTAAATACTAAACCTCAAAGAAAAAGGCACCAATTGCTTCTTCCCAAAACAGTCACATTTTAACCCAGCACAAGATATTTTTTTGTTGGAAATGGAGTTTAGTTGTGAGCAGCATTTCGACTTACATGAAGTCACTCTTTGGCACTACAAACTCTTCACCCATCTTGCGACGCTCCCATTCATCTTTCCTGGTTTTGACTTTTCGAGGATTGAGTGTTCTAGCATTTACATGGTCTTTCTTCTCTCTCTACTCAACAAAATATTGAATGGAATTTCACCATCATTAAAATATTACAGATGTTAGATTAATGCCTAGTTCATACTCACTCTATGTTTGCGCTTTTCCTTCATGATGTCCTTCGTGTCCTGTAGCATCTTTTCTTTCCACAGATCAAAGAAGTAGGAAGGATCTGTGTAAAACTTCAGAGCTTCTTTGCCATCCTCTCTGTTAAAACAATTAATTATCAGAACATTTTAATCAGTGCTGCTTTCAGCTGTTACAACAATTTTATACACAACAATGCTAGCTAAGAAAAAAGTAATTATTAGAAGACATCTAAAATCATATAATTAAGCAGGGTCACGGTACTTGAAATTACTGTCGCTGACACCAATTTCCCAACCCATGTTCCTCTTATTCTTGGTTTCAGTTAATCATCCTTCAGCTGACAAGTCTCCATGTTTTATTTAGGACCTTGATCAGACCAAGACTCATCAGATGGATTTTGACATAATAGGTAACACTTAAGTCCTTCTTTGATTCACAGTTCCATAGTATATTATAATATTATATATGTGGATATTTAAATATTTAGGTTCAAGAATAGGATGAAATCATTTCAGGTAGGTTTTAAACTAAAATATGATTATTTTCCATTTTGTTCATTGTAAATTGCAATATTTATTAAAAAGCTACTTATTAGTTATTCATCATGATTTCTGATTAGCCATTACATTATAAGCTGCCTAGGATTCAGTCACTTCTTAAAAAAAAAATAAAAACAATTTATGCTTCTGCATTTCACTATTTAGTATCTTAAAATACCCTTTAGTTTAATATTAGACAAGTTGAAAACTCAATGTGATGTGATGAGTGGGGGAAGTTGCATGAAAAAAAAAAAGATATATTTGTACATTTCTGATTTTTTTTTTTTTTTTTTTTGCTATACCAAAACATGATAGACTTTCCTGATATCTCTAGCACCAACAGAGACCAGCCATACCTTCAACATTTCAGCAGTAAAAAGGTATATAATTTACAGCCATGATTAAGAGAATCTTTCATATTTATGTCACGTGTTTGAGGTCATTATGTGCCTGGTGGATGTAACAGCTTTAAGATAGCAGACCACAGTGTACAGCGGTCTACATAACAAGTGTGAAGAATTTTACACACGTGCATCTTTATGTAGTACAAGTGAATCATCCAAGAGGTGATCTGAATAATAAATAGTCCTGATGGAAATGCCGAAAGCACGAGACTCTAACACGTGTTCCTCCACTCCTAACACATGTCTGCTCCTGATGAATAAATATGTATGCTAGGTGTAAATTGTACATACCGGTACTTGCTGAGGTCATTGAGTGGAGGGGGTGGGTCACAGACAGTGTAGGTGTCTTGTACAGGAGCAGGCAAAGAGGGACGAGTAAACAGCTGCTGGTCCTGGGTCAGACTGCTGCGAAAAGCCTTACGAGTAGTAATAGCCTGCAGAGACACTAAAAAGACCAGTTTATTTAGTATCGTGGGCCAAAAACTGGATTCTTATAGAGTCATAGAATTGTATTATTCAGCCTCTGTACAATATAAAAGATAGTGTTGAGGCTGGTACCTTCTTCTTCTTTGGGATCCAGTTGTGTGACCTTGACCTGCAGACGGTCTACTCTTTCCCCTAATGTATTCACTCTGACGGCAAAGGCACCGGCCTGCACAAACAGCTCTCCGAACACATCCTCCGCATACTTACCTAAAAACAAAAAAGGAAAGTTTTATTATTCATTATCCTCTTTAAAATGTTACTTAGTTTAACACTGCTCAATGCCAAATCCATAATTTGAATCCAGTGTCATTAAAATAAAAGCATGTGAGTAACAGAAATTAGCAACAGTAATACGTCATGAGCACTGACTGAGGCTGCCGAGTTGGCGGATGATATTGGCAAGACTTATGTTGGTGACACACTCCAGCTCACTGCGGATGTTGGAGGGGATGGTTTGGCGACACACGTGCCGCGGTTCGATGTTCCGAGTCACCAGAGGCATGGCTGGCAGGTACGGGAACCCAACCCTAAGAGAGAAAAATATGTATTTACTGAAATGAGAAAGAGCTTAGTTAACATTAGAAATATTATCAAAACAGCACAAGCAGAAGTTACATTCATACAGGTCTATATATAAAACGAGAGAGAAAAAGCAGAAGTCAAACTCAGGACTTGCTGCACTCAGCATGCAAACCACACTGACTTAAATGGCAGAATGAAAGTCATACCTACCTACCGTATCTAAGCCTACATTTTATCTTAAACAAAAGGTATATTTTCTTAAAGCAAACTATGTTGTACTGATGCCTGTTCACCACTCTGGGCGCTGTTCGCAGATCCAATATAAAAAAATGCCAGTTGAGGGGAAAGATTTTCACAACTTGTGCTCCCCACAAACACTGTGATTTCTCACAGCATTAATAATAAATAATAATTGTCTTTTTAATATACAAGAGACAGCCAATTCTGGACTAATGGCAGGCTTTCTGATAATGCACTTTCCCCCAAAAAGTTTTAGCCTACAAGTCTTTCCTTTGGCCCTGGGACCAAGAGAGATAACACTATTTAATCTACTGTCGGACAGAACGAGATCAAGCTGAGTCCAGGTAGTCACAAAACTATAAAATGAAACGCCTTTTTAACCCAACTATAGCTAAAGGCTACTTTGTAACTTGGCGTTTTGGCCTTGTCAGAGCAGGAAGTAACATGTCGGTGCTACTAAATTGAAAAAGCAAACATAAAAGTAACTTATAAGCACTTATGCAACTTTAAACCTAAATTGGTTACTTTAACTTTACGTACCGTCTCAACTGGGAGGTTGTAGATCGTCTTTACACCCCTAGTTGGTACGCTTTCTCAAGATTTCTACAAGAAATGTTTAGCGCAACAACTCTCAACCTGACTCCACAGATTCCGCAAGTCCCAGTATTGTTAACTTTTGATTGGCTCAGCGACTTACCCTCTCACCTCCTATTGGTTCACGTGCCTGTCAAGTATCTCAGAGAGAACAGGATGTGTAACTTTCAACGTAAAAAGCGCAACTCCACCCTGACTAGTGGCAAACATCTGGCCGTAATTTGCGTAACTGAGGGTGGAGGCAACCGCGGAGCGTGCATTCCTCCGTCTTCTCCAGCGAGTTGGAACGCGTCCGAGGAATGATTGGCATCGGCCTCAATGCAGAACAGTCGACCCTGTGGAGAAAAGCACTTACAGGAGAATAAATAGCCTACTGTCTTATATGGAATAACGAATGATGGAGTGCATCCTCTGTTCAGTCAATAAAATAAAACAAAACAATTTAACAAAGAAGAATTGTAAAACTGAGTTGTGACATCTCTGGATTGTTCTTATGGTTACTAAAAACAATGAGCTGTCACTGTGCACAACTGTAAAAAGAAAAAAATATATATATTAAAACCATTTTAAGATTTTATTTAAAATAAAAACAAAACTGGTCCATGTGTATCAGCAACCGATTTAAACAGACTTGAGTCCAAGGTAGCAATATATTTAAATTTTTTTTCCAAAATCCAACAAAGTAAGAAACATATTCATCTTTATCATATACAATAACTTTTTAACAGACAAAATATAAATGATTTTATATCTCAGTGATAATCAACAGCTATATGAAAATTCCATGAAAAGTATTTGTGCTTTTTCAAATGTGCAATCTTTCCATCACCAATAGAGGGAGCCCTGCATTTACAGACAATCAATGTGAAGAACATCTGTGTGGTTATTATAAGTTTGTATTTGTGAGCCTTCTGTTAGAGGCTGGTGTTGACCCAGCTCAGTGTATAGGAGCTGTGAGCGTCTGATAAGGTCCTTTTCAAGACAGTGTGTCCTTTTCCTGCAGAGCTGTGGACCAGCCTGAGCCCAGAGGCCTGTAGTCCCTGTAGGACACTGAACCAGTAGAGTAGCACTTCCTGGTCCGTCCCGGCCACCTCAAACCCAGCCCATTGGAGGTTCACTGTGGCCACCACATGATGGACATGCTGCAAGGTGCCTGACTCAATCCAGTTCTGGAAAACTCGCCATTCAGCACTCAGCAGATCTGCATACAGGAAGTGAACCTTAATGACAGAGAATAGAAAATCAATATCACTTTTTTCACAATGACGTACCTGTTTATATACACCAAGAACACCTAAATGGATTAATTGTGCTTAAGGCAATGTCTTTTATTCACAATTAAGATATAATAATAAAAATAAACATTATAATAAATACTTTTTTTATTTAGAGATAATGTACTACACATATAAAGAATATACACACACACACATACATATATATATATATATATATATATATATATATATATATATATGTATTATTTATTTATTTTGATCATGGCTATTTGTGTTAGTAAAGCAGTTAACTGAGAAGACAGAACCTAAAACTCTGTTTCTGTATCCCAGTGAATTTAGGTGCCCCTTCTTTAGCAGTAAGACTACTTAGCCTGAACTATTGGGGTGCAGCTCCCTCTAGTGGCTGCTGCTGGTAACTGTGCCAATGTGTGATTTCACTCAGCGTGTTGCCATGGCAGCCGGAGCCAGCAGAGCCCTGTTGCCATGGAGACATATGAGTGAGGGAAGTCTGTGGATGTGCTGGACTCAAAAGACTCCGAGGTATGTTTGTTTGGCACAGTAAATGTTTCTGAGTGTGTATTTTATGTGTGTGTATATGTGTGTGTGCGTGTGTATATGTGTGTGTGTGTGTGTGTGTGTGTATGCGTGCGTCTGTGTGTGTGTGTACTCACTGTGTGGTGTCCCAGAGCTGCCATGATGTCTGCCAGTGTGAGAGAAACACTGCCCAAGTTTCTTCTCATCTTGCGTTTACTTTTCCTTGAACCACGCCACTCCAGCCACATCTTATGCCGGCTCACCACGCCCCCTCCGTTACTTGCCAAACTGTTGCCAAGGTGACCACCAGATGTATTGGAGCTGCTGGGATCAAAACTATGAACTTCACATCCCAGCCTTGACACGGTGCTTTGAAAGTGTCTGTCTCCCCCGTCCATACTAAGGAGACAAAAAAAGCAGAAGCAATAGACTGAAAGAGGTGAATGGTTGAAAGAGGTGAACAATGTAGATGAACATACCTGAAGCTGTATGCTATACATGGGCCAGTCATTGTAGGAAGCAGCCACTCTTCAGCACAAAGCAGCCAGCGGGGAGGGGCTGCTGTGGGCTCTGGCTCTAGTGCCTCACCTGAAGAGAAAACTTTGGAGCAGTTTAGCTTGAGAAGAAGAGAACAGAAGGACTCAAATTAGATGACGAAAATATTTTGTACTTGAGCTTATAAATGCTGTAATGCATAAAAAAGTTGTTTATTTAGTGTGCAATATATTTATCACATCATTGTTTTTATTAATGAGAGCAATCTTAAAGCAGCACCTAGCAGATATGCCTCCTCACAACAAGTTAGCACATTTTTAGTGCAATAAAAACACCAATAATGAAATAAATGTCTTTTTTCAGTCTATTTTTCATTCAGTATTGCACTGTGGCTTCAGTGAAGTTTTTTGTAGTTGTCAGTCAGTACAAGCTTTGGCAGAAGTTGTCTGCCAAATAACAGTATTGAGTTGACAGTGTCTTACTGATGGTATTACCGCAGAGTTAACCTTACACTGAAGAAACTAAAAAAATAAATAAATAAAAACTTTATTTTATTGATTTTTGCCATAGCTGAGTTACTGACCTTGCTGCCAAAGCCCGTATGTCCAATAGCCTACCGAATTTGCAAAACTCTGACTCATAAAAAAATATCTTAAGTTATCTGAGGTCAGGACCTTGTCTTACAATCAGGAAGTTGCAGAAAAAAGGAAAGAACCTTTTACTTCAAAGGTTACAAAAGGTTTTCTTTTTTGTTATTTCACTTGATAAGTTTTTGTTTTAATGTAAAAGTCTTACTTGTTCAGTCTTATGTTTAGTAATACTGTAAGAGACAGACACCACTCCACTATGTTATTGCTGATGTGATGACTACCTGTGGATTGTTGATATAATTCAGTATTCGGTTCAACTCCGCTGCAAACGTCATATTTGCAACCCAAGGCTGCATCTCCAGAGTATTTGGTCCCATCTAGAATATCATAACATAAGATACACACAGTTATACTTTTTACTCTAGATTTGCAGATTTTGAGAGATTCAAACGAGACTGTAAAATGAGGTGAGAAGTGGGCAGGTAGAGTGGAGGTCACAGCCTGACCTCAGTCCTGCTGGTTACATGTGCTTTAGCCTGTAACTTACACACTCACTTATACAATGTCTAACAAGCCCCCACCCAGAGAGCCTCTGTCACCATGGTAACCTGAGGGAGGGGGCGATGATTCACAAGAGTGAGTCAGAGTCAGAGTCTAGCCTTGGGCTGAAAAGAGACAGCGGGAGAATGAAAGGGAGAAAGGGCGAGAAGTGAAAGAGGGCGTCCAAGGAAGTGAAGGAGGGGACCACTGCAGCCAATCAACAAACACACATAAGAAGAACATTTGGTTTGTTACAGACAAAGACCTGGAGAAAACAGCTGTCACTGCTCTGTGAAGTGGGACACGAGATGGACCCCTGCCCTCACCTGTTCAATCATGTCCTTAATCATTTACAGAGGTGTACCACTACACAGGCACATAACTAGGCCTACAACTGGCCCGGTTGGCAAGTAGACAAAACATTTCAAGAGATATATTGAAATATATTTAAATCTTTTTTTTTAAAATAGCTGGCCACTGTTAATTATTAAATATAGAATATGTCAAAAAGTAGACATGCGCCACATGGTGACCTTGTTTAACATCCCACATTAATCAACTTTTGATTAGGATGTAATGTCACACCAACGCGTGTTTCTTACCTGTCGCGAGTTCATCTCATTCTCGTCCTCATACAACCCCTCGCTCCTCCCTCCGTCTCCCCGCTGCACCCCCTCCTTCTCGTCCTGGCGCACACCGGCTCCTCGTGCAGGCTGCCCCCTCTGGCGTGTTTCCGGCTCAATGCTTATAACGCTGAACACCGCTTCACCCTGCTCCCCCGTGCCTCCGCGGTGAGCACTGGGCAATCTGGGCCACACCACTATCAGCTGCAAGGCCAGTAGCAGTGGTGGGATGAGAAGAAGTCCGGCTTGGTCCCCCCACCGCGACATAGCCTCACTCCTGCGCGCCAGCACCGGGGCACATCTCCGGCGCTCCGGACACAGCGCTCTCACTTCTCTGGGGACGAGAGGAAAGTCCCAGCTGAGAACTGCCCCCTCCTCTTTCCTCATCTGCCCCAGGGCATGTTGTGATGACGAGGCACATTCCTTAGTGGACAAGGGACAAGCACTGTAGCCTATACCCGCAATTTACACCCATTACCATCTGAAGAACGGTTTACAGCTAAATCAATCGCGTTATAATGCATACAGGTGGGATACTCTTAGGCCCAACACCATGGTTACTTCACTTATAATCAATCACTTTTCACTTAAGAGAAAAGGAAAGAAAGTTGTTGCTTAGCAAATTTGTTGCTAAGGAACAGAAATGTCCTGTTTTAAATTAATCTTAGTAGCTTGAGCTCAGTACTTTAAATAAACTACTAACTGAACAGATGAATGTACAGTGTATAGGCTACATTCACTTCTGCCTCCACAATCTGTCTCTTTGGTTTTGCCATGTAAGATTAAGCCACTGCACAGGTCAAACTATCTCATTTTCACTGTTTTGACTGTCATTATGGTCCCTCTGATAATGCTTGGTGAATGAATGGTCACACAAGGTTACAATTGTCTAGACCTATTATGTTTGTCGTTCTCTGTGTCTTTTGGCACGAACAGCTGCTGGTTTAATGATAAAGTCACATCTGCAACAGATTTGTTTAAAAATACTGTGTTAACAAAAACTGTTAAATATACTAAAATACAGGGCAGTATACTAAATAACATGTTATCACTGTTCTGAATTTATGTATATTCTTTTCATTTACAGAGACGCACCATAGGGTAGATCTCCACAGCTCTGAGAAACTGTATGTGGGCTGTGTGCGTGGACACTGCCCTCTCCACTGTAAATGTCTCTGCAAACGTCTCCTCTGGACATGTCTGCCTCTGTTTGGACTGTCTGTTTACAAACTGTACACAAAATGCTGCTAACAACCCACCCCCATCTGCGTTTGTACCCTGGCCTCTTTCTGTGTAGAAACACATACTCAAGTTGCACATGCATTCATATACAATCAGCATCTTCTCTTGTTTGTTCAGGAGCCTCCAGGATTTACAATGGAACTGTGCTTATTTGGGAGGAATTATGAATTGGTATGTTTCGATGAGACTCTTCTGGTTCCCTCCGTCTTTTTTATTTCCTCCTCTCTCCGCTTTATCCTCCCTGTGCTCCCCACCATCAATTCCTGTCTCTCCCTCCCCTTCCCTCTCACTCCCTGTCGAATTGTGTCCTTGACTGAACCCTCTGCTCGCAGTCCCAGACAGAGCTGCTCTACAGCACACACACATGTTCAGACCTCCCCAGACCCAGTTAAAAACCACACCTTATAGACAGTGGTACCAATGGCCAGAACAGAATGTGTATTTAAATATTTTGCACCTCAAATACATACATGATATGTAACAGACAGATATACATCTTTTCTTCACAAAAGCACCAAACAACACAAGACCACAGAAAAAGAAGGGAAAGAGTGAAAGATGGAGAAAAGCCCACCAACAAGACCCCGCACTCATCTCATCGATCATACATTCATATGCACACAAGTACATGCAGTCACACTATATTCTCTTTGGGGTCATTAAGTCGTCTGAATGTCTCTTCTCTTGTCGTGAAAATAGCTATAACACAGGATGCTAAATCTCCATGCTGCAGTCATCATCCTCCCCACAAAAGCAGATTCTGGCATGAAGATGTGGGTCCTTCGAAATGTAGAACAAAGAGCTTGGGTTTCAGATCTGGAATTGTATGTTCTGTACAGATGCTGGTATTTTCAGAGCAGGGATTGGTTCTGCAGTCCATGTTTCTCTCATGGGATACAACACGGGGAGTGCACAGAGCAGCGACTGAATGTAACTGTATGGTTGATTTTTAGGCTTACAAGTGGTTTTACGTTAGGGCACGAGACAGATAGGCAGGATCCATTAGTTGAGCCAAGACGTTGTTTTTAGCAGAAGATAAGCAGTTGATAAGAAAACACAGAAAACGCAGAGTGGATTTTTTTTTGACCAATTTGCAAATGCACCGAACATTAAAAAAAGCAAACTTCAGGGTGTTCTTGTACAAAGTATTGAGGTTTGTCTTGATCCGTCAGCATCTGTTTTGAATTTCTTCTCTGCCTTTCGCTTGTTCCAGCTAAGTCTGCAGTTGGGTGTACACTTATGACTCACAGGTGTCCAGGTAGCTGCTGCACATGCATGGGGCTGCTCGGATGTGTGTACTTGTTGTAGTCATGCTAAAGGTGTAAAAGTTGCAGTTTGATTTTGATTGTCAGAGCTGGAGAATTAAAGCTTTACTGTCCAAATGCTGGCAGCTAAATTCTCACCCTTCAGTTCGCAGTCTTTTACAAAGAATTCTCCTTAAAAACAAAAAAAAAATGCTTGCAAAATCTGTAAAAGCTTGGAAATGCATCTGAAAGAAAGAGGAGAAAAGGACTGTGTAAAAATTTTATATTGAGGACATAAATACTGATAACATATTTTTCTGCATTAGTGATGGGACAGTGATAGAAGCCCTCACCTAATGTCACCTCATGCAGAGCAGTTTAAGTTTATGTCTGTATGTAATGCATGTAATGTAATGTCTGTGGTGTACCAGTTTGCATAATATTTTAAAAAGGATCATGTCATGTCTGGAATGTAAAATCTATGTAGAAAATATACTTATTAATTTAGCTTTAATTGTGGTAAACATAAACTGAGATATAATAGCCAATTAACATCTTAGTATCTTAGTAGTTAAAAATACATTTTTATTTCAATTGAATTCATAATATTTATGCAAAGATTTGGGACTAACCTGTAATTACAGGCTGGTGACGCTGAAGCTGTCCTCATTGGCTTGATCCAAGAGTTGGCAAAGCACACCCCCTCCGGGAGGCGCTTGGGTGGGGTATCGTGGTCCCATGCCCTGGTAGGATGGCTGGGACATGGAGAAACCACTTATGTCCTCCTGATGGGGTGAAGAGTCTAAGGAGGGTTTGGGATAAGGAGACAGAGGCATAGGACCTTGGCGATGACCTGTACTGACTGTATGAGGGGCCATACCAGATGGGGGGCTACGCTCCTTGTAAAGCCCAGAGTGCAGGCTTGGGGTTGAGTGAGGGGAGAGGTGGGCATTGGGCTGGTTTTGGGGGAGGGAATGGGACAGGGTGGAACTCATATGGGACGACATGTTCGTGCTTTGGTGCTGTGGGTCGAGCTGCGCTGGATTCACATGCATATTATTCAGTGAATTCCCTTGTGATGCTCCATGGGGGCTCGTATGAGGATTACTGTGGGCATGAATGGCTGTATTTGAGTGTGTGTTGTGCATTTGTGGGCTAGGGCTGCCACTGTGAGATTGTCCGTACCAGTAGGGGGAGCTGCAGTAACTTGGGGAGTCATACTGGGAGAACTGTGGCTCTTTTGGTGGGGGACGATGGGAGGGGCTCAGGGCTGTGCCACAGTGTGGTGTAATTCTCGGTGAAGGGGAGCAAGATGGGGAGAAGGTCCGAGGATGGTAGGTCTGTGGGGGAGGTGGGGTGGGCTTGGGAGGATAGGGAGGAGAGGATACACTGGGCGACAGGGAGGAAGAGGACTCCCCAGGGAACAGAGTGGGATATCTCTCCTCAGAAGAGGGTGTAGAAGGGTGGGCAGAGTAAGGGGAGGTATACTCACAGGGGTCCTGCAGATAGCTAGAGGGGGGAGGAGGGTTTGGAGTGGCCAGAGGAGAGAGGCTGCTGCTGTCCCCGCTATAATAGTCCAGAGCTTCATGGCAAAGTGCAGGGCCCTCCAGGGGCCCAGGAGTCCCTCCAAGACTACTTCCTGTCTGAGCCAGCTGTGCCTTTCCTCTCCCTTTAGCCCCAGACCTCTGACAGGGAGACAGGCCTCCTCTGCCCCCTCGGGACCCCCGCCCCCGCCCCACACCTCTTCTAGGTCCCGGTGTTGGGGAGGAACCAGACGGTGAATGTGAGTGCAAAGCAGAACTGCCTTCTTTATCCATTTCTGTTCGTTTTCTTCGCCCGCGTCCTGGTTTGGAGGTTCCTCCTCCTTGAAAGAGCACATTTTGACTCCAGTTATAAGAGGGTCCTGTGGCACTCTCATGCCAGTCCATCATTAACTTCTCCAGGCTGGATAGGCTGGACTGGCCCCCCTCTCCACTCATGGGCAGATGGGATGCCTCACTGTGTCTGTATGGGCCAGATGTGGGGTGTCCACATGCAGCAGAGCTCAGGTGCGAGGAGTCAGAGGACGACTCAGAAAGACTCTCAGGGAAAGGCAGCCGTTTGGCCTTCTGGGGCGTGTAGTTTGAAATGTCCAGAATGTCTTTAGACTCATTGGAGCCATATTCATTAAAGCCATGATACTGAGATCCACAGCCATCAGACCAAGAGCCATAGGTTTGTCTACAAAACAAAACAATAACTTGTCATTTTGAGCTTGTAATAAGCCAATGATTTTAACATTTCATGTTAATGAATTATAAACTATTATAAATCATAATAGCATTTTAATGTGAATAATAAAATAGTGCTCACCTATAGCTCCACTGGTTGGAGTTGTACTGTTTGAAATTATCTGGAGAGGACGGATTGAAGGGTCCTCCTTTAGCCACAGACATGTACCCTCCTCCTGGGGAGTTAGGGCCTGTTGAAGAATTATATCCACCAAATCCCCGTTTGGGACCTGTCGGGTAGTTTGAGTATCCAGCTGGAGTGTTTTTGCCATATGCAAAACTGCAGTCAGGGGACCTCTGGGACAGCCCTGCTGGAGAAGAGGAGGAGTAGCCAGAGGAGTAGTGGCCATAGGTGGACGTGCTGTGGGAGCTTGGGGAGTGAGACAGAGAGGGAGGGGTAGATTTGGGAAAAGAAGATCTAGTAGGAGACAATTGGGCTGGACTAATATAGCTGTATGAAGGCCTAGCTGAGGAACTATGCCCCTGGGGTGCCCCCTCTCCTCCTGCACTTTTGGAACTCCACTTGGGAAACCCTGGGTTCATACCACTACTAGAACCCTCATAACTGGGGTTACACTGACTTTTGTTTGAGTCTGACTGCACAGAGGAAATGTCCAATAAGTCTGATGAATCATCTGAATCAAGAAGGGACCGAAAATACCCAGCGAACAGGCTTTGGTCCTCTCCAGCTGGCCCACCTCCTCGGCCCCCTCCAGAACCACTGAATGCCCCGCGCCCATACTCACAAGAGGAGAAACCACCTCGAGATGGCCCACAGAACTGATACCCCGTTCTCACTTTGTCTAATCCCCCCTCCTCCCCCCAGCCTTCTACCCCATTGAGCCAGTCATGTCCCATGGAAAAAGTGTCCCCTTTAAATGTACCATTTTTTCTCATTCGCCGCTTTCTTACGGTTTTCTCACCACCAGGTTCAGTGCCCACAACACCACCACCCCTTCCATGCCCCCCCTTGCCTCTTTTCCTAGGCAGTCCATGGTCAGACATACTCAGTTTCCTCTTTTTACCAATAGATTCAAAGAAGTCACTAAAAGTGCTTTTACTTTGCTCAGTTCCTCCAATGCCCCCTGCCACTCCATTGCCTCTGCCCACACCTCCTCCCCTTCCCATTCCCCTGCTACCTCTGGGCCGCCTGCACCCTGTGAGCCTGTGTAAAAGAGTGGAGATCCCGGGGTTTTCCATTGGTGTATGGAAGCTCTCTGGCTCGCTGGGCGTCCAGCAGCGAGGGGGAGAGCAGCGCCCAGTGGCAGGAGGCGTCCGGTTCAAGAAGGCCAGTTTGGACAGCACATCCCCATATTCACTCTTAACATCATTAGTGTCATTAACATAAGATGGAAAGGGGCATGGTAGTTTAGTCCGACGGCGCCTGCGTTGCTTCTTTACAGGCTCTGAATTTCCATTGTCCACAGCTGGGGTGCCAGGAATGGGCAGAGTGTCTCCCGGAAGTCCAATAGGAGGCTGTTTAGGGGGCCGTCCCCGTCTGCGTTTGAGAATAACGGGCATTTCTCCAGGAGGAAACATCACCATCACACTCTTCCCATTATTCTTCATGCGGAGGAGGGCTGTTGGCTCTCGGACTGCATCAGATCCCTCCACACTGCCTTCGTTGGTTTTCTCTGTGACTGAAAGTGTGTCCAAGTTGGAAATCTTGTAGCTCTTCTGGCGACGGCTGAGGCTGACAGGAATGCGAGCCACCTTAACAACAATCCTTCTCACCTGAAAGTATCAATGTAATCCAAAGGTTCACATTACATTCTGATCATTTTGAAATTGATGAATAAAATATATACTTACACCAGTGTATCGTCCTCTCCTCCTGCCATTGAGGGGCATTCCTTCAGCATCCACTCTAGTAGAAATCCGAGGGGCAGGGCAGGGAGAGGTGAAGGGCACATGAGTGGCAGCCCGAGCCATGGCCAGTGCTTGTGCTGCCTGACGCTGTCTCAAAATACTTTTGGGAGCAGCTTTGTGAACAGGCTTGGTTAAAGGCCGGCATCGAGATTTCGGTCCTGGCCTATGGCCAAGTCTTGGCTCAGGTTTCAAAAGGGGTTTGGGGACAGTTAGAGCCAGAGGGATATCTGTAGGACAAGGAGCAGTGGGAACCACAGACTCCTCTTTGGGCTGTTCCTCTTTTTGGACAACTGGTGTTTCCTCGTGTTTGACAGTCCACATTTTCTCCTCTGTTACTCCACTCCCATCAGCTTCTCTCTCTTGCACTATTCTTTTGTCCATGTTATCTGAGGAGCGTCGCAGTCGGGTTGATTTGCGCAGGTGACAAGGGAAGCGGGGCCGACCAGAGCTGCGCAGTGCATACTTTTTTTCCCCTTCAACTGGAGCAGAAGAAGACTCTGTGCTTTCATTAGGACAGAAAGAGGAGTCAGTCTCTGTGTTTGGAACAGGAGCAGCCAGCCGATTGTTGGGGCTCGGGAGATCTCCAGGATGCACAGTAAGAGAGAGGGGCTGAGATGATGTCCTAGAGTGTTCAGGAGCAATGAAGGAGCTGACCTCCATGTGCGTCTGCATGTTGATCAGTGTCTGTGTGAACAGGTGGTCCACAGCCGAGTCTACCTGCCTCTGTTTGCAGGCCCCAAGCCCCAGTCTGCCCTGTCGGTGCAGCCCGTTGGATAGGGCAGAGGGAGAGGAGGGGGCCAAGTGCTCTGGGTTCACCAAGGCCACTTCATTGTTGGAGAGATCCTGCAGCCCCAGCTCCCTGCTCCACAGCTCAGGCTCCTGAAGCCCCCCCACAAAGCCTCGCTCGTCTAACCTCGGCCCACCACAGCCCAGTGGAGGCACGAAGCGGCCCGAACGGAGGTGATCCGACAAACCGCTCATTCAGCAGATGCACTTAAGTAGAGGATTGTAGTGGGAAAGGGAGCGATGGAGATGTATTGAAGTATTCACCTGCAAACAGAAAATATCACATCACATTCACAGAAAGATAGCAATGCTTTTCTGTGTAATGCAGCTATGACAGACGATTATATAAACAGACGATTTCCCTCGAACCAAGTGTTCACTTTCTTTAATCTAATCTATGTCAATGACTGACAGGAGGTTTTAACCAATCACAGTGAAGTGTGAATTCTTATAAGCATAAACATATGGCTTTTGTCACATTTTAAAGGCACTCTAAAGTTAGTATTGTATGTGGATTGTGATCTGGCTCTTATGAGATCCTGATATTATTTTTTCATCCTATTGCCGACCCCTACATACACAATTCATATGCTCCTCCTTAGATTGCCTTTACCTAAGAGTTCTGGCAGCAGTTGTGATTCGGATTCAGAGTTGAGCCTGGCTGTGTCTGCTTGACTGGCTCAGTTCTGCAGGGGATCATTGGGTCATCAATACTGCAGTGGAGAGCTTGCACACTCTCTCTCCCTTCTGCTCCTGTCTTCGGCCCATGGCTGCTGGAAGAGGCCCACAGACCGACAGACGGATGGATAGATAGAGAGATAAGGACAGAGAGGGAGGGGAGGGAGTGAAAGAGAATAAAAGATTAGTTCATGATGTCACAGCATGCATCAGACCAGACTCAAATCAGTATTTTGGTGAGCGCCGCACCATCTCAGACAAAATGAGTGCTAGAGATGACTTGCAGTATAATTATTTCAAGACAAAGTGCTGTTGTGAGTTGGTAAAACAGACACCCAGTTTTTTGTGTAATAAGTCTCCTTGTTCCCCTGTGTAGCATGTAGCCTATAGATTGCATTTTAGGACAAATGAATTGGGGAATAACACAAAATTGTCAGTGCTCTGCAATTTATTAGTGACGTATCAGATATGACAATCTAACAGGTGGGCGTAATGGACTCACGCAATTCATACCACATTTTGCCAAATTGATGCATATGCATTGCAAAGCACTGGCACTGGAGGTGCAAGAATAAGAATGTGTGAATAATCGCAGCCACCAGGGGGAAGCAGAGAGGTGATGAACAGAGAGGTGTTAAGAGGATGGAGAAATGAAGGTGACAGAAAGAGAGGATGGAGGGATTAGAGAATACATGTAAAAAGAAACAATAAAATCTGGATCACACGTGCTTTGCAGTCACACGTGACGTCTGCATGGCCTAGTAGCACAAACGTTGACCAGGCTTGCACAAATACACAGGCTTGGGCTGGCTCAGGCACACTGTATCAGCAGCCCTTCCAACATGCAACTACGCAGCGCTGTCCATCATCAGCTCGCTCTGCCTCCCTCTCCAACATATGGCTCCGATTAAGAGAGAGGAGAAACAAGAAACAGCGAGAGGAGCGGCTAAAGACAGTGGAGCTAAGGAAAGTACAAAAGAGGAAGGCGTGAGACAGCAGAAGTGAAGGAGAAGTGAGAGATGTCATGGCACGAGGGGGAGAAAAGAGTGGGGAAAAGTTTTATGGGGGGTGGGCAATGGCAGACTTTGGGGTTGCGTACATGAAGAGAGCGGAGCAGTGCTGAGAAATGACACGCAAGTGGGACACACAAACATTACGCACGCACTACACATCAATACTTTAGAGAGCGCGCCACCCACAGCTTCGCCATGCCCACTATAGCCTACCATCTCTCCTCCAGCTCCACCATTCTCACTTTCAGTCTCTTCTAATTAACAGCATTCGTTAATTAAGCCTCCATCTGACCGGTGTGCGAGAAAGAACACATGCTTTAATTAAACATTGTGGCACGTGCTTACACATACCCTGTCACTCAACACAACACACGCAGTGACACAGAGATGCATGCAAATATGCCCCCCTCCCTGCTCCATCCTCCCACACACTCACACATCCATTTGCACATAAAGACATACATCTCCCATTTGTACACACAGGCACAAAACAAAGACACACATGCAAATATCCTTTTACTCAACTCTGTGGGGGGTGTCTCAAACTGAGCTGAAAGGTGCCAGCCAATAAAATACTTCCGCTATGATTCATTGTTTAAGCTAACACCCCTAGCATCACTCAGCCTGGTTCCAATAAATTCTCTGTCTTGCATAGTGATGCTGAATACTTCATTTCAAAGTATTTCACAGATCCTGAGTGAATAGTGTTACAAAATGTGTAAGAGTCATATGATCTATTGGACTCTTATACTTGAAATAAAATGTTATCTTTCTGACCTGTTAAGGCCTATAAATTCTGCCAATTAGGCCTACTGCATACATTTTTAGACTGTCAACAACCATGCATAGCTGAATCATTTGTTAAATTCTAAGCTTTGTGGTATTACCAGTGCCACTGTGGAGCAGCACTGGCTCTAGTAGTGCATACTGTTGTTATACTTACTTTGTATGTATGTGGTATGTGAGTGAAAGATTGGAGATCAGAGAGGCCGTTGGTGCATATTGGCAGCCACACTTCTGTCAGGCTACCCCAGGGCATCTGTGGCCACAATACTACCATACCACCACCAATGGTGTCTTGAAAGGCGCTATATAAATCACATGCAATATTATTACATGATTACTATATTATAAATTTTTTGTGAAGTAATACTTTCCCAAAATATGAGCTTCATGTTATTGTCATGGCCTTACAATTGTATTATTACACTTTGTACACAGTACAGACTGTCAATTAGAGTAACTTTTCCATTTTCCTCTCTTTATAAAAGCCTGAAGACCATCTCAGGGCTTACATACACACACATACCCTCAGCTTACAATGGGGACATCGCCAGGAAACACAAACTCAGTTGTATTTACAGTTCTTCATTTCTAAGGGCTGGGCTATTAATCGCATTTGAATAGAGATATTCAGTCTTGTCTAATGGTCAGTGATATGCTAGGTCTTTTTAATCAAGAGAGCTACAGCTAACCCTGTGCCAACCCAAAGTCCAAACTCTGGTTTGGAGCAAAGTTTGGTGGAATAAATTGGGTTATTTTTTGTGGCACTGGTTTAAAGTCTGCCTTGTTTATGTCCATGAAATCAATACTTAAAGCAATTTGTATTTTGTTTTTGAAAAGAAAAAATAAAATGGAATTGGAAATTGAGACAGATCAATAGCACTCACTATAGCACATAATGAGAAAAACTAAAAAAAAAACTTCATTCAGAGGCCTACCTATTTTCAAAAGCAGTAGAACAGTGGGGCAGTCAAGGGAGTTTCTGGTTTCCAGCCTGGGCACTTGGCCTGTTATGCCTGCTGTGTGAGAGGGTTCAATCACCATGCACACAGTGGCTATACAACATATCTGCTCTCTCTCCATCTATCTCTGTGGCACAAAGGCTCACAGACTCACAGGCCTGCCAGCAGCAGTCCTCAATGACGAGCTATAGTTTTGTGTGCGCTTGTGTGCGTGTATGTGCGTGCACGGAAAAGTGTGTGTCTTCCTGGGTGTGTTTGTAAAAGCACTTGCCGAGCTCGAACGGGTGTGCAGTTGTTGCTAAGAGACAGGCAGTAGCACTGAGACAGTATGGTGGGGTGGGGGGGCATGATGGGAGGGGGGCATGGGGGGGATGAGAGTGGTGGTGGTGTGTGTGTGTGTGTGTGTGTGTGTGTGTGTGTGTGTGTGGTGTGTGTGGGGGGGGTTATACACAGACAGATAAGAAAAGTTGGGGGTGCACAGGAGATGGGGAGAGAGTACATGTGTGGCCTGGAGAGGAGCAGAGGTGTGCAAGCAGGGAGGGGAGGGGGAAGTGGGTCAGGGGGTCCACAGAGACCCTGTGACACACCATCCTCCTCTCCTTCATCCTCATCCTCCTCATCACCTCAACCCAGCAACCTCCAGCGCTGACACACACTAACAACTTTTCAACAGAAGTCAAAGAGACACACTGTCCGGGCCGTTAGGAGGGAAAGCTAGAGTATCCGTGCAGATGGTAAACATGTGTTGGACTCAATACATCACACTTTGCATGACAATATGCTGTGGGAAAACACATTAAGCTACATAAAAATATATTATTTCATATTTGAAGATTCTGACATGACTAGTGATGCATGTCACGGCAAAGTAAAAGAGAATCAACATACACTACATATTATCTGTTTCCGTTTCCTTAGCTTGATACAGAAATATAAGCATTTTTAACATTTAAAGTGCAGCAATACTATTCAACAACTAAATTACAAAGTCCAATGACATGTGTTTCTAATATTGCTCCTTGCATCAAACACAAGCCAACTCTCCCAACAGTACATGCAACTTGAACTGCGTGTGGATATGAAATAAAATGGCACACTATGAAGGGGAATTTTAACACATGGTTTTCTCTATTAGCAAGTATGCAGCCAAACACAGGTTACAGATCAAGTCGTCTCCCTCTCAAGTTCATCCATAATCAGAACTAGTAAATCTAAAGGTAAGTGCTTGCCAGAATGCAAAAGCAGTATTACACTACTACTGCTTAAAACTGCCTGCACATAAACTATAACCAACAGTCTTTTTCGAACTGAGCTGAACTTTGAACTTGCTTGGCCACTGCTCCATACACAAATGTCAGTGAAAAAGTGGAATATGCTGACATCCACAACCTCCAACCCCCCCAACCCACCCACCCAAGCTCTCCTCTACTGCAACCTCTCCTCTGGTTCTCACCCCCCACCCGCTGAAAAGAGCCCGCTGCTGCCTCCCTCCCCAGCTGCAGGAAATTCCTAATGATCTTCATCATCAGTGTGTGTGCTGCATCTCCTGCCAAGCCTGTGCACGCAGGCTCACATACAAGACGCAGGAACAAATGAAGAGAGAAACACATATGCAGACACAAAGGCAGACATCTAAACAGACTTCACACACACAACATACTGTTAGCCAGGGATGCACACGGGGGACCAGAGAAGTAGCTCCAAACACTAGGAAACACTAAATGAGTCCCCCCCCAACCCCCCACTCTCCCCTTCTGTCTTGTGGTTTCTGCTGGAGCCTAGTTATTTTAGGCCAAGGAAAGGACTGTATTACTCCTTCATCTTCATCATTTCTGCCTCCTCTTCCTCTCATCTCCTCAGCATCAGAAGCAGTAGCAGCCCCCTGCCCAACAAAGCTCTACCTCCCTCCCCACCATCCTCCCCAGACCCCCTCCTCACATTAAACTCAGTCTGACACTCTCACTCTCACTCTCTCTCTCTCTCTCTCTCTCTCTCTCTCTCTCTCTCCTCAGGCACTTTCCTGACGCTGCTGCTGATGGCTGCCCCTCAGATGGATCATGTGACCAACCTCGCCAGCTGGGAACAGCCAGCACAGAGCGCGCCAAGAGAGACACTGTGTTAAGCAATGTAAACACAAACATGCTACATGAATAAGAGAGGTAACTACTCTCATATATATGATTTGCATGATATAAGAATAATGGTGAAGACTGGGAAGATGATACTATGTTGTGCATTGCAAACTGAATTTCTGCTTGATCATGGTCTTTTAGGCCCTTTGTTATTTAGTAATAACTTTAACTTTTGTCTTTGACTGAGTCCATTAAAAATGGGTAAAAACACTTGAATACAGAGTTAATCCCTCAAAGTGTGTAGTGCTCTCTGACTCAGAGGAGCACACACAAAGTCGTGACAAAAAGAGGAGTCAAACTTGGGCCCTAGAACATGACTGCTGCACAGCACACAGACCATATGTTGGACCCAGGCTCCCAGTCGGCCCTTGAGGCCAGTGTTTTGGAGAGGGGCCTCTGCTTCGTGGCCCCGACTTCCTGACTCCGCCTTCTCTTGCCTCAAACTCCTGCTCCAGTGTTGCTGTGGGAGATGCTGCTGCAGCACCCGTTGCCAAGGAGAAAGCTGCTGGCTGTTTGAACAACAATGGCCGCCTTGTGAACATTCCAACTGTAGGTACTGACAGCTCATCAGCCACAGCAGCCGCACACGCACACACCCAACACTCTGCACGCCACAGCTACACAACTGTACCTCTTCCACTTCTTGGCCTGCAGCCTGAGCGAGGCTCCTCACACACAAACACAGCCACACTCACAGCTGTGCAGACCAAGAAATTATGACTTGTGCTGAGAGGATAAGAAGCCCTTCGGTCTCTCTGTCTACCTGGATCTCAGTATCATACACACACAGTGCATTCATCCATCTTCCCCCTTCTCCCCAGCTCGTCTCTGTCTTTCCTTATCTCTCTCTCTCCTCCCCCTCTACGGCCCTCACTCGCCCATCCACACCTCTCTCTCTCTGCAAGTCTGCCTCACTCTCCTCTGGAAGGTAGCAAATCTTCAGTCCCTCTGGGGCATACACTTCCTCAAAGAAAGAAGAAAAGAAGAAAGTAACAAGGGTGAGGAGGAAGAGAGGAAGGAGAGGAGACAGACAGAGCCTTGGTTCATCAGTGACGCTCAGGGCCTGGACTGGAAGATCACCGTGGTGGTGGTGGCAAAAGTGTGAAGGGTGTACCCGCATGAATCACTGATGATACTCTGACTCATAATTTAAAAGACATAATACTCTAGATGTTACATTATCACTGCGTCTTGTCTTTATTATTCCGACCCAGTGGGGTTTTCCACAATACAAAGTTAACTAGTGATTTTGTTTGATTTGAAATTCAGGCCAGATGAATCCTTTCACAAATGTACATAACTGATCTAAAGAGGGCTGTTTATTGAAGATTGACTTTTTTACTTCTCCATCACTTGGAGTCAGCGAATGTAATTTCATCAAAGGTTTATACAGCTGAGCTCAACTCCATCTTGAATTGTGATAAAAACATACAGATAATGCAGATGTATTTGGCTTGAATAGAAATATTCAGTAAGATGAGAAACTAACTGCACAATGAGTGTGATGCTGAGAGTTTGTGAGACAGCAGGATGTTGCCAGACACCAGGATGAGGCTGTGTGCATGTGTGTGTTTTCCCCATCTCTCGCTCCTCTTTAATAATTGAGCTGATTCTGTCCAGCTTGTTAGGGAGAGGTACACAGACGCCGCTTCACACTCTTCTATCTTGTCCTCTCCCTCTCTCCATCTCTCCTCATATATCACCCCTTTTTTCTCTTCTGACCCATCCGTCCTCTCCTCAGTCCCTTCCCCCAGCTCCCTCGCTCCTCTCTTCCTTTGCAAATCCCTTCTGCTCTTTGACCTGTCTCTCGCCTCTTGCTGCCCCCCCCCCTCCTCTTCAGCACCATCTCCTCCCCCCTGCCTGCCCTCCATCATCCTTCCTTGGGTCTCTCCGCTCTGTGCTGCCTCCATCCTCCAGGAGGTGAGAGGTCGAAGCTCCCTCTCTCCTGCCGCTGTCAAGACTTAAAACCGGCTACAACCAGCCCAGTCGTAGGGTGTGGGAGGTGGTGGTGGTGAGGAGCCAAGCAGGGAGCTATAGGTGAAGAAGGGCTTGGAGCAGTGGTTCTCAAACTGTGGGGTGGGTAAAGCAGATGGTTCTTAGGATTTATCTTGTTTATCTTGTTACACAAGACTGGAATATTTGCTTTTAATATCTTGAATGAACATGTCTTATAATTTTAATACCAATTACAAAAAATATACAGTATAGAACTGAATTAAGATAAGCTGTTTTTGTCTTGCTCTAGTCCTAGTTAAAGATGCACTATGTAACCTTTCTGGTAAAGATGGAGATGTTTTTTTCTTATGCTTATTCATTTTGCTTTTATTTAACTACAGGTGTTTTTATTGGTAAAGTTTGCCTCTCCACAGGTCTGATTTGGAACTTGATGGTGGGGTTGCCTGCATGTCTATATATGGATGGACTCTAGAAAACTTACATAGTGGACCTTTAAGTCAATCCTGTGTTCTGGTTTTGTTCTTTTTGGATCTTGATTTGCTCTGTTTTACACTGTTTAAGGTCTGTACAAATATATTGTTTTTATTTTCTTCTTATATACAAGTACCTATCTTACGACAAGAGAGAAAGAGAGCCAAAGGTTTAATGAGGTGGCATTTAGAATGAAAAAAACTTGTGAACCACTGATATAGAGAAACACATTGGAAAAAAGTGAATGTTGGTCCAGAAGAGGGAAAGGCTTCTCCTCTTGAGTCAGAGGAGAAGGTTTTATGAATGTAGCGTGTGGGAGGTAACAGAATGAAGCACACTAGCACAGCTTACACTAATGCTAAATGGTGGCTGATGTGTGGGTGCTGTGCGCGTGTGGGAGAGGTGAGCCACGTTTACCTGCCTGCGGCAAAAGCCATTTCACTCCAGGTGACAATTAGATTAATAGAAGTCGTAAAAAGACAGGACCTCTCACTCCAAGGACAAAGTCAGGACTAATTATTTTTCCCATAGTACTTTGCACACTGCACAAATTAAAAGTTATAAAAAGGGATCCTAAATCTTCAAAGGATGTGTTTCATCTTTTTATTGTGAATAAAGGAAAAAGGATGCCAAAACTTGCAGCCAGAAACCCTGTCTATGTCTGAGGAGATGTTTTAAATTCTCTTTCTCTTTTAAAGAGGCAGTTTTATGTAAATGTAACTTTTATGAGCTCCTAATCATGTTTGAACAGTGTTCCCTAGTGATTAGTTTACTCAGAGTTGTATTTTGATTGATCCATGCACGTTTGAGTAATCCTGTACTGTCCGGCATTTGAGGCTTAAGTACTCAAAAAAAAAAAGTCAGTTTTCAACTACCCTCTAACTCCACTCACTTCTCTGTACCTACTTCCAGTTATTCAAAAAGATTCAGACTCCAGGTCATAGGGTTCAAAAATGTCACATAGCCATTTTCACCAATAAAAACAAATAAATGAAAATTTGCTACTTGTTATGGTGAAACGCCACTATGAAGAGGCCTGGATTATCAGCTCTGCAGTTTTGAAGAGGAAGTCAATAGACTCACTTCTATTATCATGCTGTTTTAGATCAATATTGTGTTTTACAATCAATTAACACAATGTTAAATAATGATCTATGCACATAATAGTCTAATACTAAATACTCCAAAAGAATAAGAAAGAATCACATACTATTATATTAATTTGATTCAGGTGATTTTTTTTTTTTTACTGTTACTGCCATTGAAGCATTTTTTTTAACCCATTAACAAACAATAAAAAACCAACCTTTCACATAAACTGAATAATTTTGGAGATGTAAGTGTTCAGTCAAAGTTAGATGCAGGAATTCATGCAACAGGTTGAAATATTTACCAAGAACTCACATAATTCATTTTAATTCGACATTAGACTAAGATACATTTATACATGTTACATGTACACAGTTTTTTCTTCCTTTCCCTATATAATGTGCATGTATGAGTCCATTATGTCTTTTCTATCACCATGACGACCTCCATATCAAGAGGACGTCTGACTATGGCAACCTCACATGCTGATAGGCAGAGAGTGAAAACAGGTGATTGGTTGAGCTGTCGGCTGTCATATCAGCAGGGTATATATTTGTGACACACAGCAGCTTGTCTGTGCCATCAGCCCACACACCTACAAACTGCAGCAAGACACACAAAAGGTCCTGCACACCCTCAAAGTACACATGTGGGCCCGTGTACACAGTACACACTACTACACACTACTACACACTAGCACACACTAGTACACACTAGTACGCAGGTACATAGAGGAACATAGACACACGTCTCAGAGATGTGCTGTGTTAGGTGCACTGACCCTGCCAATGAGGACAGAGGAACATCAGCGGAACTACAAGGCCGTTGCTATGACAACTGGCCCCGCTCTCACAGGTAGCAGCACAATAGGCCTAAAGCTGGGCCCACACCTAAATATGTAACCTCAATATTATAAGTCCTCATTCAGTGTTTATCTCACACAAAGACCATAGAGAAAGTCTGACCGACAGCGGCAGGCAGCCAAGGTAAGGCCAGCTCCTTTTCATTCCAGCATTCACAGGGTTGAAGTCATTATGTCCAAGTCCACTTGCCAACACAGGAACTCAGGCTTCAACTGCAGACTATATGAGAGTGAGACAGACAGATAGACAGACAGAGGAGCATTACTCTGCATACTAACAACACCTGCACTAAAGCAGCCTGTGCACGTCTCTGCGGGGGCCTTAAATACCCAACTGTCACTGCCCAGACACTGACTCTGCTCCTCTCCTGTCTCCTCCACTTTCTCAGCTCCCCCTTTTCTCCCTTTGTACACCCCCTCCACACAGAGCACCTCAAACAAGAGCTGATAATCACCAGCATGACTACAGCACTGCTGTTGCCACTGCAGGATGTGCCACTGCTGCTGTGTCCTGTTCTAACATTTAGTCATTCAAATCTCCACAGAGCCTCACCTGTTCATAGAACACCCATCACATGTCCACATGGAGCGAGGCGCAGAGTCATGCTGCTGATATGTAAATGCATTAGTTAAGTCCCATTAAAGTCACACTAAATATGAAGAGACAAATGTAAAGATGTGGCATAGGGCGCAGAATACACCGGTCATCTCTTATCCTATGTCCATTCAATGAAACATGTCAGAAATATGTCAAACAGGTGGGGGCAGCCAGGGGGCACGGCGCGCTTTTACTGTATGCGCTTTACTACATACTGCATGCCCACACTGAAGCGCATTTGTGCCCAAGTAGTAAGCATGCGGAGAGCTGTCTGTAAACGGCGCCGACGAGGTTAATGTAAAAGGGAAAACGTAGCCAGAGATACGCAGCACAACTGGCTGTGAGGACAGTACGCTAATTCCTTGTTGTATACACAAGACGCTGCATGTGCACTCACCACGAGACGCGCAGCGCGGCTTCTAGTGCGGTGTGACAACCTCTCCTCAGTCCGCTGTTCTCCTCACTTCTCCGGGTCACGGAGCCGCCAGCGCCCAGCTCTCCTTCATCCGGACTGAAGACGCACTGGCCAGGCTTCCAACAGAAACGACTGTCTGCTCTGGTACTGTCGCGCCAACAAATAAAAAAAAAAAACGCTCTGACTGACTCCAGTTTCTGTACCCACAAAAACAAACAAACAAAAGAAATAAAAAAAATTAAAAACGGGCAGAGAAACGTTAATTCACAGTTTTGTGCCTGATTCGGGAGCTGACATAGGAGTGTTAAAGCGCTCGGCTCCCGTTTGGTGACAGACACGGGACTCCCCAGTATCCGGGAGGCGAAGACCGATCGCGCGCCTTTACCTCTGCAATTCCAGCTCAGTCTGTTGTGCGCCCCAGTCTCCGCTGTGCCTCACCAACGTGCCTACTTGTCAAAGCCATCCGGGTACCCGTAAGTGCCTTCATTGGAATCATGGGTAGTGTAGTTTTAAAGAGCGACTGTGAAGTGAGCGGCGGTAAAAAACAACGAAATTATTCTTGCTTACAGACTGTTAATTTCTCTGATGTCACAGACGTCATAACACAGTAACTGTCACTGTGACGCAGCATTTTAAACACAACTGCTTCTTTGATTTTAAACTGAATATGTAATACTGAAACATATTTAAACATATTTTACTACTACACGGCTATGCCATAAAAGTACCAAATCAAAAAGATACACTTTAAAAAGATATTAGATTTTTATTACAATAATATCACATAAAAATCTTAGGATAAAAGTTACATTATCTTCTCTGTATATAATATAAGACAAATTTTGCATGTTTGGTAGTAACAGTAGGATCAGTTAATGCACAAATGTTCTACAAGGTAGCATCTGGATCTAAAACTAAACCATCATTTGCACAAGAAACTGCAAATATTGTAGATGAATAAATTCAGCAGTATAGCTTCATACATCATCAACTGAGTCTGAAGCTATTTATTTTTCTTTTTAAACATATCCATATTTTCTTTAAGAGAGAAATGAATGCTTTGAACATATATATGGCAGCTGAGAAGATCTTGTACCAACTTGCCTGCCCCCACCCCAACACAACCATCTACATCTTCTTTCAGTTCCCTGTTGTCATGGTTACAGAGTAAAGCATTTCTGCAAGGCCTGACCAGCAGAGCTCTGACTGCTGTTCAACATGGTGGAGAGGTGTCTGGACAGTCTGCAGTGATCCATGGGTAATTAACTATTAATGTGATATGTATATGATATATATCGATACAGTGAATGACAGACACGGGTATGATCAGTAAGGGGCCTGCTGCAATATAAAAGTCAATGTTCAAATGAGTCTTTTTGTGTTGTGTGTCACAGGTTCTCTCCCGGCTGGTACTGAGGCTCTGTGGCAGTGAAGTAATCCTCCAGGAAGGACTGCAGGTATTCAAAGGTGTGTCTCTCATCGGGCTCTCGCCTCCAGCACTGCAGCATCAATTCGTGCAGCGAGGCAGGGCAGCCCGGGGCGCAGGGCATTCGGTACCCCCTCTCCACCTGCTCCAGCACCTCGCGGTTGTTCATGCCTACAGGGGGAGGAAAACAGAGGGGTTGATGTAAAAAAAGAGGAGAAGTATTGAGTTTGGGTTTAAAAAAATATTCATGTTTTAGCCATGTAGACAGAAAAGTACACAGAGATGACTGTGGTAACACATCTCATCTTTCTTGGTTTTCAATTGTCTGCCTAAGGTTAAATAAAGTACAAAGGATGTATCTTTTGACATTGTGTTAATGATCCATCTATGGTGTAATAACAATATACAGACACCATAACAAATACCACCAGAGTTTAATGCAATAACCAAATAAAAAAAATAACCAAAACACACGAATAAAGGTTTGATTAAGAATGCTACCAGATCTGCATGGTCATTTGCTCTGAGAGTCACTATTTTCACACACGGTTTACTTTGTACATATTTTTTATTTCTTTTTTTACCGAACAAGCGCAGTCTTTCTTTGTTCTTTGATGAACAAAATTAAATGTGTAGCTCACTGAGGTTTCAAGACGCATGATTTTGTACCTGGGTATGGCACACGACCCTTGGTGATGAGCTCAGTCAGGAGTATACCAAAGCTCCATACATCTGACTTGATGGTAAAGCGTCCATATAGCGCAGCCTCTGGAGCCGTCCACTTAATAGGAAACTTAGCCCCTGAAACCATGGCAACAAGTGCACATGAATACTCTTACAATTAGGACAAGTTATGTATAAAAATAAAACCACAGAGGCAGTTATTCATAATTGTGATGGTGAACAGATCACATGGTGTTACCCTGTCGAGCTGTGTACTCATTGTCCTCAATGAGGCGAGCGAGGCCAAAGTCCGCAATCTTACACACCAGGTTGTCTCCAACCAGGATGTTGGCAGCTCGCAGGTCTCGGTGGATGTAGTTCATTCTTTCGATGTACGCCATTCCTGCTGCAATCTGCCAAAACAGAGCCACAGCTCAGAGTTCAGAGAGTTCACTTGTGTAAGTTTATCTGCATTAAAGACTTACCTGAGCAGCCATGTCCACCAACTGGGGCAGTTTGAGACTCTGCCCTTCTCCATCTTTCAAGAAGTCCAACAAACTTCCTGTGTATAGAGAACATACTGTACATCAGATGGATGCCTCTTGCCTGCCATAATAAACTGTTAACATTCGCACCACTGATTCACGTTTTATCACAGCATACATTAAAAAACAAATATTTACTAATAGAAAATTGCCAGTTCACCATTCTTTATTCAAATGCATTTGTTTATTAGATTTGGACCTTGTGCTTTTCTATTTGTCAGAGTATTGAAGAAAAACTTCTGATGTCATGGGCCACCTCCACAGGGAGGTCAAAGAGCATGCTTACAAACAGAAATTAAATTCTTTTGCTCGGTTGGAATTCACTTTTTGTCTCTTGGGGGCTTTGTGCAGTTGAACTTGTGGTCTTTTAATTTACTAAAAAGTCTCCCCTTGGGCCTAAAAGCAGCTGCCAATTTTTGTTTGCTTTCAATATTTTTTTTTGTAAGTGTAGCAATAATTGTCTTGCTACTGTTTAATGCATGCTATCATGGATGCATGCATATATTAAAATCACATCCAACCACAATAGTGAGTGTACAGTAGTGAGAGTCTGCCAGCTGGCCTATTGCTGTACCTTGGCTCATGAACTCAGTGATAATGTAGATGGGCTCCTCTGAAACGACTGCATAAAGCTGCACCAGCTTGTCATGGCGCAGTCTCTTCATGATCTGAGCCTCCTCCAGGAAGGCCTCAGGGGACATGGTTCCTGGCTTCAGAGTCTTCACAGCCACCTTAGTGGTGCCATTCCACATGCCTAGCATACAGACAGGGACGTTACAACCCCCAAACTAAAGAGCCCTATAGACACATTGTTTAAAGATCTATTCTAGAGCATGGCATTAAACTTATCTATCTCCATGGAGGCAAGCATGTGGCTTCTCCAGGCAAGTTACAGATCAGATCTGAGGACGTAACCCTGCTCATAGAAAGAATGCATGTATGCCAAGGTATTGAGCAATAAATATACAAGATAAGTTTAATGTCATACTGCGTAGTATACCAGGCAAAGCATCTCAATGGGTACAAGCTGGTATTGGACACCCAATGTGAAGCTACATGCGCCTTTAGCATTACTGTACAGACAATGCACACAGACTCTATAAATCCTAATATGCATTATTAAATCATTAAACTATTAAACTCATGCAATTCATATTATTGCTTGTGATCATGCACATGCCATGAGAAAAGATGGTGGTTTACTGGTCTTACACTAAAACCAGCTGCACCTGAGACATGGACTGGCCACAAGGAGATGCACAGCTCAGATGTACTGGAACATGAATACACATTTTGAAGACTGTACATAATCTGGAGTAATTTACAAAAAATACTTTATCAAAGCCAAAGACAGACACTGAATGAGACAATAGAGCAGACTGCAAGCCTGGAAAAGTTCTCTGTCTCACCCATCCACACGTCTCCAAAACAGCCCTGTCCCAGCTTTCTCTGCATGGACAGTGTCTCCCTGGAGACCTCCCAGGCATCCCGCCCCAGGCCCATGGTGAGTGGGGTGGAGTTGGGACACGGCGTGGTCAGGAAATAGCACAGTCCGTCATTAGTCCCTATCTCAGGCGAAGAAAGGTGTAGGAAGTAGAAATAGGGTTTGAAGTTAGGACAGTAGGTGGAGTGACAGAACAGAAAAGATGGAAAAGAGTTGGGATGGGGGTGACAAAAATGTGAGGTGAGATTATGAACATGCACATGCAACAACAGCAGGGGGCAGGATAATACTGTGCACACCTGGATGTCAAAACAACTTCATTTGGAGTCAACAATTCATGAATATTTTTGACTTACTAATTTGCTACCACATGTGAATACAATTTGAATAGACATTTCTGATATTTAATCACACATTTTAAATTTGTTGGGTATTAAATCATTAGTTTCACCAATAATAAAAGTTTTAAGTATGCATTAGAAGAGTTTTCTTTGCTCCAGGTGTGCTGTCCTTGTCCCTTTTGCCCACTGCACACTATCGCCAGTCCTACCCATCCAGACTTCTCCAAACTGGCCATTGCCCAGTTTCTTAATCAGCTGCAGGGATTCTCTGGGAATCTCCCACATGTCCTTGGTCTTCACTGATAAGTCGGCCAGCTTAGGCATACCCCGCTTACAACTGCCAATCAGGCGGCAGCACAGGCCCGCTGCTCGCTCTGACGCACAGAGAGAGAGAGACAGACACAGGGGAAAGAGAAGACAGAGAAGCAAAAAGGGGACCGCAAACAAACGTGACCAAATGGAGTTGTATCTGACTCACAAAATAACAACACTAAGACACATACAATCTACTATCCATATACTGATTTTTTTAACTCTTATAGTTGGAATACATTATTTGTAAACTGTATATTTTTTGTTAAAAAAGGCAAATCTGTGATCATGAGGTTAAACTGAATAGGATCTTAATTTATGCCTCACATCAGACACAAGGTTAATGGCATCAAATTTGGGTATACATTTTTAAGCAAAATCAGTGAAGATTGAATTTTAAATAGTTTTAGCAAGTAAGTAAGTAATTTTCTGCTTATTTAGTTATAATTTGTCATTACTGTATGAAGTCATGAAGGATTATTGATTGGAGAATTACTTTACACAGCTACATAGTCCCCTAGTCACGATTAACAGGTGAGTCACACTGGACAACAGCATTACCAGAAACAGACGCTAGGAGGCAGAGTTACACAAACAAACAGAGAAGGAAGTGGAGGGTGTGCTTTGAATTTCACTGATACTCAAGTTTAAAGACAGAAACTTCCCAATGTAGTTTCGACCAAAAGGAAAAGTGTTACCAGTGTAATGTTCCACCAGCTGCTGAACTGTGTCAAATTGCGATCTGGTGGTGATGTAATATCCTCCGTTGTCTAGTTTGCGGATCTTATAGTGCTTGACATGGTCTCCTTTTGTGTCGTCCCAGTCACGGATGGACAGGGAGTAGGCACCTGGGAAAGAAAAGTGAAAAAGTGCTATTTACATTCTGTGGTCCTGCAGTTAATTAATAAATACATCTATAATACTAAAAATAGAATGAGGTGGTAAAAAGTAAGAGTTTGGGTTTTGTTTGTTTTTTTTACATTTGTGAATATCTGTCTATCTCTCTAAATATAAGACTTCCGTGGAGATAGAATGGAAGTGAATTTTGTTCAGGGTTGTTAATAGGAACTGTAAATGATTAATGGTAGTGGTAGCAGTAACAATAGTCGTAATGGTGATGAGTAATTTGATTTTATATAGGTACAGTAATAGTATAAGTAAAGATGAATTGGACGTATTAAAATGAGGAACAGTACTATTATTAAGGCTTACAGTACTTCATTATTGTGTCTCTCACCTTTGGTGGTCTCACTCTCTCGAATGAGGAAAGTTCCCCTCTGGTTGCCGTGGCCCAGCAGCTGTCTCTCTGCATCCTTCCTACCCATCTTCCCAAAATACCACCTGTCACCATGACAACAACACACAGGTCACCACAGCAACAAATGCTTCTGACCCCCGACCCCTAACAACATGCCAATCATTTCTCTGGGTGTATGGTTTGCTGTTGTACTCACTCTTCAGCCTGTATGGAGTCAACAGGAGCCACATAGTTGGACGGGATGTAACCAGAGCGTCCCGTGTCCAGAGAGCGGGCCTCCCACCAGTCGCCCTCTCTGCCAACACACACACACTTTTGTTTATAGAGGCGCTGTTATGCAGGAGACATAATCTCCTTCATCAGCATATATTCCTGCTGCCATGTGAGCATGCAGCTCTATCTACGCTAGTTTGACTGTATGGGTGAACCTTGAATAGAGCTCAGGGTCAAACATAAAAAAAACGTGACGTTATTTGCTACATGTGGAAAACAACCTGCATACTATTTGATAAGCTGTTAGTTCACTACTGGTAAATACATTTATAACACTATGCTCTCAGAATACCTGAATAAACACTATATTTAGTTTTTAGCATCCTAAAATCTCCATTATTTTAACATTATGCTAACAGGTGTGTGATGACACAATCAGTGACACAACAATAATTTATCTGCCTTGTACAGTCATTGGATTAAATTAGATGCTTTATAGATTGCTTTATTATCTGAAAAAATAAAGCAGTACTAGCAGGGGATATTGGTCACTTGTCATTTAACATTATTTGTAGCATTTTTACTCACGTGTTATTAATAATCTGAAATTTCTCTCCTTTCTGAAAGGTGAGGTCATCTTCTGTTCGAGCATCATAGTCATACAGAGCTATGAAGAGAGTCACACCACCACCTGTACAAGAAGACAGAATCAAGCATATGCTCCAAATGTCTCCTATAATACCTGTCAGCTATAATAACAAGACATGTGTTTACATTCATACGTGCTTTAGTCCTGGTCCTGAGGTAAACTTGGTTTCATCCTGTTCTAGTTCTGGCTTACTCCTACTTTACTCAGTTTTGTTCCAGTTTAGTCCCAGTGATATGCTTGCAAATTGAACACACTCATATTCTGCTTTACTAGTTGCATTATTAAAACAATAAATAACAATAGACATTATTAACATCACATTTGGTCCTGCTCACTGGAATGTTCCACAGTATGGTATTACATACACAGTATGGTAGTATTTTTATTATGAGTTGTTCAAAAATATCTTAAAAATGTTTTCTCTGTTCTCACCTCTTCACAGATCTGACCTGTAATTTCGTCTGGTACATCACCTGCTTGTCTGGCACATCACCTGCTTGTCTGGCACTTTAATGCCATACTGTGGAACATTCCAGGCAAAACAGTTACACAGTGCATCTTTTACTAATGTTACTATGTACTTTCTGTATACATATAAATTTTCATTTCTTCATATGATCATGAACATATCATCATATCCTGAACTTGTTTTGGCTGCTGTTTCAGCTTTCTGTATGTTGAAATGTCAAAATAACTTTGTAATATCAAACCCAGTAATTTTTTTTTCTCAAATCATGCAGCCATAATAATGATCAATCTCTCTTCCTCAGACAGACCACTTGTCCACTGGTATTATCCTGCTTTGTGTCGGTGGCGTAAAGTAGTTTCAATATAATGGTTTATATTTTGTCTATATTTTCTTAAGCTATATTCGTGCTTCAAAATGTGTTATCGTGACAGATCTATTGTATCTTATTTTCACCTGTAGTGCATATAGACGATAAAAAAGTCATAATTGTATGTCTGTTGCTATAGCGTTGAGAGAGTTGTGTAAAATGTATAGTGGTTTGTACTTGTGATGCCTCCGGGCCGCTGTTGGACATTGCTGCTGGGGAAGACTGGTCCACAGGGGAAGTGGTTGAAGTCTGGTATGGTTGGAGTGGGGTCAGGACAGTATCGGGGGGTCAGAGAGGACACACCCCCATCTGTGTTGCTAAGAGACACATCTGTAATGGCTGCTGTTGTTTCTGCTGCTGCTGCTTTGGCTGACTTTTTGTGCTTGCAACAGGCACACCCCATAATAACGCACCAACACAGAGACTGCAAAAATCAAAATAACATGTAAATGCATTTATGTCTTTACATAGACGTGAGAAGTGACTATTAGCTACCCTAACTATGCCATTTTTAAATAAACTTTTATAGTACAGTCACATTTCCTCAATTGCACTTTTAGTATGTGTTTGACATTTCACAACATCGACTTTAGCAACTTCATATCTAATATCACTTAGGTGTAAAGTGACAATTTAAATGTATTTATTGTAGATAAATCTTGGTATGACTACAACTTTACAAGTGATTTTTAAAATGTTCTGGCAAACTACACTTGCAGATCAGGTTCATCATGAAAATGGGGAGAGTAGGATGTGGCCATAATGATGGCAGACATTGTAGTTGGTAGAAGTAAAATTAATTGCTGTAGTAGTAGTAGTAGTAGTAGTAGTAGTAGTAGTAGTAGTAGTAGTAGTAGTAGTAGTAGTACTAGTAGTAATTGTTTTAAAAGTATAGATCTTTTGCTGTGCATAATCAGGTTATATGAGTTGATTTGAGGGCACAATTTCTATATTCCCCTCACATGTAGCATTCGCACAGATTTGAGAAACTTGTCAAAGCAAATGTGATATAGAGTACGAATCTGGGAATGTGGAACCAAACAGGAGCAAACAGCAAAGAGAGAAGTTAAAATAAAAGTTAATTTCCCTTAAGCCACTTGTGGAAAAGGAAGTAAATGTGGGTGTAAGATACAGAAGACAAGTTCACTTTTCTTACCTGATGTTTTCCTCTGTCAAATCATCTGTCAATCAACATTTCCACTGAAAAGGGGGAAGAGAGAGCAGGGGTGAGTGATGGCAGCCCTACGTCAGGGCAGTGAACCAGAGGAACAGTTTCAAAGGCACTAAAGCATGAAGAGCCTCTCTAAGAGACGCGGTGAGACAGGCTACAGAAGAGGAAAGACAAAGAGAGATGTGAGGTTAGCCACTTCCCCTTTGCTTCTACAGTTTTGAGAAGGGCTTTTCTCGTTGGCCGGTGTGAAAAGTGTACAAGTGATCATGTCACTGGTACACTACAGATGAAAATGTCATAGAGCTGTTATGTTCTACAAAGGTTAAAGATTGAGTCAGTGTGAATTTATGCAAATCTGACTTCCAGGGTCATTGTTTCAACAGAGAGAGTATCCAGCAAACAAAGACAAGTGCCAAGGACAAGAGGAAAAAACATATTGAATTGTGAGCAAAACAGAACAGAACAATGATCACAGGTCTTTAAATCCTAAAACTTTCTAACCCCAACAATATAAAAATATTTTCTTTCATTTAGTTGTTCTTATGCTATTTTCATTGCTGGATCAGAATCATATTTTGAGACCTAGACTGTGATGACTGATCTTTTGTCAAACTATGATCCTTGTTTATTGGCCAACCAACCACCACTTGCAAAACACACCCCAATGTTTATTATTTATTTTAAAGTTTAGCGGCCCTTAGACTTTGTTAGACTGGGCATTTAAAGGTGCATTGTGTAACTTTTCTGGTAGATGCTTTTTTCTCTGTGGAAACATTATTGCTTTGTCTGGAATCTTTCAAAATGAGATATTAAACATGGAAACATGGAAATGAAACAAGACCAAGTTACAGGTCAGATCTGTGGAGAGGGAACCCCACGCACAGACAAAATGGCTGTTTTTCAAAATATTTTTGATCAATAAAACCACCTGTAATTGAATAAATGTAAGGCAGAGCTGTTTAATGTCATACTGTGGAACATTCCAGGCAGAGCAATGACATATCTACAGAAACAAGCAGGTGATGCTAACTGAGAAACCCCAACTAAAAAGTTACATAATGCATCTTTAATGTAACACAAAGACTATGTAACATGGCAGAATATGTCATCATTCAAACTGATGCTATGGGTCCTGGGATTCAAACCGGCAACCTCACATTGTACAGGCCCACCATCACCCCACCTACTGAGGAATGTGCAGGAAGTAACTCACAGGAAGAACAATAAAAGTTATAGTAGCCAGGGACAATGGAAAACTAACTGAATTCAGCTCTCATTTAAAATCATAATTAACTGGACTCGTATTTCTCCAAATGTAAAAAAAAAAATAAAAAAAAAATGTTTTGACTTGAAATCGCATGTTGCTGACACAGAACAGTTATTTGGAGGTGTGTGCACTTGTGTATTATCACACTGGCCATCGGGAAAGCTGCAGGAAGTTAGCCCTGTTAGAGTTTCCTGTCCACCCTTCAGATAGCCCCCCCTTTTCCTGGAAACTCAGGATAAATCCACACACTCACACACACACACACTAACCAGCTGTGGTACAACAAACAACCTAAAATGCACCATTCCTTTCTTTTCTCCTGATATTTTGCTTTTTGCCAGTACCCGAATAATAGGCCACAATAATTACTCTATCGACTTAATATGTTTTAGGGCTCAATGTTTAGTGTAGGTACTTTTTTTCTTTGTACAAGTGAGACATTTTTGGTAATTTTTTCTGCAATATGATAAGATTTGAGCGATAGAAGCCTGAATTATGACCTCGTATGACTCATTCTAGATACAAAATAACATACTATATATTTAAAAGACTTTTTAGATATAATTGTGCTTCATGGTTTATCATCTATATTTACTTATTTGGCAATATATTGCATGCCATATTTGTTATTGTGACAGGCCTATACAAAAAATCTACCATAATAAACTTGCATATTCCTTCAATCATGCACAATCAATATCTTGCTGTATTTGGGATGACCAGAAAACATGCACATTATTATACATGTTATGACACACATACTGGAAGCACAGACAATAGCTTTATAAGAAGTCATTGTTCACCTCAGTTTTGTTCCTCTTGGCTGATGTATCTGCTTCAGTGTACCCAGAGCTGTAAAAATCCAGAGGAGAAATAGATAAAAACAAACAAGACTTACGGTAAATAAAAGGATAGCACCTGCCTTTGACATAAATATAATATATGAGCATGAGGGTGTGCATAGTTTCAGGGAGGTTAGAACAGTTCAAATAAGACTGTTCATGTGAAAAAAGTTAAAGTTCCTTATTTCATAGAAGCCAAGTCATGAAAATAATGAGTTACAGTAGACCAGCCTATGTATATTTCGGGAAAGTGGACAAATCAGTTTGAATTCATTGTGTAAAACTTAAATATTCAAATCGTACACTATAAAAGAAGAGAGAAGGCAAAACTTTATGTAGTAAGTACCTCTACATTATTATAAACAGGCCAAAGTTTATGAAATGTACTATTTCCTCTATTAGGTCAAAGAGTAGCAGGTGTTTGTATGAGGCCTTTCAGATGTGGACCCAAAGAAAAGCTGCATGTTGTAAAAGCTGTAACATCATTTGGTTAAACCAGAAATGTATCAGGTTTGTAATACTGAGATATGTGCAATATACAGTGGTGAGGCATAAAAAGTAAAAGTAGTAAAGTAATGTACTTTAAATATAAACTGTAGGTATTTGTACCTTACTTGTGTCCATTTTCAGTGGATACTTTTTACTTTACTACATTTCAGAGCAGGTAATCTGTACTCTGCTACATATTTGAACAGAAAGTATAAAAATATTTTTATTATTGTTTGAGATCTGCTGAAAGGTTGAGGGGTTTATATCATAGTTCATAGTTAAAGCAAACAAAAATATACAAATAAAAACAGCTAAAAAAAAATAAATAAATCTATCAACTCAATTATTTCTATTGAACAAAACTCATCACAAATCTTTGTCAAATCAATATATTTGAAGTTTTATTAAATGTCAAAATATGTGCAAAATACGTACAGTAGGAAATGCTGGCAGTATATGTAATTTTCGATCTTTGAGCTATTTCAGTATTTACATAGAAATATAGAATATATTCATGTAAGCTAAATTTACTAGGATACTTGTATCCTAGATCCTGAAATGAAAGCTGAACAATACTTCAAGTAAAAGCACAGCAACTTTTTACACTGAGTCTCTTATCTCAAAATGGTTCCAGCCAGTGTTCTTGGGACATAAATATAATGGATATAATGTACAGTAAATGTTATCCTAAACAATGTGAGGAAGCCTGTGTGGTGTGACCTACAACACACAGATGCACAAGTCCAGTCTTTCACTCAAACCTGAGCTTTGCCCTCCAAAACTCACACGCACAAACATCCCGGGGACACACCCTTTCCTGCACAGCGGGCTGCAGATAAGCCACCTCATCAGGGGAATTAGCTTGGAGAAACAAAATATTCACAAACTTCTCATACTTTCACACCAGCCAGCTCGCAATCTACTCCTTCATCAGATTTTTCAACCTCTGCTCTTCCTCGCCTGGTGACTCCTGTCCATATAGCTCAGATTAGGAGGAAGCCCCACAGGATGCAGGCCATGTTTGGAGCAGGAATGATAGGACAATGGGAAGCAAGCTGTCACTGGAGTTACACACTCAAAATGTAGGATCGGGACGTCCTGTTTCCAGATGATGTCATTCTATTCTCATCCAACTGACTGGTGCTGTTTTGATGGTCACATAGTGCATAATATCATGTCAATAAAGTATCTCTCTCACTTTCATACTCACTAAAACGATCTCATGTTATGAATGATTGGTTTAGAATAAATGGTTTAGCATAACTGACCATTCAACCATAAATGTCTAAACTAAAAGAGACGCCCCTTTCCTTCCTGCCTTGCTTCATGGCTCAAGACAGGAACCAACCTTGCTAAGAAACAGGAAGAGATGAGGTTCGGCCTTGGTCAGTCTAATCTTTTTTTTTTTTTACCTACCCATCCTTCAATGTCCCCAGATTACTTCCACAAAATCTTGGATTAGCCTGTTTTTAAATTATGAAAATGAAAGAGTAACAGGTGTTCTGTATCAAAACAATAGATTGTGCTAGGAAAGCGGAGCTCGGGCTAAATGAATGGACATAAAGGATGCACCTAGTCCTGCCTTTTCTTCAAATTCATAAATCCCACATCCAGGTGCCTCAATGGCTTTCTTTCTTTTCCTGACAATCTTTCTCTTCAAAGAAAGAATATTTCAAGATAATGGTTGTATGCCATTATTGAGCACAAATGTCTGTTTCTATGCAAGTAAATGTTTCAACATTTCTTATTTCTACATAGCATCCTCCGTGGTGTGAGTCTACCTCAAACTGGTATCAACTTCCTTAAAGTACTAAACACTAAAGTACTTCTCACAGCCTCTTAATATAGGACAGTCCTACTTAATGCAGTCTACAACACGGTGATGTTGATTGCTTGGGTGATTGTTAAAGATCAGTGTCATTAACTTGCTGAACATTTGTAGAAATTTGACATAAGCTAGTGAGGTGGTGGATCCAGTTGTAACCATAAGCGGAGCCATAAGCTTCAGGTCCACAATGAGATGTTTGAAAGCAACCGGCTTGTTGTTATAGCCATAATAAAATTGTTAAAACTTAAAAAAGCCTTACCATAAGTGTAGATCCAGGTGAAGTCAGGGACAGGAGATGAGCACTAATGCCAGCCTGAGGTGTGTGAGTGGGGGATGTGTGCGCGCGCTGTCCGGAGGCTCCTGGACGCGCACTGAGGTCCGCCCCAGAGGAACGCGCCCTGGCTGAAGATGCTGTGAACTCTGCTACGCTATTGAATTTGAAGCAGCACCGTCTTCATTCTTATACGCATAAAGGTATTACACTAACAGTTGGATATTTTACTAGTTCACTATTTGAAATGCAATTTTGTTGTTTGCTGCAATTTGTGAAAGTTTGTTTGAGTGAAATGTCACTTTCATGAACTTCGAACAGGAGGTGTGATACAGGAAGGACTGAAAAAAAAGTGTGATATAGCACCAAGACATGCTGTATGCACGCGGTTAAGTATCAGCATAAAGGGACACAAAATATGAGGACCTCAACGATGTCCGGAACTACGCAAAGCAAATTAGTGCATTTAAAAAGTATGCTCAATGATTTAACGCTGTAAGTCAGCTGTGAGCTAAGACGCTAAACACCTTAAAGTCTTTGTCTACATCTAGTGGTGGGAGAGTGCAACTACAAGCACAAAACACGTTTGACACATACCGGTAATTCTCTGGTTTGACACCTTAAATAACGAAAAAGAAACTGGCACAACTAAAGAAGACCAAAAGTATTGCATAAATTAGAAAAATTAAGTAAAAAATGTGGAAATTAGAGAAACAGAAAAGGGACCTTAATATTATATTTTTAACAAAGTAACTTTATTGTGTAGAAAAATACAAGGTAGTCCATTTTTATCATATATTGAGGTATGGGGGTAGTCTGATGAGTAGGACAGCAGTCACATAAATAACTAATACCTACAGTGATGATTTGTGAGTGATATGACATCAAGCCAAGACATATGTTTGAGGTTCGGATATGTTTAACTCAAGAAAACTAAATATGGAGAAATTCAGTGCAATAAAAGTAACACATTATCCTTGTCGCAAAGCAGCATCAATAATTAACACTGAAAAAATAACATATGCAAATACAAGCATTCATTGTAGTGTGTTACATTTGTGCAAAATCATGAATTCACTTTTATCACATTTGTGCTACGGTATCTCAGCTGGCTCAGCATTTGCAAAGTTGTAGCTGTCTTTCATATTTTGAATGTGTGTGTGTGAATATGTCATCTCATGTAGTGCGTTATAGCTCGTAACGTGTATAGCAGGGCAGCTTGTAGACGGGCCTCCATCACTATAAGATTAGCATGAACCTGTAAGCACACATTAAATCATTACACAAACGTTTTCACTCAGACTAAACAGATATTTGGTTGGTTGGTTTTACTGTACCTTCTCTGAGTGTCGGAAATGTATCCAGAAGTCATGGTAGATGCGTGCTGTGGTCTGCTCTGGATGACAGGCCATGGTCTTCACAAATACTTTGAGAGAACGCTCCAACAATATATTGACACTGCCATAGTCATAGTCATCATAGCTGTACAGAAGTGAGCACACATTTTGTTAGATAAATACAACAATATAAATAAGATAAGATAAATAAATAGTTTTTGACACTCACCGAATGCCATATAGACAATGGATGTAGTTCCAAAGAGCCTTCCTCAAAGTGTGTGTATCAACACCCTCATGCATTGCCATCCGGTGGTAAGTCATGTTACTGACAACCTGCAGATCAAAAGTGTCACATTTGAAGAGCCCATAACTGCTATTTTTTTATGTGTTATAATGTTGTTTCCTCATCACAAACATACCCAGAGTTGTGTTTTATTTCATTCACAGATGTTTAAAACACAAACTCTGCATATTTAGGCTGAGTTCTTCTCTCAAACAGAAAACACTCTGGTCCACCTTGAGAAGTCATGTGGTAATACAGGAAGTGCTCCACTATGTTTTTGAACTGGATTACACACTCACTAGAATCATTTGGATAATTTCAGCCCTGGATTTGGCAATATCTAATGAACTAAATGTAAAACAGTAGCTATTAACTAAAAAACAACCACGTCATGAAATTACAAGCATGGAACGAAGCATTTTTAGCTTTGGAGATGTAGGCAGACTAACAATAAAGGGTTACTCAAACACATGTGAATGAAACAAAGTGACATTTGAATCTTTATACATAATCCAGTATTTTCACAATACACAAAAATGTATTTAATACCTGAAACTTCTCATCCAAAAGCTGTCCCATGTCAGGCAAGAGTCTATTGACCAGAGAATAGCCATGGTCCTCCCAGGAATAGTCCTATTATACAACATATAAACACATATCAGTTTGCACAGCAGAAGGTCGACTAAAGACTGTATGCACACAGTGTTTAACTTCAGATCATAATCCGTTTGGAGACTGTGCTGTACCTGTGCTCTCATGGTGGTGGGACACTGCTCTCCTCTGGGTGCAAAGTCCTCATATCTAAAGTCTGGATCCTCCACCAGGCACCGCACCATGTCAGGGGGGGCTCCACGGACCACGGCTGGATAAACGGCAAGGGTAAATGGTGTCATAAACATGGACTAAGCAAGATAATCACAGAACAACGGAAGGTGGAAAAAACATGTACGTACCAGTGGGAATGCTTTCGCTCCTCTCCCTTTCAAAACGAGTAATTATTTCCTCCTGAGAGCACTCTTCCTCCTGCTGTTGTAACTCCACCATCCTCTTCATCAATACTTCCACCTCCATGGCTCCGTCCACCAGCTAATCAACAACAGTGCACCACATTGTTCATTAACCCAAACACACACACAACCGCACATATCTATGTAATGACAAAACCGGTGCAACAGGTATGAGAGCAAACGTTTTTCAAACTAACTGTCATCCTTTAGGAGTTTTTTATTTAGTTCAAACATCAACAGACTCCTCGTTTGGACTTAAGTTGGTGAGATAATACCTGTGATGAATATAAATATGGAATTGCCTAGTGTGATTTACAATCAAGAAGTAAAATTTTGAACCTTAAAAATCTCAATCTTAAATCTTGTATCTTAAATGTAATGATCTTAACGGTGTTTTGGAGAAATTAGTAGTTCAACTGGTCACTTTAAGTTTGCAACAAGTTGAAAACATTCTTCAGAATAGTATCATAAACTAAACAGAAAAAACCCAGCGACTATTAAGATGGTTTTGGCTGAAGTTAACCCATCATGAACAGAACGAGCAAGGTGTAGTATATCAGTATATGATATCTGATAATGCCATTGAAATAGGTGTATTTCTCAGAAAAACAAGACTGAGTAGTAGTAACTATTTGAAATAGACAGACCTCTTGCCTGCCATCCTCATGAGTGGGACTGTGGGGACTTCTGGGGACATGACTGGGGGAGGAGGGCTGGAAGGTGAAGCCTCCGATATGGTCGGACTCAGGGTTCAGGCCACAGCCCCACACAAAGGAGCAGAGTGAATGAGCATGCGCCAATACCACAATAGCGTGTATCAGCTCGGCCAATGACCAGCGAGCATCTGCCCCAGGACACACCAAGGCCTACAGGGAGGAAAATTATGTTATCTTAACTCTACAAAATAAGTACATATAAACACTGAAATCAGTCATGATGCAAATTGTAGTTTTATTTATTCTGGACAAAACTGCACAAGTTTGTTAAGCTTCAAATTCTTAAACTTTAAGGATATCCATAAAACATTGCAATAATCTGTATTTCTACATCGGATCCGTGGTTATAATGTTCTGCTTGATTGGTGTATGAATATGTGTATCAAATTATTTTTGGGCTCCGTGTGGCAGCAGTAAAAAGAGCTCCACAGTCTTGGCTTGTGTGCTTTTGTGTGTGTGTATCTGACCTGGATGTGCTGCTCTGTGATGAGCCAGGGTCTGTGTGCCATCAGTTTGTTGAGGGTCTGAAGGCTGCGCAGTTTAGTTGGAGCCTGCTCCAAGCCACTGAGCCAGCTCTCCTCACCGCCCGCCTCCAAGAAACTTGCACTGTGCTGTTGGACCAAATATGAGCAATGGTGCCTAGCTGAAGCCTGCACATAATCAAGACAACTGTGTTAAAATAAGGACTAGAGTTTCAAGAAAAAGAACATGTTATGGAAGGCTAATGATGTAGTATGAATAAACCCTAAATCTGGAATAAACACAAGGTTGAAGCACCAAATTAAATAGACTCTACCACAAAAGCTGAGAAAACAGAAAAACAATGACTAATCACGCATGTGCATATTATTTTAGCTGACACAATATAAGCAAAGGCTGTCATTTTCTCTAGTTCCGCATTTTGCATTTTTTGTGCACAAGCAAATACAGCAGTCGGTTCAGGTACTACTATGTATTAACAGTGCACCATTTTGGAAGGAGGATAACTGCAATTATATTTGCAATGACATTTGAGACAAGACCAAAATATTAAGTGAAAAATACAGAACTTCAATTTGTAAATATTTACGCTACAGATACAATGCACAACATTTTCTATATCTCTATATCGCTATTTTTCTATAATAATACTATGTATGTTTTTTCTTTGCAGAGGACAATTTATTATATAAATCATTACAGTTTTTGTGATTTGGTAACTGCGCCAACTCAAATGGCAGTTTTGATTAAATTATAATACATTGTATAACCACACAATTGTATCTCAGTGGTTTCCTCACCATAACAGCGATGTAATGTCTCCAGTGACGTGGCAATGGCCCGTCCATCTCCAGCAAAGCATGCTGGGTCCTCAAAAAGCAGCTGAGGTAGGCTGGGTGAAGAGCCATGACCATTGTGACGTGGTCCACCCGACCCAGTGAGAGGAAAGATTCAATAAGGATGTCCTGATCAAGTCCTTCTTGCAAAATCTAAAGGAGGAGAGAGTAAGACTGAATGTAAGATGATAAAATAACATTGCTCTTGATCATTAAAGGTGCACATGGCTTTAGGGGAGTCTCTGCCACCTGCTTATCTCCATGGAGATGTCATTGCTTTGCCTAGATTGGAATATTCAACAGAATGACATTAAACTTATCAATCTTCATGTCACCATTTTATAGGTCAGATCTGTGGATAAGCAATCCCACTCCCAGAAAAGCACATGTTTTACAAGCAATTAAAACAACAGTAATACATTCAGTATGAATGTTTATGTCATAAACATTTCATGCAAAGCAATGACATCTCCATGAAAACAAGTTGGTGAGGGACTCTGCACCAGAAAATAGCACAGCTTTAAAGCCATTTCATCAAGCAGTAGATTTTACAGAGAACAACAGGGTGAACTAATATTAAGTTTGTGCACAAGTGTATAAATTCTATACACTCTGAGAGCTTTGTAAAAGGGGTTAAACGCACCTGTTTTGCTGGTATAAAGGCACTAGGACCTGAAGCCAGCGCTCGAGGTACTGCTACCCCTTGTTCCTGTGTTCAAAAGAAGACGCTTCATCAAAAGCTCATACTTAAAAGACATCTATTGCATACCATTTTAATATACTTTGTATCTGTTCACACATAAACTATCTTCTGTATATTTAGTTTTCATTATAAGCTAGACTGGTTTAAATAGATCTGCTGGTGGCTCCAACGCCCTTAAACTTGACTGCAAAGCTCCAGCCTATGGTAACTGGAGAGGGCCGTTTCATAATCGAGAATCTCATAAACAAAAGTTACACTCACCGACATTATTGGCGGAGGAGCCGTGAATAAAAACTCCTAAATCTGTTTTCCCATCGTTAATCAATGAAAATTGAATGTGCGCAACCAGTAGCTTGTAGCTTCTTCAACAGATGAAAGTGATATGATCGGGTTTGGATATTTGTCGGGACTCAAAGAGGGGGCGTGTCCGTCTTGTTTATGCACACCAGAGCAGGTCTTGCATCACCTACCGTGCTACACAGTTCAGTGGCTGATGAAATACGCAGTAACAGAATAACAGGTACAAAACTGGGCTTGATTTTGATTAAGACCGCTTGAGGATAAATTTGTTTATTCTTTAAAAACAAAAAAGTTTAACAGTAATATCGACAGTAATAGCTAAATTGGAGCAAAGTCTAACATCTAACTCATTTTCAAAGAACGTGTATTTATACTCTATTTTGTGGTCTTTGAGCCTACCGTGCAGAACATATGGTGCAGAACCAAAGACTTACCTGCGCTGACCGAAGCAGCTCGGTGGCCTTCTCACGGACCTCTTGTAGGGGGCAAGACAGTGATAGCCGGAGAAGATGCAGAAGTGTTTTTTGACTGAGCCGGTTCGATCCGGGCCGGTCCAAACCCAAACACATCAAGACACTGTCGGTGAGCTGCTCCAGAGCCGTAGCCCGTTCCTCCTCGTTTCTGCTGCACAGCCGAGATAAGCTCTTGGCTGTCGGTACAATGTCAGTCTCTGATTCGGACTGGTATCGAAACTTGCGGTCAGAAGAAGAGACATGTCCCGTTGCCCTTTCTCCATTAGACTGCCGAGAGAAGCCTGCTGTGGTCCCACTGGCCATAGTCCTGGTCCAAAGCTGCCCTGATGTTGGGGTGATGGGACTTTAAAGGTTCCTGTTTATCAGTGCGACCCCGCTACGCTAACGGCTCTTAGCTCAAGATCTGTCCCGGTTAGTTTACCAGTCAGAGAGGTTTAATGAACAGCCAGATAAACGTGAACGGATCGCAGATTTGTTTTCCGCGCTGTCATTCGTCCTGAAAATTAAACAACGCCGATGGAGCACTTCCAGCTTTTCCGGATTTCCCTTCACTCACCGGCTTCTTCGGTCGGCTTTGCTCGGCGCTAGCTCACAGCTAGCCTTGCTGTAGTTCACTCAGGACTTCACTGTTCTGACAGCGCACGAACAGTGGCATTAATGCTGTAAACACTAAACACTAAACACTTCTGCATCTGAGGTCTAAATAAATGCTTGTTTGTTTTAAAAGCACGTTAAAACTAGGAAATGTACCTGCTCCGATTTCATTCAGGGTGCTCTGCTAGGGTGCTCAGACGGATACATTTACGTCTAATAAAGCAACGTCATCGTGACGTTGCATGCTGTCAAGAGTCTTATTTTATTTCAAGAAATGTGTATGTGTGCGTGTGTGTGTGTGTGTGTGCGCGCGCGGGCGCGCGCGTGTGTTTGCATTTTTGTTTTTTGGGGGGTTTGCGGTCATGCTGCAATATTGCACTCAACCCCCAATGTAATAGGCTAAAAGTTATCAATGCATGTAGTATAAATAAAAGAATTATCAGTTTTGCTGATGTAAAATAGGCTACATTCTTGTAACAATATTAATGACTTATTGATGTATTATTGTTTAGAAGCTTTTTCTCTTAGCTTCCCATGCCTTACATCAGTGAAATCATATTTATACAGAAAACATAGGTTACAATTGTATTATGATTAATAAGAGATTGTATAGAACAATAGACTAATTACAATATATTTTAGAGAAGATTTTTGACTTGCCATTCCTTCATTCAATTTCAAACAATGTTATTTGGTGCCTTTTTAAAGAAGCAGATGACTGTAGAAATTACTGTAAACAAAGATAAGCCTGACAAGTGAACAAGACAGCGTCTCAACTCTGAGCACAGGCAGTAACAACTACAACTCTCTTTAGTGTACCAACACCGTTTCCCTATGAGGGAAGACTTTTATTAACAATTACACAGCCTGGCTGAGGAGAGCGACCTTCGGAGCGCACACACTCTCACGTCCCCATGACGACTGGGCTCTGTGTGTCTCAGGAGAAGGCTGGAGGAGGTGGTTTCACACAGGAGGGAGAGCTCGGGCTATAGCAGAGGTCAGGGTGTACAGACAGGCTCATTTCAATATATTACAGAGAGAAAAGTGAGGGAGGGTGACATAAAGCCTCAGACGATCTTGTTCTCAAGCAGAGCAATCCTCTTTGACATACTCTCTAGTGAGGCATTAGTCAAGGAAGACCACAACAAAGACAACAATAATCCAACAAGAATAAGCATTCACACACCACTATATTGTAGCTATAGACTTGTTGATTGTCAAAGTAAAGGATATATTTTTTCGTCAGGGCCTGTAGAGCATCTTCTACTTTCTTCTGGAACTTTACAAGGGAGTCACATTCACAAGGGTCTTCCTCTGGTTGAAAAAAAACCCCAGATAAATTAAAACTACATCTTTACATTTGGAAAACATGTGGTTATGCTTAATGTGTATTGACACCTTGACAAATGTTGATCTGCAACTTTTTGCCGATCTGAGTCATTGTTTTAAAATCGGCTGTATAGAAATAATGTTCTCCAACTGGCTCAGAGGCAATCTCCTTGAGTTCGTCCTCCACTGCATTCCCCACTCCAACAGCATACATCTTGATACCTACAATACAGACAGGCCACCTCTTACAACATGACAGCTTTCACACAAAGAGCTAATCTCTTGTGTCTCATACCAAGCTCCTTGGCTTTTTTGGCTGCATCCCCAATGTAATCCTGGCTGCGTCCGTCAGTGAAGACAATGCCCACCTTCGTGACTCCAGGCCGAGCTCCCTGCATAAAGCTGAAGCTGTTGTCAGTCAGGAAGCGCAGGGCCTGTCCAGTCATGGTTCCACGCTCCATGTAAGCCATCTTTTTCACAGCATCTTTTAGGTCCTTCTTATTGTTGTAGCGTCCCAGAGGGAACTCCTGCAGAGAGGACATCAGTTAAAGAAGGAAATGTGGTAATAAATAAATTATAATTATAAATAATATTTCCCTTGTGGATCAATAAAGTTTGTCTAAGTCTAATAATTAGGGATAATTTTGTTACACTCACTTACCTGTTTGACAGCGCTGGAATATTGGACCAGTCCTACATGAGCCTTGCTGTCAGAAACATCAAGTTTGTCAACAATCTGGTTAATCCATTTCTTCACCAGTTCAAAGTTCTCAGGACGGACACTCTTAGAGCCATCGATCAGGAACACCACATCTGTGGCTGCGCTACTGCAGGCTGCAGACACACATGACATGGAGCTCACAGATGTCACAATAAGGCCACTCAGGTCAAACTACACTGAGACAAAACCCATTATTCACAACAGGAGCACAGGCGCACTCACCACTGCAGCTGCGACCATCGTCCATCAGGGTAAAGCCCTCTTTGCAGGCACACTTGAAAGATCCTGGAGTGCTGATGCATACCTGCTCACAGTCATGGTCCCCAGAGGCACACAGGTCCGTCACTGTTTATGTGTGCATGCAGAGCACACACCAATGTGGAGGTGCCACACATAACCAGCAGGGGGCGATGTTTTGGGTTAGGGGAGAGAATAAAACTATGTCAGTTTGAAACTCTAACAAAGATTTTAATGATCCACTGTGATCTGCTGTAACTCAAATATATCACCTATATGTCAATAATGAAAATACATTTTGTGCAGGACAACAGTGGATCCTTAAAACAACTGATAAAAAGAGTAGAAAAGCCTTGTATGAACAAAATATAGTCTAGTTTAGTACTTCTACTGCAAACATGAGGCACAGGCCCACTTCTCCGACATGCAGCGTGCCCTTGGACCAGTCATCTACAGCACACCCAGCTGCTGCAGAGTGAGTGGCAGGCAGCAGTTAGAGCCACTGCCTCTGAGCGCCAAAGGGCACATCCAATTAGATGATTAATAACTCACTCTGATTTGGTAATTACAGAAAAATCACTCTCTCACTCTCACCTCTTAGATTTAAGGAAAGATTAATGAATAAAGACCCAATTTGGGTTGTTGGTCCTGCCCAATTGTCCTCAGGATATTTTATAAATAGCCTTAGCATAAGACGAATGGTATGAGACAACTTGCATACAGAAGGCAGGCAGACACCTTACCCTGAGGAAAGGGATGCAACCATACACAGTTTATGATATTTTTCTTACTACGCCTATTACTGTCACTCCTCCCCATCCTCAGGTCTTCCTCTAATAACCTGGTCTTACCACAGAAGGCCTCCTGAAACTTCTTGGTGAGCTTCTCAATGACACTGTAGCTCTCCACGTAGTCCACGTGATCGTCCAGGGGATCACTGGCCATCTGCCTCAGAGTGCTCATGTCCACACGACCCACCCCAATGGCAAAGATCTCAATGCCTGCATCACGAGCACGCTGAGCTATGTCTTTGACGTTGTCCTGAGGGCGCCCATCTGTAACGATGATTGCCACCTATGACAAGCATAAACAGTAGATGTTAAAACTGAGAGGGAAACTCTTTGGGAACATCTGAGAACTTGTCTGACCTTGCTGATCTCATTGGACTTACGAGCTCCCTCAGCTTCACTAAAGGCCACATTAAGAGCAAACTGGATGGCAAGGCCAGTCATGGTTCCTGTGGACAGAGGCTCAATCTTGGTCACAGCCTTCACAAGGCCAGCTTTGGTCTTATGTGTTTTCAAGGACACCTGCAAAGAGACAACATTCCACTCTCATTTATACAAACTCAGTCATCTCTTTGCATGACTATTGTTCCCTTGTACCTCATTCTTCACACGGCTGGCATAGTTGACCACTCCCACCCTGGTGGCGTTAGGTCCCACATCCAGACCCTCAATGACCTTGGCCAGAAAAACCTTGACTTGCTCAAACTCAGAGGGACGAACACTTCGGCTACTGTCAATGATGAACACAAGGTCTGTGGGGCGCGTCTTGCACAAGCCTGCAGCTGCATTTTGACAGAAAAAACTTCAATGAAAGGGACAGTATTTTAGTCCAGGTCTGAGGTACAGAAGGAGCACATTGAAAATGTAAAGGAAAAGGGGTGGGAGGAGTGTGGCATGAAAGAGGCACTTAAGAGTGGCTGGTGAGGTTTAAGTTACAGAGAGAGGAGAGCCAAAAACAGGATGCACAAATGTACCAGGGGTGGAGTCTGGATCACTGGACATGTAAAGGTAAATTAACCAGAAAATATGGCCAGGATATCAAATTACTCATGCAAAGGTAGTGCAAGAACTGAAGCTAACACACTTGCAATTCTACCAAAAAGATATAATGTAGTTTAAGTTAAATAAATTATATTATAAAATATACTTAATTGTCTGTACAATATAAAATCAGATGTTGAAAATAAAACGTCCAACAAGGTATTGCAATTTAGGACAGTTATTGTTATAGGGATGAATGATTTCTTGTGTATGTAATTGGCCATGCAGATTTATGTATGACCAGGAAAAATGTCCCATTACTTTTATAATTCAATGCTTGGACACAGGGGAGGGTTATATAATTACTAAGTACCAATACACTTAAATTAGCAATAACATTAAAATCATATGCCTAAGTATGAAAGTATGAAAAAAAAAATTGCATTTTAAGTATTGCTTTGCAACTTTGTCCACTACACTGCTTGAGCCTGTAAAATGTCTTGCCAAAACAACACTGGTCAACACTGCTGCTGAATTTATTGTCATAACTCTAAATCTTTTGCAATTCAAAACTTGTTTTAGTTTTACTCTTTTCATTGCTAAACAAACAAAAATTACAGAAGACTGCTATGACTCACAACATGAGCGTCTGAATTGACTGTCTTGGGTTTTTCACAGAATATAGATGAAAAGGCTGAGGCCAGTACTTACCCATGGCTGCGGCTGTGCGCTGGTCAGTAGTGGTGTGAGCCCCTGTAAGGCCCAGCAGCAGCAGGAGGAGCGGGGTCACAGTCATGATGGCAGTGCCTGGATGAGAGCTCTGGAGTCAGGGCAGAGGCAGCTGCTGCGATGGGGACTGCCACAGAGTGAGACTGAGCTACTGTGAGCCGAGGGTTATCAATGCAGCTTCTTTACAGTCAGCCCTCAGACACCCTCCTGTGTACCCCCCATATGTGTGTGTGTGGGCACGCAGGGGAAATACCTGCTTTGGGAGGACCTTACAGTGGGCAGGGAAACACAAACACCTTGATATGGGCAGGTATATGTGCGCCGCCATGGCCCATACAGTACGTGTGTCTGGAGGTACAGGAGCAGCTGGGGTTTGGTGCAGTGCAGCAGTCGCCCCAACTTGGATTTGGCCAAACCTCAAATAAACACCAATATGAATTCCTCTTTTCTCCCTGTTCCTTGGTACAGCAAACACACATTTATGGTGCGGAAGTAACGGAGAGTCACCAAACACAGTCCACAGTGTTCCACCTCGCGGCATGCTGGGATATTATGCATAAGCACATACTTTACTATGAACTGGTCCTAGTTCAAATGAGTTCAGTCGCAACTTTATCAGTAATTTTACGTGCCACAGTCATTCAAAAGTCATTCCTATCATTCCATTTACATATTATAGTTAAACATTATTGATTGATATACTGTTAGGTTGATGAATACTATTGTCATAATGAAAAAAAAGGACTGAATCTAATATATTTAATTCCTAACAGATTTCCCCATAGCTTCATCAGGACTGTCAGGACTGTCAGGTCTGTTGCAGGCCCCAGTGGAACAAACACACAGAGAAAATACACTTTCATCATCATCATCATCATCATCATCACCACACGCGCACAGACACACACAGACACACACACTTCTATAATTCACTGAATCCATGTCCGTCCAAAACAGAGGTGCTCTTTTCCCTCAGCATCCCTCTGCCCGGCTCCGCCCGCATTCCTCTGGACCCCTCACACACCTCCATCACACACCAGCGAACAAGCCGCAATTCAGAGGCAGTCTGCAGGAAAAGAGCAGTTAGAGTGTGGCTGCACTGTAACTAACAAGACACGGTCTCTACTAAAAAAGACATGTGGCAAAGTCAACAGTGCACGTGTGTGATGGACTCGAACATGAAAGGTTCAGCTGTTATTCCTGGACAGCACTGCGTTTTGGGTATGGGCCTTTGGTGTATGGCACATGACAACACACACACATATTTGTGTAAATATGCAAAGTTCTACTACACAAATCACACAAACTTATGTAACATGTCTACTGAGCGGCCCCACAAAAATAAACATACCTGCATCCAGTGAACCACAGTTTTTGTGGAAGAGGATGTTTTGCATATTTCCTAATCATAAATTGAAGAAAATTTGGTATTTCAAGGAATTAAGAAAAAATAAACAAACTTTTCATTTAAAAGCACAATACAAATACAGGCAGTAGGACTAAACTAAAAAGCTGTAATATTTGAACATTTAAGTCATTGTAGGCTTATCTAAACATAACCAAGACAAATCAAGTGTTTTCCACACAGAGGTATGAGTTCAACAAACCAAATTTAAAATGACTCAGCCACATGAATATTATAAGTCTGATATAAAATAGTGTATTTACTGAAAAAGACTGAAAAAGAAATGGTTCCTGTAAAGTCAAATACAGCGTTTAAGGCTGAATATAGAATCATGTCCCACAACAGCTGAGCTGTGCCAGACCCAGTGAGCAAACTATGAACTGTCTCCATCAATCTGGCCTTTTTACACTTCTGAAAAGACATGTCACTTCAGCTCAAATATTATCTGTCCCCCTTATATTTTTCACTTGTAGCACATGTTTTTTAAACAAACCGACCAAATAACACACCTGAAAATCAACAACTTAATGGTTTTGAAGTAAACATGTTGAGGTTTGGAGGATCTTGAAACCATATTCTGGCTACTTCAAAAACAAACACTATTAGTTTCAGTCCGTTAAATCAACAAACCCCTTCAGTTCACAGTATCCAGCCATCCCCAAAGGAGCAGCACAACTGTTGTGTGCACCAGCATTGGCTTTGGGAGGACTGCTTTAAGACCACATCCATCCATCTCAAACAAGTTGCCTTTCTTCAAATCTCAGAATACTGGGTAAATATTGAGAGTGTGGGACTGGTGCATCCCATACCTGCCCTGGCACATGGACTCTGAGCACCTCTGTTCACGGGACAGGCTTGGAAAAAATCATTACAGACTTAAACCTCAAGACACTGGTAAGCTATGTAATAGGTTATTCGCACCATATAGACATTTGATACCACTTTTGACAAGGCAACATGTAACTAGCCATCCAAGCTCTTCTTTTAACTAGCTTGAAGTCCAGGATTTGCAGTAGTAAGGAACATTTTTTAGAACAAATTTTTCTGCACATTACGAGCTTCAGTGCATATATTTACACTACACAGGTCCTGCCAACAGTAACAGCTCAGTGGCCAATGAGCAGAAGAGAGAGGTTCATTAAAAACCCAAATAGAGCCGTTACATAACCAGCCGTTCTCGTGGTGCCACAAACACACTCCTCCTTCATCCCATCTGCCCCCCGCCCCCTTTCTCTCCCTCTCCCCCTCCTCCCCTCCCCATGTCCACCACATCCCACCATCACCTTGTCCCATAGCAACAGCACATCATGGCTCCGCTCCATATCCCGGCCTAACACTCCCATTTTGTTTATCATAAAACTGAACACAGGAAAGGCCAGAAGGAGGAACATTAACAATGTCTTTTAAACTTTTTGAACTCTCTCACTGAAAGTTAAGAATGAAACTCAAATCCAGAATGTTATTTATAGACACTGCCTTGAGCATATGAGGGTAGTGTGATGAACAAACAGAGCAGAAAGTGCACCGTGTGTGAACACAGCAGATGGCAATAAAGATTAGGATTTAGGCTGCATCTTGTCCTCAAATGGGACACTTCCACTGTTATAACAAGTGTCTGTATTCATTTTCATCAGATTAGCGCCTGCTCATATTCCCCTTCTGGCTATGATGGAGGGACATCCAGGAAACAAAGTGTCAAAATCTTTGCACATGGTAAATTCAGAAGCTTTTACACTGCCCTCTACTGACAGATATAGCATATGGCAACCAGCATCAAACAAGACAAAAATATAATTATGGATGTCCACAAAGCATTGTGTGTTTATTAAAGCCCAGCCACCATTTTTGCCATTATTATTTTTGTCAAACTGGCAAACATTCAGGACAGAAATGAGAATATTATAGAACTACTAATGAATAACTCACACTTTGTCACACAAACAGTATAAAACAGTATTAATCTCACATTTCACAAAATATACACAGGCAATCAGAAATGTATTGGGGAAAAGTCACAGTGGAAATGACTGTGGATTTCCCGAGGACTGTCATACTCTATTTTGACACAAGAGGGCACTGGAGGGCTTTGTGGAGAGGCAGGGCTGACCTGAACAGGCAGCAGTGGAGCTGCTTTGGTTGGAGTGGTCTCTGCTCTGAGCCTGAGGGGTCTGAGTGTGGACACAGGTGGTAGGGTACTGCTGTTGAGGTGGGTCTGTGTGTGTGAGGAGCGCTGGTCTCTGGTAAAGAACACAGAGGGAGGAGCACTGCCAGAGGGGGCCAGCTGGAGGTCTCGTGGAGCACTCAGAGTGCTGGAGTATGATGGGGGGCACTGAGGTCGCTGGTGCAGAGAGGCCTGGCTGTACATGTTACCCCAGGGGCACGACTGATAGGCAGTGATCCCACCTGTAAGAGCACACATGTTAACAAAGCTGTGAAGAGAGCACAGAAGTAGGACCTCAACTTTAAACACCACTGTAACTGTAATGTTACTGTTGTTGTCATCTATATGTCATTTATATGTTCAGGCTAGTCTTCTGAGGTTCCAGCAGAAATAACAGAGCATTTAACATTGCAATCATTAATATGATCTAGTGACACTAGTCTGAACTCACCATGAGGGCCAGTGGACTGGAGCAGCACTTGTCCTGTGCTCTGGGACTGAAAGAAGGCATGGCCTCCGGTGGAGTAGGTCACCACACCAGTGGAGCCAGCGCCAGGGCCAAAGGTCAAGTAGGACGTGGAATCTGGAGGATTGGGTGTGAGGTAAGGGGAGGGGTTGAGATAGGGCACACAAGGCTGGGGCTGAGAGCTAGGATAGGATGTCTGCAGCTGGTACAGGAGAGTGTTCTGCTGTGCTGAGCTCAGATAATCCATCTTCTCCCCAAAATCAAACAGAGAGCTACAAGTGAAGCAAAGAAAGTACCACCTTTAAATGTTTTGTTCAATATGGATTTATGATTAAATAATAACACATTTTGAGTGTTTACAATTTACTACAACATCACTTCATATTAATGTTTTCGTCTGACAAATTTATGACCAACTGTGCTTTGAGAAAGAATCAGATTCAGTTTCTAACTAGGCCATATAAAATATTTCAGCATTTAGTAATTACTGATCTGCACAAGTCTGTGCATGCTTTGAATGTTAAAACAGACTCTCCCTCCTCATCATGAGTATTTCACAGGGTACCAGCTCATGTGAGCACATCTCCCTGCTGTCCCTCTCCTGTCCCTCTCCTGTCAGTGCTTGTTGCCCCAGTCCCTGTCCACATTATCTGCTTGTATTCCAGTCACAGTCCCCAGTGAGTGGACATGACCTGGTGTCAGCCTGCAGAGGCTGCATGTCATGATGTGGCAGAGAAGCGCCTGCCTCCAGAGCATCCAGAAACAGAGGAGATGTGTGGGCCAGCGAGTTGAGGAGCGGGGGGTTTGGGTTGCCTGGGTTGTAGGCTGTGGTGAACAGAGGCAGGCTGGCTCGGCGTATGGGAGGGGGGCTGTGCATTGGGCGCGGGTGGTACTCCCCTAACCCCCCCTGAGATGAAAGCTGGTGTGGCTCTCCATCTCTAACTCTGGAGTGACCTGCAGATTAACACACATAAAAGATTAAAGGGTGGTTCAGACTCAGAGGATTTATACTGTGTCATTATGCGTGCCAATGAATCTGTCCACTACACAGTCTACTTTTAAGTAGACTGGCGAAAAAAGATGAGTTCATATTGTAATTCCGGATAAATGCAATTCTGAATAAATGACTCTCCAATACTGTATACATGTTTGTGTCTGTAGAAATGTATATATTCCATATAAAGACACTTACAATGGGCAGGTTTAAATATTAAATCTGATTTATAAATGTTTAAGATCCTTCAGACATGTGGCGCACTCCTTGGTGGCTGCACATTTTATTGTGTGTATTGTTTTACCTGGACTGCTTGAGAGGTTGCTGTACAAAGGAGGTAAAGTCAGCGCTGTGGGTGCAATCTGAGACTGTTTTGTGGTAAAGTGTCCAGAAAAAGATGGTGGTCTATACAGAGGAAAGCACATGGGTGAGATCAGGTCAGCCTCATAAAACTATTCCAGAGAGGACTGACTTGTTGAGGGGCAAACTGGGCAGAGCAGGGGTCACTTGAGCATGCGGGGGGCTGCTGTGAGGTCCAGTGCGGCTTGCCTTCTGCTCAGCCTTTGCACTGATTGAACGCTCCACTTTTCTCCACTTTGCTCTGCGGTTCTGAAACCAAACCTGGACAAAAAATGTGAAGAAGTTAAAAGTTGTGGTATATTACAAGATATTACTTGAGTAGTGTTATTTAAAAGCACGATACAAAAATAATGTTCAAATAAAAAAGGCTTCAAGGATGTTAGAGGCCCTTGGTATATGAACATTTGTAGAGTTAAACTCTTACTCATTGAAATCATTTGTCATTATGTTAAATGATCATGTCTAAAACCTGAGGAGGCAAAACTGACTCTAAATTCTTCATATGTGAATGTACAAGTGATTTTTCACTTATTCTCTATGACTGTAATCTGATCATGTTGTCTTGTATGTTTCTCACCATTATTCTTTGGGGTGTGACCCCAACTGAAGCAGCAATGGCTTTCCTCTTCTCTGCATCAGGGTAGTGGTCTTCCTGAAACAGGGACTCCAAGTGCTCTAACTGATCTGACGTGATACAAACACATAGACAGGTTGAATCAAACTGAATGCACATTTTGAGAGAACTTTATCCACCTATAGTAATTCTTACCTGTACTATAGAGAGTGCGAGTCTTTTTCTTTGGGGCAGGTGGCAGGAGGCAGGTGTCAATGTTTTCTAGTCCTGGCATCACTGGATAGCTAAGGGATCGCCCGCGGTCCCTTGTGCTGTATCGTATTGAGCGTCTTGTCGAATAGACTTGAGTTATCTCCATCTATCATGAGTTTATGAATTTACAAATGACACAAACTTAAAAGCAGGTAAACGTTATGAGCATGTATTGCAGTGTAAGTAGGCTGACCTCAAGAGGCTGGGGGTTAGTCTGTGGAACACTGTGTAGATAGGGGCTATGGGGTCGTTTGGTGCCCTGGGGTGCAAGAGGTGTAGGCTGGATTGGCAGTGGAGGCTGCGAGGAGTACAGAGCCATGGGGACAGGGGGGCGGTACATCCCAATGCTCCACATCCCAGACATGGGATCAGCCAACTCACTACTGTCCATCAGCCCATCAGTAGGCTCCAATGAGGGGTCCGCTGGGCTTTTCTCAAGTTCCTGAGCTGGGTTTTCGGTCATCCCTTTGTCGTCAACAACTTTACAACTTTTTTTACATCTTGACCGCTCATTTTGTTTTTTGCTCCGCCTCTTCCTGCCTCTTTTCTGCTCATCTTTGTCATCACAAGCTTCTTTATGTTCTGTTTTGGCAGATTCATTGTTAGTAATATCTTTGTCTGCTCCACCTGGAGACCCAGCCTCCACCTCAACTCCAGCCACAGCCTCTGGTTCAGCTTGATCTGGTTCCTCTTCATTATTTTCATTATTTCCTGCTTGTTCATGGTCCCCAGTTTGTTTTCTGCAGTTTATCTGATTAAAGAGCAGCTCTACTTCATCTTCCTCCTCCTTGTTCCTGTCTACAGGTTGATCATTCCTTGGTTTCAAATCTTCCTGTTCCTCACATATAAGGCTTGGACAGTCTGCAACAAGAAAAATCTTACAGGTCAGGACCCATTATTAGGCCCGAGCACCAGAGGCTGGCGAAGGGCCTATTAGTATCGCAAAGCGATGCTCCAAGTGGCCCGAAAGTGAAATGGTGCAACATGACTCGCCCGTAGTGACCAGGGACCCTTGCCATGACGTAGCAATGCGCCAGAGGTTTCCGAAAATGTATAGTTTGTCGGCCAAAAAAAAGAGGAACATTGTTCTCATATCAGAAAATTAAAGCCGCTTAATCTTCTCCTAACCAGCTCACCCATTTTTCACCCACTGAACAATGACGAAAAGTCCTGGAAATTTTGCCATCTGGTAAAACTCGCGCTTCCCTACGTTTGGGCTATTTCCATTTTCCAAACATAAATAAAATGGCTCGTCAGCGCCCCCAAACGACTCAAAAATGCATTAGGGAATATGAATGACACAAAAAAAAATTTGCATGTACAATCATGAAATTTGACACAGAAGTCGATCATGTCAAGACAAGGAAAAAATATTATTAAACTAACACCGTGTGCTCCACTAGGGGGCAGCAATATTGGCTGAAAGTTTGCTAAGCTTTTACGAACTCCTCCTAGGGCGTTCACCCGAACGAGCTCAAATTTGGTCCACATTATCTCAAGACGTGGAACATCAAAAGTTATTCAAATTTTCACACACGTCTTACGGTCTCTGAGCAGTGAAGCAACAAAAAATGCACAAAATTTTGGAGATTTACAAATTGCTCCCATTTGCTCAAATGAACTCTGATTTCAACAAAATTTGAAACAGTTGTTAAACTCTCTGCCCTGAAGCCACTTAATGTGAAAATTATTAATTTGGCACATTAGCGCCCCCTATAGATTGAAACAAATATTAATATGGGAAAAAATCATTTGTTCCCAAATAGTTGTTCAAAAATTTCAGAAATTTTGCACAAAATTCCATTTTGACATCCTGATCCAAAATTCAATGACACCCATGTCATACTTTTTATGGCGTTGCCATAGCGATGACATAAACTCTCCATTGGTAAAATCTACAAAACTTTGGCCGATTTCACTCAAATTTTAATCGCGGGTTCACACCCCGACCCTGAACAGATTTATATATGAAAAGCTCAGATGGGCGCAATAGCGTCCCCTAGGGAAATTGCACGGTAGTGCAAAAATGTATTTTGTTGTAGACATATAAAATTTGGTACGCAGATTCATGACATGATCTCAATCAAAAAAGTCAATGATGACCCCATACCATTTCCCATCATGTTGCCATGGCGACAGGCCAAACATCTGCCCTCACCAATAGGACGCCCAACAAAAACTTTGGTGTAGCCAAACCAAATTTGGTACACAGATGCATCATGGGAATAGGAACAAAAAAGTATATTACGTGGTTGCTAGGAAACCAACAGGAAATCGGCCATATTGGATTGATCGTGCGACCTGTCCTCGTACTTGAACAAACTCATCCTAGGGTGTTTGACCCAGACAGAATCATTCTGTATCATCTAGACAAGTGGGATATTAAAAGTTGTTCAAAGCTTTTTAAGAGGTCAAATGGTGATGCCGTGGCAACGGTGCAAATTTCGGGTTCGTTTTTGGGGCTCACCATCAAACTTCAACGCCTGATAATTTGCACAAACTTTGGCCGATTTCACTCAAATTGTAATCGTGAGTTCACACCTCAACCCTGAAAAAGACTGATGTAAGTAAAGAGGGTGCAATAGCGCCCCCAGCAATTTGCACAAACTTTGGCTGATTTCACTCAAATTTTAATCCTGAGTTCACATCTCAACCCTGAACAGATTGATGTAAGAAAATACAAAAATGGGTGCAATAGGGCCCCCTAGAAAATTTGTATGTAAAAATAAGGTTTTATTTGTCACAGATATACAACATTTGGTACCCACATTTGTGACATGGTCTCAATTAAAAAACTCAATGATGCCCACACCCCATTTACATTGTGTTGCCATGGCAACAAGCCAAAATTGTATCCTTGCCAATGAGACGTCTTCACACAAATGTTGGTGTAGCCAAATCAAATATGGTAGCCAGATGCATCATGGCAATAAGAACAAAAATGTATATTGTGACCATACCCTTTTCAAACCGGAAGTCCGCCATCTTGGATTTTATTTATTTTTTTGCAAAATTTTGAAAATTGCAGGGTTAGATTAAGATTTATAGGGTTAGGGTTGGGGCTATGGTTAGGATTACGATTACGGTAATGTTAGGCTTATTAGGTCAGTGTGAGGTGCAGCGTTTGCGGGGCGCGGCGTTTGCGGGGTGCGGCGTAAGCACGCGCGAGGGCCGATCATTGTCGCTTGCGGCTATATTTTGGCCATTATAACTTATAAGATTACAAAAATGCTACCACAAGGGCTCATTCGGTGTCAGTACGATTAAGAATCTCTTTAAAAGTCCAAGTGTTTGGTATAGGTCGTGATGTTGCATATATTTAAGAGACAATTAATTTATCTTTGCCTCTTAGAAAGCTGCCAAAATACTAATTACACTGAACAAATGCCTACAGGCCGAGACATGGCCCGGTGATATCATTTGCTCGATGTACATTTCTGAGTCATTGGAAGACCTGGAGGTGGAACTTCACGTGATAAACGCCGCCCTCTGGAGGAGTAGCCCCCCACTCTCTTCATTAGTGTCCCAGCTGTGTAGCACCTCACCTGACTGCTTATTAACTGCGGCCCGCTAGCTGCAGCTAAACTAGCGTCTATCTGCAAACACTGGGTCAAGAATGTTAATGACAAACTTTCATTTTAAGTTGATTTGAGGTGCTTAGTCAGGGACTGGGACGCTGTAGATCAATATGTGTCTCTAGTGCAAGACTTTTACTTTTAAGTTGTTGAAAGTTTTAAAACATGACACACTCAGGACTTCAACGCTGTGGCAATGTTGCAATAAAAGAATTAATTTGTACTCAAAAGTTCTTACCAAAATCCTCAGATGCATCACAGTCTTCGTCCATTTCGACGCGGCCTCAGTTAAACCAATAAACTTGTCCTAATAATCAATTAAGCGGCGCAGGTCGAGAAGCGGATCGCTCCCGGACAGAGGCTAATAGGCCTGATTGATTGATTACCTGACTGAGTGTGTGACCGAGAATTATCGCGTGAAGGCTTCGGCCAATCAGCGAGCGCCGCAGGTCCAGCCAGGGTTAGGGGAACTCAAAAACACTTCAGCCCAAGAGGACATTTATTCATCTTTAGACCTCTTACTATGTCACTGTATGAAAGAATATAAAGTTATGTGTAGTACTGATTTCAACTTATTTAACCAATTATACCTACACACCAGTTAGGTATAGTTGTTTAAATACAATTACAGTTACAATTACAGAATACTGTCTGTAGGCAATTTCCTATTAACTTAATTACTGGTAATGGGTCCTGCAGTATTCTGAAAACATTAAGTAAATAAATGGTTTGCTGTTTCACCTTTTTTTTTTTTAAAGTTGCATATAAGCCTAGATATATAGGCCTATTGTTATTATGTGGAGCACTTTGGGAACTATCTTGTTTACGAAATGTGCAATAGAAATTCTTGGACTTGTAGCCAACATAATTTATAGCCATTTTATTTGAAGGAAAGAACAAGTCCTTGACAAGTAACTAGATTTGTCCCAAGGCCACACTTAATAGCTCTATACTGCGAGTGCCCTGGGTGATCACATAAATTCAAAATTGGCATTGAACCATGTAGGCCTACTTCTTTTTGCCAATGCCAAATAGCCAGTCTCTTGTGAAAATGCCAGGTGTGACCAATGTCCCTGCTAACAGTTGCAGTTGTTCTAGTTGCTCCCAGCAGATGGGGTACTACTGAGTGACCAACCATTCAGCAACCTCAGCCAGCATCTGTCTGCCCTCTCTCAGCTATAATGCTTTTACTGTCTTACCCCTCCTATATGAAAGAAGGCTCACAAATCGCAAATCCTTCCTTGTCCATGTGTGAGCCATATAATGCCACAAATCATATCAACAGCCTTCTGCACTAAGTTCTATGAAGCGGTTGTTTTCAGTACAATAGTAGTATTCGCATCTCCTCCTCAACAACTGACCTTGTTCTCTTACAATCTGATAACAGGGATGTAAACTGGAGACCCTTTTAGACACTCTCTGCTCCTCCTCATGTTCTTACAAATCTCAGTGGATACTTGGTCTAATCATTTCTGATGCAAGTATAGCAACAACTCCTCCCTCCTTTTCTCTCAGGGCCTTCAGAGTTCAGACAGTGTAAATAGCCTGGATCATATACAATAGCTGTGTCAGTGTATTTTGTATTGAGATGCACAGGGTTGCAGCTAATGTCAGTGGGTCAGTTATGGTATGTAGGCCAAGCTAATGTTGGTGTGTGATAACGCCAGGGCGAGACTTTACGCCAGTCTGAGAGGTATTTCAGATGTCTTACTAAAGAGCATTTTCACTGTGAGCACTGGCAGAGGTTACTTTATCATCGGCCTGCACCATTTAGGGCCATGTTCAGAAGGTGGTAAAAAAAAACTGTGTGCTGACTTGTATCAGATAGTATTCAAGAGCTCTGAAAAGGATGGATATCTCAGGGGTTATAAGAGAAATATGTTTTTGAAGATGAGTGGTGTCAGTGTCAAACAGATAAAGCTGCTATAGAAAAATTTTTATACCAGCTTTTGTTCACTATTTTATACATTGTTTCTCTTCTAGACAAACCTGTCATTACATCAAAATAAACAACCTAAAATATTGAGGCAGACCAAATAAATTTTACCATGTCCCTTCATTCCCCAGTCATTATCTCAACTGCAATCTCAGCAATGTAGAGTATGTTCAGCTGGAGATCAAATAAATAATATTTTACAACACTGGTATGCATTCTGCTCCTGTAGCCAAGTCTCCCTTAAAAATATCATATTTTACTGTAAAACCTTAACATTTTTAGTTAGGCTTGTATAATGGTATGTGTTGCACCTGTAAAAAAAAGTTATGTGGTGAGAAACTGAGGCCTTAAAATCATTGTTTGTCTGTTGGTTACCTGTAGTCAGATTTGAATTAATACAAAGACGAGATTTACCCAATTCAGGTTTTTATTTGAACAGAGTGGCAGATTAGTGACATGTCGGTGGCTTGGAGGATCTGCCCTCTTCGCTCACTCAGCCAATGACAAAAACTCAGCCTTAAAAAAATGCAAATGTATAAAAACAGGAATGGGAACAGCAAACAGAGTGCCGCCAATAAGGCTGGACACAAAACATACACACAAACTCACACATGCATAGCTACACACAGTCCATTCTCCCTCACTCATACCCCTGTCTTATTTGGCTACGCAGGCTTAAAGATGAGTACAAACACACATTGACTTTAGAAAAGACAGTACATGTTAAGATCATTCCTGCCCCGTGAAAAAGTGGCGTGGCGTCTGTGCATCCGTCCCACTGCGGAGACGGACAAACGGAAACAGACAGTGAAGACACAGTCAGTGTGAGAGCGGCCGGCCCACATTCAGCAGTGAACTGAGCAAACACGCGTCAACGACAGGCCAGTGTACACAAGAGTCTGCTGTGAAATATCAAGGTGAAGCTCGCACACACACAACAGTGGCAGAGGCGTGTTACCGCTCAGTGGAGGGATGCGGGGGCTGCTGGACAAAGGAGACCGCACTCTCCACCACAGTACATTCGAACTTTGACCCCAACCCTGGTTTGTTTTGGAGTTCACAAAATGCACACTGACATCCACACACACCCAGACTAGTATAGTTTTGACTCCCATGCATTTTTGATCTACAGTACTGAGTATAATAGAAGCTACTAGCCCAGTCATACTGGTGTGGTTATTGTTACAATCTCTTAGATAAAGCACAATTCCCAAAATTTCAAAGCCAAGCCCAGATTCCCTGTTCCCTCCCCATAAAGAGCCCACAGCAGGGACAATGACCCCATAGGCTCAAACTCAAGGTCTTATAACTTGTCATAACTTTATGGGCCAAAATTATGATATGATTGCTGTACAGCAGACCATGGATGAGAGCACCTGGAAGTCACTTGCTGTTTAGAGTTTTGGCCCACACACTTTCAAATGGGCCCCTCCCGTTCCTGAACAGAGCCAATGGCAGAAGATGAAGGTGAGGCATGCAGAGTGGGAGGAGTCAGAGCTGTGATGACAGATGTGCAGTTGTGCTTTTTACACAAACAGACCAAACGTTAAACCAACCAGAAACTAACTACAATACCAATGACATACTGAAACCACCTGATCTCTCGCTTCACAAGTGAAAACGTCACAACAAGGTTTGATGTGTGTGTGTCTGAATGCAGAGCAATTACATGTCTGTTGTGTAGCAGTGTGGCATGTGTGTGTGTAACTTTGCTGGAGAGAGCACAGCTCTGTGATGGCCAATATGATGAATAAAACTCTGAATGATCATGCAGATGATTAGTGATATGCTGTTATTTACATATAAACCTTTTTAAACTGCTAAATACACATCCTCCAGTTTACTTATTATTATCACGGTATTATTCATTTTATTACTCACCATCCAGCCCAGACACTGATATATTATTGATTATTATTACTATCTGTAACTAGTCTTTAAACAGCTAAGAGGAGCAGACAGGTCGTCAGCCTTCTGTAACATACAGTGTTTCCACGGCAGCTCCTCGACATGGAGAAGCACGCTGCGTCTGAGCACTATTTTCTGGTTGGCCGAGCACAAAGCGAGAGGTCGGAGCCACCTTCGAGCTGACACCAGTGACTGTGTGTGTGGGCGTGTGCATGTGAGCGTGTGCACGTGTGGCTTAATGTGGCTGTATAGATGCAAATATGCATGTGTTTGAGCACCAGAGACGGAAGGCACAAAGAGACCTTTCCTCTAACCTTTGACCCCGGGCTGTGTGCGGCCAACCAGACGCTCCATGTGTTTGGGGTGAGGGGTGGCGCTGAGACCACCACCACCTCTTTGTACCCATTGTGTCTGCGCTCCCTCGACCCCTTTCATTTGTTCATTCGCTCCATAAAAACAGAAGAGGAACTTTTTGTGCTGGAAACACAGGTTAAGAGCTTGTGTTTTTGTTTTGTCCTTTTTGTACAAAATAATCATATCATTACATACAGAACAAGTATCTGTCGAATATTAATAACAACATTTACTTTAAAAACATCTGGTGTGTATGTGGGATTTTTTTCAGAATATATTTTGATTTTTTTTTTTGTTCTTTTTTTGTCCTCTTTTGTGTTTTCATCGAAAAGAAAGTCTCAAGTCCGTAGAGAGAAAGGCGCTCACAAGTGTGTTGACGGTGATGATAGGTTGCAGCCGGAGGAGTAGGATAGGGCGCAGAGTATCCTTCTCTAAATCTCTCTGGGTCCATCCGTGTGTGGGTGTCTCTCTGGCCTCTAGGGGAACGAGCCTTATGCATAAAACTCCTCCTGCTTGTCTGGTTTCTGGTAGGTTACTGTGGCCTGTTTAGGTTCTTCCAAAGTGTAACTGCCCTCGTCCTTCTTCTTCATCCTGTAGACCAGCAGCATAACCAGGAAGGCGGCAAAGAGTGCCCCCACCACACCGCCGACGATCACAGCTGCCAGAAAGAGGGAAATACTGTTAATGACATCAATGCATCTTCAATGTGACAGACATATCATTGTTTATATTGTTTACCAGCAACTACTGAAGCCAGACCAATTTGCATTTTGATTATTGAACATTGTAATTATTCATCTTTTTCATCAATGTTGATACTGAATGAAGTCAATTAATCAGAGAACTACAATAACTGCAGACTGAATAAATTTAAGAAAATAGTATATTGTCTGGATTGGACAACAGAGTGAAAGCTATATTATATTAAACTCTACTTATTAGCGTTTTATTATTTGCATAAAACCTAATCAAAGTGGTTTGGCCATTATTATGCTAAAAGTAACTACACAAACTACATCAACCCAATGCATTGCACCAATTTAATGGACCCATATTACACTACTATTTGATCTATGTTATAATGTTGTTTCCGCATCTTAAGCATAGCCGGAGTAGCTTGTTTCATTCACGCACATTTAACACATTCACACATTTAACCCTGCATATTTAGGCTGAGCTCTTCTTTCAGACAGAAAACACTCTGTTCCACCGTGTGATGTTGTGTAGTAATACAGGAAGAGCTCCACTGTGTTTTTAAACTCCACACACCTTCACTACAATCACTTGAATTATTTCAGATCTGGAATTGCCAACTGAACTACTGAACAAAAGGTAAAATGTAGCTGTAACTTGACAGCTTCATGATGTTACAAAGTGGAACAGAGCATTTTGAGAAACAACAACAATTAATAAATAACTATAACAATTAATAAACAAGGATTATTCAAACATATGTGAATTAAACAAAACACAACTCCAGGTATGTTTTTGATTATGTAAATATAATTATAACATGGCTTATATCGAGTCAGTTTTGAGTAATATAGGACAACTTTTAACAACTAACAAATCACTGCTAAAAACCCATATATGGTAGTTGTAATGTCTGTTAACAACATGTAAAAAATTTGCAAGTCATATTCTGCAAGGAAAAGCTGATTTAAGTAGGGAAATAATCAAGAGTGAAGAGTAAATTGCATAGCTCTGAAAGTCTTTCTTTCCGTGCATTGTGGCTAATTTGTAAGGTCGCATTACAGGGCAACAGAACTTTCACTGTGCAATCAGTGAGTAGGAGCCCATCCTTATACTACCACAAATAACTCAAATCTACATCTATCACAGACACACACTAGTCTAAATGCTGTTGCCTCCTGCTCTTTACCAATGACCAAGAAATCGGCGAAAACCACAGCCAGCAGTCCTCCAATCAGAACAGCTAAAGCAAAGAGAGAGCCAGTCAGGTCAGCCCCTTCACTTTCCACTACAGCTCTTCGGGACAAGGAGCCAGGCCACTTGAAAAGGGATTGGATTAGGCCAGAGGGAGAATGATGAGAAAAAGCAGGAGGAGAAAGCGGAGGGGAGGGCTGGTTGGATAATGCAGCGCCAGGATTGCTGGTTCTCAGTGGGTCAAAAAGCTCTAAGCAGCGCATTCGCTTACTGTGATAAATGTGCCCTTTGTGGATGCAAGGTAATACAAGTTCATCTACAGAGCACGTGTAAAGCAAGGGAAAGAATACAGAAGGCAACGGGGTGAAATAATCTGTTGATCTAGGAGGTGCTTAAATTGACAAAGAGCATTAATCAAACTTACACTTACAGAAGCGGGAGTCTAGTACAACAAAACAGGGCCACTCTAATGTGGAAAATGGTATTTACCTATCAAAACCTCTTTCCTCTCCAGGATGTTTTTCTGTGGTAACTGGGCTGCAGAGCTTCCCCCATCTACAGTGTTGCCGATCAGATCTGGCTCCATCGGAAGCCCTCGTCCCAGTCCATTGCGGTTCTCTTCACGGATCTCGAAATCTCCACTTGGACCAGCGACACCCACCTCGTTGTTACTCTCCTAAAAAAAAAAAGAGAGAGAGAGAAAAGGGACATTTAAGGCCATAGTAGGAAAATTTACATTTGTTGTAATCAGATTTGTTCCAAAGAGTGGTCACGTTGATAATTATCCTGACCAAAGCAAGAGTTTCCCTGGCATATGTTCACTAAAAAAGCCTTAAAAACAATGAGCTTCTGTGCACTGCAATTCAGGGAAACTTGTATATTGTCCAGCACATATACAAACTTCAAAAACATGGCAGACATAAGTGGAAACAAACCTAAGCACATCATGAAAGTGGCTCAACAGAAAGGAAAATGCCTCAAACTGTATATCATTTCACTGTTTAAACAACAGTAAGAAGGATTGTGTTAATATTGATAATTATATAAAACACTTTTGACCAAATGGCAATGGTCCCACAGGGAAGTCCTATTAGAGGTGACTATACACCACAAATATTCATTAATACATCCTGCTGTACAAGGTAATAGAACAACCACACCTTTGTTTATTTTAAATCTGTTATCGAGCTCTTCAACAGTCTATTTTTGGTAAATGCATTACATCGCATTGTGGTTTAATAGCAGAGTTAAGGTCTAGGTGACAGTAAAAAGGATTCTTCGTGTTTCACATTTTGTACAAATGTACCAAGAGGCCAGTGGCTAGAGCATTTACTGCCTTGTCTGAATCCAGACCTGGACAATGTGCAATGCTCCTTTGGCACAACAGTGACATAAAACATGAGTTCTTTGTGTTATATGTCATATAAAGAGTTGTGGTGTCATGCTATCCAGTAAAAATTATAAAAAAAATGAGGATTCTACTGCTGGGTTTTGGTTTCCTCTTTTACAATGGTCATAAAAACTACAGTGATATACACAGAGTCTGTCCACAAAATGACAGTTTATCCAGAAAACTCTCAGGAACTCTTTGGAGCACGACATCCCTGGCTCTGCTCCCGGTCCGGCTGTCCTCTATGGCACGTCATTGGATTTTTACCTTGTTTATTGTCAATTCTCTGCTGCCAGAGAGGGCTGTTTTCAAATTATAGCAGGGGCCAGTTTGCTCCATGTCAGCCCTTCACTCTGCCCATTGTTTCCTGTCACTAAAGGCCAGAAATGCCCCCAAAAAACCAACACACAAAAATAGTGACACAAAATGTGAATCCCAGATCAATTTGAGCTATATGACTTTTAGTTGTCAGTCATCAGTCCAGCATGTATCTAAATATATATTTAAAAACCGTTGCTTGGGTGAGTTATCTAAAAAAGAAAAGGCTGAGTTTTGAGAAATATCAGTAATTGACCAAGGAACACATAATCTGCATATTCTTTCCATTTAAGATTATTATATATATAACACTTTGTATCTGTTACCCAGATGTTTTTCAAGATTACTTATCACTTCATTGTTTACAAAATCTGTTTTACTGCAGATAAACAGGTATGACTCGTCAGTTCTGACAACACAGACCAGACTAAGATCTTCCTAGTGTTACACAAGGAGATGATGTCTGGTTAGGCCCCTAGAGGTCAGTAAAGGAACTAATGATTTGTTTTTGTTGTAGATTCATAAATAATACTTGTTTGGATCCAGTGTGGGCTTGTTATACTATGGAGGTGTCTGTAATCTAATTTGCTTTCATGTAGCTGTGTCACCTGGCCCTCACCTGTGTTGTGGTGGGCTGCTGCGTTCTTGTTGTGGGTGAAGCCTGGGTGGTTCCTGTTGTAATAGGAACCCTGGGTCGAAAGGGCACCCTGGTCCGGACTGTGGTGGTGGGTGCAGCAGTGGTTGGTGCTGTAGTGGTGGGCTCGGGTGTAGTCACAGGTGTCGTAGTCAGGTCGTCTGTAGTGAACTCTGTGTCGATTCCTGCGTACAACAACGTGGGCTCAGGGGACAGGTAAACATCATCTTCCTCTTCTTCTGTGGTGCTCAAGTCCTCGGCTCCAGTAGAAGGTGCGGGGGTCTCGGCTGTGCTGGTGGCCGGGTTGGTGGTCACAATGGGCGCAGCAGTGGTCTGGGCTGCGGCAGCGGCCCGGATGCGCTCCAGCTCTCGTTCTCTTTCTCTCTCCCTCTGTCTCTCTAGCTCTCTCTCTCGCTCTCTCTCCTCTCTCTCTCCAGCTCACGGACACGCTCTCTCTCACGTTCCCTCTCGCGTTCCCGTTCAGCTTGGCGTTCCAGCTCCCTCTGTCGCTCCCTCTCCTTCTCCAGCTCACGCTCCTTCTCTAGCTCCCAGAATGCACCGCTCTCCCCATCGGCCTCTGTTGTGGTCAGCATCGTCGTGCTGATGTTGGTGGGGTCTGGGTTTGGACTGGGCTCTGCGGCAGGGGAGGCAGAGGGGGCGGGGCTTGTGGCCTGCGTGGTGGAGAGGATGAGGGCCTCCTCTGTGGTGAAGGACACGCTCACGGGGGTCGGCCGCACGCTGATCTCAGGAACTACAAAATAGACACATTCCTTCATTAAAACATAAACATGATCAAGGTCTCACATTTGCTTTCATTACAACAGGAAGACATGAACCAGTCATAATAATGATATATTATTTCCTGAGCCTGGTGTAATCTAATCTAATGGGACAAAATGTTCCATCACAATTGCAATGACAGTACAATCCTGATCTAAAGTAAGGGAATGTTAAGCAAATAATACAATACTATAAACATATTTGTGACCTTATTAACTGTTGCAGTTTTACACTTTAAATGAGCTCATTAAACAACACTGAGATCATCTCTCCCATAAACGGTCACACTTAGGGGGATTTTAAGCAGACTAAATTGAAAGTGGAAAATCTGTGCGTTTCCTGATTTGCAGTCTCTTAGAAAGGTTATAAGCATGAGTGGGAAAGAGGCGCAACCAGAGCATCAGTGAGAAGAAGAGAAGCAGATGCTGCTGAGTAATTCTTTTTTTTTTTTTCTTAAATCTTGTAATACTATTATACCACCTTTCATTTTGTTATAGCGGTAAAGCTTCACGAGTTGAAAGAGGAACAAATTAAATTTACAGGCACACAGGCAGAAGGACTGACAGAAGCTGGCGAGGATATAGAAAAATACGGAGTCCAACAACACAATCTTTTGTCGAAACAAATCAGACTTCACAAAATGGCAAGCTACGGAAACAGGATGTATCAGAAAATGCACATTGGTGTGGGTTCAAAACCAGCCTCTCTCAGATTTGGGGCTCAGTATCTCAGTATGAGATAAAGCATTTGCCAGGCTGCTGTTCATCCACAGGGGGTGCCTCTGCTGCACTCGCCTGATCTGAATTGTAATTTACTTTCAGCCATCGTGCTGTCTGAACTCGGGGCAGCCCTCAATGAGTCATGCCTAATAAGGAAATAAGGAGAAGAGCTAGACTGCAGCTGTATCTGAAAACATCAATCTAGAGTAAACCAAAGTCATTTGATTCAATCACTAATTCCCACACAACCAGACAAACAACAAAATATAGGCATCCACAACTGTTGGCGTGCTTGTGACAGGCTAATCTGCAGTGGACCATAATCTGATTAAAGTAAATAAGATCTGGGGGAGACCGGAGTGTTGGCTGTATGCAAGGGGCTTCTGTGTTTAAAGGTGTTTTCCATAAATCCGTATCAAAACCTGTCTGTCAAGCCAGCTGGCAGTTTGCATTGTGCGTGGACTGAGCTAGCTGCATCTATGAATAGTATATTCACAATTCAAGGGCGGCCAGGACGAGGGGTCAGAGGTCACCTGATTGAGACCGAGCAGCTGTCAGGTTTAGAAGAATAAGAGCATGTGGTGGTCTGCTCCTTGTAAATATTAACAGCAAAAAAGAAAACGAGGAAGGAAGGCCACTGAAGTGTCATTGAACTGAATTGTTCAATAAAAACAATCCAATTTTCCATAGATTTTATTTGGCTCCCGTATTTACCTTAGATACCAGCTAACTGCAATTGTAGCTTTGAGGTATAATTTTAACAGTTATATTGTCAGCAAATCCGTGACTCTCCTCCTTCAAGAAACTGCTCAAAACTATTTAGAACCAGTTTAAATGTCTAACCTGCTTTTATTATAATGCATGCCTGTATTTTTATACTTTGATAACCTTGTTTTTTTATGTACTTTTATTTGTATTCTTTGTACAGCATCTTTGAGTGTTTAGAAAAGTGCTATATAAATAAAATGTATTATTATTATTATTATTATGCCATGATGAAATGTTGTGAATAAATCATTATTATTATCCTAATTTGAGTTGCAAACAGACTTACAGCCAGAGCCGGAGCCTGAGTAGAGGTCTTCATCGTCATAGAAATCATCTCTCGTTGACCCCTCGTCATCACTGGGTGCCCAAGTCTGTGCCTGTGGGAGAAACAGGAAGTACAGTGGACAGATTAGAGGGCTGATTGGGGATGACTGAAGCAATTGTTGTTTCATTTGAAAGAGAGCCCACTTTGGTAGATTACACACACAGCTGTCTGAAATGGCACCAAGGCAGACACAGGAACATCTGTCTGCCTCTCCATCAACCTTACAGCACAGAAAGAAGATTTTTGAAGAAGAACTTAAGATTCTGCAAAAAGCCAGCTAAGGAAAATATGAGAAAACACAAGTGTCCAATCTTGAACTGAGTGTCCAGTAAAGCAGTCAGGAAAACTAAATAAAAGTAAATGATTAATAGCTAAAAACTAACATTTTCATTAATTCAACTGTAATAAGCCCGTATAATGCGCATCCATGAGCTTCAGGACAATGAAAAATTAGGACTGTTGCCATAGCAATAAACAATTTAAAACACCATTATCATTTTTAATGAGAATAGTCCTAAAAATGTTGCATATCGAACTAGAAGCGGAAGCTTAAACCCATGAATACTCTGGTCTTCAGTGAGCTCTCTTCTTCTGCATTCTTCTCATGGACAAATCATAACAGCTAAAAATGGATAGTTTAAAGTCTTAATTCCTATATTTCATTCAGTCAGTCTATGTATAAAACACCTATTTTATAATATTCGTATTTAAGCACATTTTCTTTTTCCAAATACACCATAAATTAATGGCCTGTATGTTGTATGACTACCCCTCAGTATTTTTATCTCCTCTTGTCATTTTTCATGGACAAATCTGCTTAAGATGTTTATTGCGCATTTCAGCTTTACAGTGATAAGTTGTAGTAATATCATTATATCTATCAAACAGGTCATTTTACAACTTGCCCCTTATCATTTTTCAGCGTAATCCCAGTCGGTACCATGTAAGCCCCTGTCTGCCCGTGGAGGAGCAGCCATGGCCCGGTGACCTCTGCCAGGGTCAGGTAAGGCAGATTAGCGCTGAGCATTCCCAGTTTGAACCTCAGGCTTTGGGCACTTTGAAGCTGATCCCTCCCCGTCTTCATTCATCTCCTGTTACTCTTGACCTACATCCGAGTTTGAGGCAATGTTTTTATGAAAAAAAGCATTTTTGCATGATTTCTCACACAGAAGGTCAGCTATCTGGATTTAAATGTGTGTACTGTAATGTGTGTATGTACTACATGCACAATAACTATTGTTGTTAAGTTATTGAGCTAGTATTTGACGATATAAACAAAAGGGACTGGGTAAAACATTGTAATAAAAATGTATCAACAGAATAGAAAATGGACAACCTGGAAAATCTATAGAAATAGCCAGCTATAGCTAATAGCTATAGAAAAGCCACATGATCAAAAGAGTCCATCCCAAGCAAAGGTAAATAGAAAGAGCTTAAGGGAAGCATCAGGAGTAAAAAAAAAACATGCAATGACAAAATAAAAAGGCTTGCTATGAAGAAAACTTGGACTTCCGTGAATAAAAGTGAAATTGATTAAATTTTAAAGCAGTTAAAGGAATATTTCATAGCCTGATTCCATACACATCACTATATTAGGGAATATATTTGCGTAAATCATGTAAAATGCCTCTTTGATTTTGGCAAAAGAATTTCCACAACATTTTTAGAAAGCTACTGCTAAATATGCACACATTTCATGATTGATGTTCGTGGTGAGCACTATTGGTTTGCTAAGTTAAATCCAGCTGATGTTGATGCAGAGTTAATGAGGCTGAAACTATGTACTTGGGTAATGAGTTATAGTTGCAGTCTTTGGCAAGCTAAACCCTGACGAACTTACAATTTAGACGAGGCACAGGGAGATCAATAGATTCTTCCTCTGTATGTATTGGCAACATTTTACAAGTGTCCTATTAATTTAGGAGAGAACATTTACTGCTGCCTGTATTTACTGTAATCCATCTTTGTCAAGACTAAACAGCACACCGATGCCAAAACAACCCCCTGAAAACAAAGGGCAGAGATTTGCTCCAGGTATTAGGTAAACAGTGAGTCCAGGCTGCAAATGTGACCAAACAAACTTATCTCCTTAGCTATCTTAAGTCTATCCTGAAGCCTAGCTATCTTCACTAGCTTGTGTCATGCTAATTGGGCTCACACACACACGCACACACACACACACACACACACACACACACACACAGAGTTCCTCCCTGGCTCCAGACAGTGGAAACCTGATGCCTTTAAAAGCCAATAAAAGCAGCATAATGGAATCTAAACGCAAGCATCTCGGTCCATCACATCTTGGCGTGAGGAGAAGAGTTGAAATGCTATATGTACCTCCTGAAATGAAACTGACTTGACGTTGTTGAGCACATGCGGGCGATATGGTCTCCCCAAAGTGGAGCGCTGAGTGTGTGTGAAAAGACAGTTTTACAATGGAGGCCGTTGCCATGGTAAACCCCTGCCTCTCACAGAAATTCCTTACTAGTCTTAAAACTGGGGGCTACCAAACATGCATGAACACGACAGTGAATAGCGGTACGCCTGTGCTCAAAGGTGTTATATAACGACAGATAAACAACCCCAAAACAACATCAAAAACAGCTGCTGCCTGTGGACTCCCTTTTTTAAATGATCCACTGCTCCCCCTGTCCCATCTCCACCCACCCTCCACTTCCCCAATCTTCTCACTCCCTGCCAGTCTATACCAGCACAGTTCTTTTCATCTCAAACTCTCTCTGCTTCACTCCTCCACAGTTTTTCTTATCTCCAGGCTAGCCCCATTTAATTTGACTCCCAATAACACTACTTAAACACACACCCTATCCCCTCAGGAAGACTCCACAGTCCACCCGAGGGCCACCTCCCCCCCGCCAGCTCCTACACTGTACCCAGACAATCCCACATAGACTATTTTCAGCTTGTTAGGAGTGCAGTTTGTTGTGTGTGGCTACTGGCTAAATGTATAAGATCTATGTTTGTCCTAGCCTAAACAGGAACATGCAATCAGCCTATGCGTCCCAACATGTTAAATTTATGAGACAGTCTTGTGAGTGTGAAGTCGCAGTATGGCAGCCAGTCGTGCGTCACTATATCTAATTACATAGTGCGCGTGGATATCACTGGGCATAATCACAGGCTTTGTTTGCGGTGTAGAGAATGCCCCTGCAGCCTGATTCGTGTGGGTACGTCTTTATGTGATATTTAAAAGAAGAGGGGAGCCGATTGGGGCCAGTTCCGCTGTCTTACTCTGTTTCAGTAGCTATATAAAGCCTTTAGTTTCAGCACGCGCCACATCGTTAACTAACCGCAGCGAGACTATGCACTCCCCGTCCCCACGTGCCTAACCTGGGGCCAAAATCATCTTTAAGTTACCCTCAATCTCTCTCCATAACAACAGTTCATTCCCGTTGGTTTATAAAAGGAAACTGCAAACAGGCAGTCACATGCGTCTGGAAATGTAGAGCGAATATCAATATGCTTTGGGTTTTGGGGCATTTTGGAAAGAGCTGCTCTGATCGGACATGGCTGTATTTTTGGCCTCTGTTTGTTCTGCAAGTTTAGATTTTCTTTAGCCTAATTAGTCTGACTCTTGTAATGGTTAAGTGTACGCATGTGTTTTATTTCAATTTGTTTAGTCTTGCTTTGGGCCTGGTTTAGATTATGTTAAGACCTGTTAAATCCAACATAACTTAGTTCCTGGTGCAGTCTTGAGTCTAACGATTAATTGCACCTGCTGGGTTGTCAAAAAACTAAAGAAATCAACAACAGATATTAATTCATACTAAACTAGTATCAAAACTAGATCTTCAGTTCAGTTGACTGTGTCCTATTATGTAATTTATTTCCATACTGATACAAAGTTGAACATTTTAGTTTAACATCGAATATGTATTAGTATTAGTAAAAGACCTTCTCTCGTATAAAAAGAGCATTTTAACATCCTTGTGGCCTTGATGGTGTATAATCTATAGTAATGTATAATAGTATTGTGGCTACACTAGTACCCGCTTGATGCTTGTTATTAATGCTTGTTGATGCTTGTTACTTCAGATTTTACATTGTGTTCCTTTTATTTTCCGAGGACATATTTGAAAAAAGTTTGACAATGACTGATCAAAACACTAGCCACAACAGCAGTATCTAATTTTCTATAGTGAAACAAGAGATGCCATGAAACTGGGCAGAGCACAATATGTAGCACAAATAAGGGGCTTGTAGGGCTAATGTTGTGACAAAGGCAGCAGGTGCGTCCTCAAAGGGTGGTTGTACAGTTAAATGACTCAGGTGGAAATCTGATCTGGAGATGACATAAGGCTCTCCACATACGTCTGATCCTGTGCACCCCTCTATTTGTGCCAGCTGGATCACTTTACAACCACTGAGGACGGATTTAAACTTAAAGGGCTACGGATGCTATACCATGACATTAGAAGAAAGGGTAATTTCGGGGAGTGTAAAACGAGCCTCAATGAACACAGGTTATGATTAGGGAAGTAACAAAACTGAAATTAAAACAAAAAACACAAACATAAAGCAAGACTGGACAAAATATATATAGAACATAGCTAATAAAACTGTACTGAAAGTAAATATTGATTTGTTACTCTTGAACATTTTCAAATGTATGAATGAATGAATGAATGTGTTATACTGTATACAATTATTATTTGATCAATACTTGGTTGAATCTGAAGTATTGGTTGAATTAGTTTGAACTACATTTTTACTGATTATATGACTATATGGTAGATCCAGTAAAAGTGACAATATTATTGTATTTATTAGGGACGTAACAATACCTAAAATATCGTGATATCGTATCGTCAGAGTTCTCACAAAAATATCGTGGATCATCACAATATATCTAATTACAAGTTTCTTTGTTTAAATTAAGAGTTATAATGCAGAAATAGCTAAAAAAACAAACAAACAAACAAACAAAACAAAAAAAAAGACAAAGGGAACTACATAGACCCATAGACCATGATCCTTTGCTCCATTTCAATGCAGACTACATGAAGAAATAACAGTTCTAAGCACTTTTGA